TTGGCAATCCTAAGAAGCCTATCGCATTGGGGGTCAAAAGGTCAAGGGTCAAGGTCACAGTGGCTAAAACAATAGAAATCTTGTATTTATTCTGAGATCATAGGGATTAGGGATTAATTCATATAAAACCTACAGAAGACACTAATGCTGTCAATGAACGTTCCATGTGACCAAGGTACATGTAAGTTGATGTTAGAGTGGTGTTATGTCATGGAAACAGTCACGGTTGCGGGGCATTTGTGTTTGTAAACACACCTGACTTGTTTTTTTTAGGACAGATATATAATGATAAATGGTCAGAAAATGAGCAAAGTCTGACCATAATTTCACTCTTTTGATTCAAATCCGTTGCTTTTGGGTTCTTAAATAAAATAAAATAACTAAATGCTTCCTGATCGTTAACCCAAACTCTCTAGCGTCTTTTACTAGGAACTGGACCAAGTCCATCAAAATCCATCAATCACTGTGCGTCCAATACAAAACTGTACATGACATAATGGAATCCACCACTGACGCACTGGTTGACATTCATGGACTTGCTACACATGGCTTATATCACAATATAGCAGTACAGGAAGCTAGGCAAAATCAATCGGATACCCCTAGCACTGCTTCAGGCCATTAGGCCCAAGTCCATCATACTCCATCAATATTAAGTCACGCCAGGCCTTCTGGACCAAGTCCCCCAAAATCCACCAAAATGCGGGGATGGATTTTGATGGAGTTGGGGTGGTTAGGGTTAATGATCACGAAAGGTTATTATTATCTGCTGAAGACTTCCCCATTGCATAACCATTCTGAATCAGTTGAGTAGAATGTTGTGCACTCTAGGACCAGCTTTGCAAGACTTGCTTTTATTATTCGTTCAATGACTTTTTGTAGGTGTGGGAAGCACAAAGATCGGCTTCATGACCGACTACTCTCAGCAGGTCATTTTCACGACCTCTGACCCTTCCCTGGTGGTGACCTTTGACTCGGCGATGGGTCTGCACACTGTGTGGTTACTGAGATACGCTGCTGCTGAGGTAAGTGTATGCTGTTTCTGTGAGTGGAATCATTTTTAGTAAGTGTATTATAGTTGTGGATGTAATCTACCTTCGGTGGTATTAAGAAAATCAGGGTAGAGCACTGATACGGGTATTCCGGTGGTCGCAGGTTAAAACGCTACTCCATTCAACTTTTTTGTTAAATTTTATAATCATGATACATGCACCTTGTCAGTTGATACAGTTTCCTTTCGTGGTTCATTTGATGAGTCGTATTATTATTTGAGCAGTTTTAGCATGGTCCATGTGACCTAAACGAACAGAATTTTCCTCTTTTTTTCTAGCATCTATGGACACAAAAGCTTGAATCTGGCCAATGGAACAATGTCTACTACTAATAACAAGCCCCCAGTTCAGTCCATTTTTAAAATTAAGACAATGCAAACATTGTGTTCTCCCTTTAATATCAAAGCCTGCATGCACATCTTTATATTTGCTTTTTAAAATCTGACTCTTACCATATTTTTTTGTTTGTAAAACATTCTTTCAGGAAATCTGTGTAGCCTCAAAGATCCTGGATTTGAACACCACCGCGGCCAACCATGCCCAGACCCCACGGCATAGCTACAGCTCAGGCACCCTAGCCGGCCTGAGCACCAGCGCCCAGTCCCGCCTGAGCCTGTCCAGTCTCTCCCCCAGTGCCTCCCCTTACCGGGGACTGCCCAGCAGGATAGCCTCGCCTCTGGTGTTCTCCCGGCCGCAGAGTCCGGCCTTGTCTGTAATGGCAGCTCTCAGGTACCCACTTCCAATCAGCGTTGGTGTCAAGTCCATCACAAGTCCATTAGAAGCCCACCACAATTCTATCACAAGTCCATTACAGTTCCAACTCATTCCATCACACTTCCATCACAAGTTGATCACAGGTCCCTCATAAGTCTCTCTCAGGTACCCACTTTCAATCAATGTTGATTTCAAGTCCACCACAAGTCCACCACAAGTCCACCACAAGCCCATCACAATTCCATCACAACTCCATCACAGGTCTATCACAACTCCATCACAAGATCATCGTAAGTCCATCACAAGACAATCACAAGTCCATCACAGGTCAATTACAAGCCCATCACAAGTCCATCACAAGTCCATTACAATTGCAACTCATTCCACCACAATTCCATCACAACTTCATCACAGGTCCCTCACAAGTCCTTCACAAGTCTATCACAAGCCCATCACAAGATCATCATAAGTCCATCACAAGACAATCACAAGTCAATCACAAGTCCACCACAAGTCCATCAGAAGTCCATCACAAGTCAATCACAAGTCCACCACAAGTCCATCAGAAGTCCATTGTAAGTCCATCACAAGTCCATAATAAGTCCATCACAATTCCATCACAAGTCCATCACAGGTCCCTCATAAGTCCATCAAAACTCTATCACAAGTCCATCACAAGTCTATCACAAGTCCATCACAAGTCCATCACAAGTCCATCACAAGTCCATCACAAGTCCATCACAAGTCCATCACAAGTCCCTCACAAGTCCACCACAAGTCCACCACAAGTCCACCACAAGTCCATCACAAGTCAATCACAAGCCCCTCACAAGTCCATCACAAGTCCATCACAAGTCCATCACAAGTCCATCACAAGTCCATCACAAGTCCATCACAAGTACATCACAAGTCCCTCACAAGTCCACCACAAGTCCATCACAAGTCCATCACAAGTCAATCACAAGCCCCTCACAAGTCCATCACAAGTCCATCACAAGTCAATCACAAGTCCACCACAAGTCCATCCCAAGGCAATCACAAGTCCATCATAAGTGGGAACCTGGAACTAAACAAGGTTTCAGTCCCAGCATAGCACATTGGCTTCAGTATTTGTTGAAATAATAGTGTGTCTTGGAGGCTCTGTATAATTTTCTAAGTCTGTTTGTGTTTTTTTTAACTCTACGTAGGAAGCCCTGAACATCACCACTATTCCATAACAATGAAATTCAACCGCTACGATCCCTCACTTTAAGTCCCTCACAAGTCAATCACAAGTCAATCACAAGTCCATCACAAGTCCATCACAATTCCATCACAGGTCCCTCATCAGTCCATCACAAATCTGTCACAAGATCATCATAAGTCAATCACAAGACAATCACAGCTCCATCACACGTCCATCACAAGTCCATCACAAATCTATCACAAGATCATCATAAGTCAATCACAAGACAATCACAGCTCCATCACAAGTCCATCACAGATCTATCACAAGATCATCATAAGTCAATCACAAGACAATCACAAGTCCATCACACGTTGATCACAGGTTGACCACAAGTCCATCACAAGTCAATTACAACTCCATCACAAGTCCATCACAAATCTATCACAAGATCATCATAAGTCAATCACAAGTCAATCACAAGTCAATCACAAGTCCATCACAAGTCCATCACAAGTCCATCACAGGTCAATACAAGTCCATCACAGGTCAATCACAAGTCCATCACAAGTGGAAACCGGGAACTAGACAAGGTTTCAGTCCCAGCATAGCACATTGGCTTCAGTACTGGTTGAAATAATAGTGTGTCTTGGAGGCTTTGTATAATTATCTAATTAAGCCTGTTTACGTTGTTTACTCTACGTAGGGAGCCCTGAACAACACCAATATTCCACCACAATGAAATTCAACCGCTACGATCCCTCACTTTAAGTATCACTGTGAATACGCTCACTGTTAAACGTTGGTCATTTGAAAACTGGTGCCCACATATTGAACTACAGTGCCACTTACACGTGTAGATGCTCAAAGTTTCTTCGTACAATCTGAAATATGGGTCCTTTTGAAGCAAACGATTTCTCATTGCATATGCAATAAAAAATCCAACCTTTGGCATTGTTGATTGAATCATATAAGTTGAATACGGAGTAATTGCAGAATACCCCGCCACTCGGAAATAAACCCCTAAAATCACTGGCTACGCGGTTGGAATTGCTGGAAAAGAAACAATTCAAATCCATTGCCAGCTACGCAGATACTGAGTGGGGGTCCATTATTTGAGAACAAAAGGAATGGGAGTTGCTGAAAAAATTCTAAGTCCAAACCAACCACCCTGTTGCCGGCTAAGCGGATACGGAGTGGGAGTCCCCTTGAATATGCTTGAGAACGAAGCAACACAAAAGGAATGGGAGTTGCTGAAAAAATTCTATGTCCAAACCAACTACCCTGTTGGCGGCTACGCGGATACGGAGTGGGAGTGCAGTGTAGCATGACGCATACTGCATAGTACATACAAGTACAAGTAGCGCTGAGAAGGTTTACTGAGGGCAATCAACCGTGACTCCGTAGCCAGCTATGAGGTGGATAGATTGAGTGGCGGGGTATTCTGCAATTGTGCTTTGAATACACCCCATTGAATGCTAGCCTTTTTTCCCCATCCACAGTCGTACCCAGTCTCCAGCCACTAGCGCCCTCTATAGTCCAGCCTCCAGCATGATCTCCCCTGCGAGATCCACGTGGTCTCCCGGAGGCATGTCCATGACGTCGTTCCTGAATACCACCTGCGGTGAGGTCATGGAACCCCTGGCTCCTGACTTCTGTCTGGAGCATTGCTGGACGGAGCCTGTCATCAGTAACAGGTGAGTGGTCTACAGGGAAATATAAGTCATTCTATGGTGGAATATACAACTATCGACTGCTTCTTTCTAAAGGAGAATATACAAATATTGACTGCTTCATTCTATGGTGGAATAAACAACTATCGACTGCTTCATTCTACAGGGTGAGTAAAAAAAACGAAACCCAAATGTTGGGACCATTGTTTTAGGGAAGTTCTGCATGTAGCATTTTCAAAATGTAGGATATGAAAGTCCAATTCTTAAGCTTTCTTTCAGTACAAGAATCATTCAAATCACTAATGTACTTTTCAAGTTACAGAATTTTAAACACAACCACCGTTTTAAGGTTCTGTCGACGGATCACAAAAAATATCAGTGTTCTTTCAACTAAACGAAAAGAAATCACATAGGGATGTGTGTGAATTGTTTTCGTTTTGCTGAAAGAACACACACCTTTTTTGTGATCTGTGGACAGAACTTTAAAGCAGTGGTTGTGTTTAAAATTCCGAAACTTGAAAAGTACATGAGCGATTTGAATGATTCTTGTACTAAAAGAAAGCTTTTTAATTGTGCTTTCATATCCTAGATTTTGAAAGTGCTACATGCAGAATTTCATTAAAAAATTGGTCCTGCCATTTGGGTTTCTTTTTTTTTACTCACCCTATAATGATGTTAACCAATGTACCTACATTTTCACAAACTGGACACGTGGCTGTTCTCTACCAATGAAATTACAGTATCCAAGCTCACGATATAACAATAGCTTTTGATCCAATACTTCCATGGCCCATGACCCTTGGGGAACGTACATGTACGAGCTTTGCCCATGGATTCGAGCTACCTAAAGCTTCTGACACCTGCGTTACCCTCACCAAAGTTTGTACCAAAAAAAATAAACAGTCCCCGATGCCCTTTGACAGGGCAGTGGGTACGAATGAATGGTCTGGGACGGATGTAACAAGTGTTTTCTCTCTGCCCGCAGGGAGGGAATTCTGGGTAAAGCCACGCGAGTCTTTCTGACCACTGACATCTGCCAGCAGCGCTACCTGTGCTACCTACTGCAGCACCGCCACCAGCTCAAATGTGTCAAGTTTGGCCGCAGCAACGACCAATCACATCTCATCTTTGGTACTATATCAATACTCATGGTCAAAGATGCAGTGCCGCTCCAGGTGAGTTTATTTGCCAAATGGGGACAGAAGGTGAAAGATTGATTATTTTGCTTCAGGGAAATGAAAATTCAGTGTTGGATTTTGCCTGTTATGTGGGCAGTTCCATGGAAAGTGGACGTGGCTGAAAAGTGGAAAATGTATGAAATCTTCAGAACTACAAGCATCACGACCTCAAATGTGGTTTCAAATAAAAGGGGACAACAACACCTTTTAGTCCGGTTCACAATGTACTTAATCCAAGTTTCGTTGGGATTTTTGGGGATTAGGTAAACTATACATTTTTGGAAACCTTAGGGTCTACTGAACCCAAAAACCAATGTTTCCATTTTTTCCAAGGTCATCTTAGCCGCCATCTTGGAATTCCAAAATGGGGACATTTTTAGCTCTATTTCCCTAATGATTTGGCTTGTCGCATACATTTTAAAGGGAATAAAACTCACTGGAGCCTGTTTTCACAAGTATTTGACATAAAAGAAAAGTATTTCCTCATAATTTAGCTTTTCATAATGATGTAAGGTGTTAAACATCGTTAAACATCAAAATAAGAGCATTTTTGACAAACAATTTATGGTCTATGCCATTTATTTGAGTGGTGCGCGAGTGAGATAGAAAGTGGTTACATTGGATTAGATGGTTTGGGGCTACAATTATAGATTTTAGGTAGTCGTTTTGAAATCCTGTTTTCATATACAAAATGCAAGTGTTATTGTGAGTTTTTACTTTTAAGGCATAGAGCAAAGTTCATATTTTATAAAAAAAAAATAACCCACAGAACTTAGAATATCATGAATAAGTATGGTTTTTGTCATGTAAGTGAAGTTGATTTCAGACACGTAACGTCAGTAACGTTTTAATGTAATGTCCGTAACAAAACCATTATGTATCCATAACGTCAAAGAACCTTTTTGCAAAATGTCATTGGTGGTTTTGATAGAGTGAAGCCCTATAAACCACAACATAGTTACTTATTTCATGAAATTATTGCATGAAACTTCACAGACTTTCATCTATCCATTGTGTTTTCTACAGAGTTTGGACATGATGGTCGTGCTTGATCTCAGCAACAGCTTGGTACTGTATACCGGTCTCGTCAAGGTAAATCGTTGTTATTCACAACAAATCTCAACTGTTGGACAGCGTTTTATTCAAGTTGATTTCTCTGTAGGGTTGAAGACATAATTATTTAAAGATGTCAAATATCAACAAAGCTAGTACTTAATTACAAATAGCACCAGACAACATGATGATAAAAATTGCAGCGAATGCTGTATTCGTCCCCAAAGAAATTGGCTGCAAACTTAAGCCAAGAAAAAAACACCTGTTCTTCCGGTTTCCCCACCTAACCTTTGCAGTTTGACTGCAACACTATTGTTAACTGTTACGAATACAAGCCAAAAAAAAGAAGAAAATCTTTTTAAAACTAATTGACCATCATCCCACCCTATTTTTTTCTGTAAAAAATGTTGCATCCTGAAGCCACTTTTTTCCTCCTATATTATCTCAGTGAAGGTCAGTCATTGCAAAAATGTTGAAAAGACTGAGGAACTGAGAAACATTTCCAATTTTGTTAGGAAGTACTTTAAAAATTCACTTGACTCTTCATGGACTTTGTACACAACCAGAAAAGTGGCATCCATATACTACATTTGTTCCTTTTTTTCTGGCTATAAAAAATTTCAGCCAAAAAAAAAAGAATGTACCCACCCACCCATTCTTTTTTATTTTCAATGTAAACAAGATTTTTATTTTCTTGGCACTAGTACCATTAGAGCTATTAGTAAGGTCATTGTCGAAATATTCCCGGCTTGATTTTTGGGGGAAGAATTACAATAACCATGTGGAAAGTATTTCTATGTGTTTTTTCATCATTCTGTGCCTCTGAACAGATTGGCAAGGTGCATGTCTCCGGCATCCTTCCATCACTGTCCTCCAGCTTGCCCCGCCCAAGCACCCCACTGGATAGCCCCGCCCCTCTGACGTCATCCCGACCCTCCAGCAGTGCTCAAGTCATCATGGATGAGGTGGGATCATGTTTGTTCCTTGGTTCGCCTGTCTGTGTGCCTGTCTTTGTGCATGTTGTCACTTTTCTTTATTTTATGACAAAAATGAAAATATTGCCTCGTTAGCAAATTAGTTAAATGAACCCTTCGAATTGGGATAATTGGAGCCCGATGCGGGAACGTGAAAATTTGTCTTTTATTAAATTTTCCAACTTACCCTGACTTGTTTACGTGCAAAAAAAACAAAGGGCCCTTCATTTCATTTTCAGAAACATTTATTTCCACATGAATAAGCATTTTAGAAAACAAAACAATTGTTACATGAAAACTACTAAGTGGAGGCATTACACAAGAAGCCGAAGCTTATAAACGGAATGCCTTAAACACAAAAAAAATATATGTATGTAAACAATACTGAAAAAGGAAGACTAAATTAGCAAAACAAAACAGAAACAGACAAACAAACGGAGTGGACATAAACTTAATAAACTTTACAGACGGACATACGAAACATACTAGTGATACAACGACACAGTTTATAACATGGATGATGCAAGCAAAAGAAACCACAATTAAAGCGAACGGCATGAACGGAAAAAAGGGCCCTTCGAGATACCCATCTATTTTTGTTGAGCAGACGAGTGTCGATGTCTCTTAGGGCTCGTACAATTTGCAGGAAAATGAGTCGGGGTACAGTGGGCAACCCAAATTTCTTCATGAAACTTGAAACAGATTTCAAATTCCACTTTATTTCTGGGAAATAACAGGTCCTGTGCGAATGACAATTCGCAGAAAGTCTTACAATGCAAGTACCTACTAAAACAGGTGCAATTTCAGCTCAGAAAACGTTGTGGATGGAAAAGTGAAAATAGAGAGTCTTGACTTTGCTCTGACGATGGTGCTACTGTGCATAAAAAACACGGGAAACTTCAGTTTGGCCTCTGGTTTTGGGCTTTATATTTATAAGATCCTTCTTCAAAATACAATGAGACGTGACCCACCTAGAATGTGATTGATGTTGCGAGGAATTTAAGCTATCCATCCATTTGTAAGAGTGTCAAGCTGCTGTAACTTTGCGAGAGCCACTCATTCACTGCACACACTATTTACGTCAAGGTATTTGTTCGCGTTATGTGCCTCGCTTTGATTTTCAAGATCAGGCGTACCCTATTGGGATAAACTTTTCTGCATCTTATCCTGGTTGTTCTTTTCAGATGACTCCTAAGATTGATCAGTGTAAATGCTAGAATAGAGCACATTAGTTTAGAGGGCTTGTAATGATGGGGAAGTGTCTGTTCCCTCATAGACAGGTTACACTCACAATCTTGGCACAACTTTTGTGGATCTGGCCCCCCAAAACAGGGACTGTGAATTTGTCATAAGCAACTTGCATCATACGAGATTTCGGCTGCTTTGTTCTTGCTCAGCATATATTCTTTTGTTATCAGCCAATGTGTGTCCCTTGCAGCTCAGTGATTGGCCTTGGTCTTGTTTCCCAGGTCGTCATGTTGTCCCCGGTACCAGGTTTCCTAGGCGATTCGGGTGCCAAGCTGCAGGAGTCGGCATGCAGCGACGAGTTCTCATTCCACCCAGGCGGCACCAGCAGTAGCGGTCCCACCAGACATATCATCGGTTTGAGGGACCCTGTCGCCAATAGGTTCACTGTGGTAAGGCCGTTTTAGTCTGTAGGATATCCCCATTGAAACCCTAACCACCCCAACTCCATCAAAATCCATCCCCCATTTTGGTGGATTTTGGGGGACTTGGTCCAGAAGGCCTGGCATGACTAAATATTGATGGAGTATGATGGACTTGGGCCTAATGGCCTGAAGCAGTGCTAGGGGTATCCAATTGATTTTGTCTAGCTTCCTGTACTGCTATTGTGATAAAAGCCATGTGTAGCAAGTCCATGAATGTCAACCAGTGCATCAGTGGTGGATTCCATTATGTCATGTACAGTTTTGTATTGGACGCACAGTGATTGATTCAGCATTCGAAATGGTGCGGGTACGGAATATGTGTGCGGCTCTGTAAAAAATTGCTGGTTATATCAGCATCTTGCATGGTTTTTTCGTCTGGCACACTACGGGCAATGTGCATTTCACATTGAATTGTTAAGATAAATGGGTTCGGTGAAACGACCACTCAAAATGGGGCTATAACCAGCTAGCTTTTCCAAGCCGCATACGTATTCCGCATCCCCATACAAGTTTCCCGTACCAGTACCACTTCTAATGGTGCCCATTATGTACACCTGGCTTAAAAAGAAACTAAGCAGTTTTTATAATCATCCTTGTTTGGAGCAAGATTTGAACCTGCGACTTCAGTATTATCGTTCGGGTGCTCTACCAACTGAGCTATCCACACCTATGTTGGTGGTTCCCAAATTGTCCATATCTTTGCTCAAAAGCCATAACCAGTAAAGTCTGTCATGAGCCAATGTGGCCCATCAGGCCGGCGTTTATCTCCGGTTTCAGTAGCATGAAACGACTGAGAATATTGCTACTCCCCCTGGATGGGATGCTAGTCCATCGCAGGTTGCTCCCCAGCTAATGCCGGTACCCATTTATACTCCTGGGTGGAGTGAGGCAATTGGGGTGAAGTGACTTGCCCAAGGACACAACATATGGCCAGCAGCTGGATTCGAACCCACAACCCTCTGATCATGAGTCAAGAACTCTAACCACTAGGCCATACTCCCCTAATCAAAAGCCACAAACCCCTAATCAAAAGCCACAGACCCCTATGACATTCATGTCTTGTAGTCAAGGATCACACTTAAAGTCAAGATGCTAACAACATTAGCAATGCTGCAAACCCTGGAAATAGCAAATTTCAACCCCCCAAAAAGTACCTTTTTTTTGTACGGGCAGAGCACGGGGAGTGCAGCGTTCAACCCACTGGACTGTGTTTTAAGAACAAGGAAAATACTTTTTTTTTTAGGGATGGAATGAGCTGGGCAGCTCTTCTTCTCACTGTAACCATGACTTCTTATACCGGTATCTAATTGCCACAGTGGGGCAGATAGGGGAAATAGTTGGTGGAATTGTGCCTTTGATGATATAAGCATGGCATTTGGCACACAGTCAGAGACTCAGAGTCTTAAGAAAGATAGTTGGCTATAGGGCCATTGCAGATTTGTCCTTTTTGAAAAAAATGTAGGTAGAATAACAAGCAATTTTCAGAATTTTCAAAATGGCTGCCATTGCTTGTTATTCTACCTATATTTTTTTCAAGGGACAAATCTGTGATGGCCCTATACCTAGATATCTTTCTCATGACACACTCTGACTGTGTGCCAAATGCCATGCGTGTATCATCAAGGGCACAATCCCATCGCCTATCTGCTGTACTAGCAGGTAGAGTCAGCTTTTGTTTTTGGAAAGGGAGACTCCCCTTTTTTTAAATTCATCAATTTTGCTTTTTTCGTGTATCTTCCCGTCTGCCACTTTCCAGACCATTTCTGCACTGAATCCATTGTGGTGTGGCTGCAGTCTTTTGTTTATTTGGAATAAAGACTGAATAAAAAATGTCTTTTTTAAAGGGAATGTACAACATTTGCTTTTGCTGCAATGTTCAGAAATAAATGGATTTGGAGGATTAGTATGTTATAGCAAATATTGTTGTTTCACTTTTTGGGCTTGTATATGCTGGAAAAACCAAGAAAATTATTCATGTTCTTGTAGTCTGGTTCCCTGACCCCACTTAAGATGAAACTGAGCAATTTATAGACTTTGGGGAATTGTAAGATCAGAGAATCAATCTACATGAAGCAGGCTTGTACTCCTTCACAGGTGTGTAATTAATTGCAAAGAAAATGCGGAATAACTAAATATGAAAAAAAATAGGAGCAGTTTTTGAAAGAAGCCAGTTTTCTCCAATGCTGGTCGGCCGACCAGCGTTTTGCAATTTTTCTCGAAAATGTCAGCACACCAGGAGCCACGATTTTACAGGATGCTTTATACGGTCATTCCTTTACAGTCCAGTAGGGTATTTCTTGATAATTTGATCATTTCGTTTTTTGATGTTTGCAAATGTCGTATCTTCCCTTTAACAGGAATTAACCGGAGAGACCATGCTTCGCATGAGCATTCCAGAAGTCACATCATCCCCTGTTGGTAAGCAAACATATTTTTTTTTCCTTTCCATTACCTAATGCTCATGAAAATCGTAACCTCTGTAAAATTGCTCATGGCATATACTTTATTGCTAGATTTCGAGCTCTTAACCAGTTCGCGCCGGATGACTTGTATACACCCACAGGTTTTGCAGTATTCGGAACGGATGACGGATAAACACGCAATGAGTGAGGCTGGAAATATCTGTCTGCGACCCGCTCACAGTGAGCGAGGCAGGAAATATCAGGGTGTGCTACCAACAGATGACGGCCTGAACCCGTCTGGCATCAAGGTTTGTGAAAAACAATCCCGCGCCTCGTTCCGGTCGATGTCAAAAAAATCCCGGCGCAAACTGGTTAACAACTTTCCCGAAGCAAGTTTCTTTTTTGAGTCGATAACATTTTTTCTGGTTTTCAATTTGGAATAATACGTTTTTGATTTACATTTTTATTTCAGTGCAAATGTGTCTGAATGCCCTCAAGTATGTGCTACCTCGCGACATGGCCATGCAGCTGGTGACGAGATGGTACAACACCCACAATGCACCTGGCGGTCCCGGCAGCCAATCAGAAGGGCTGGTGTTTGCCAAGTGCCTCCTGGGAATGATGGGATACAACATTGAGAAGTTGGCCGTCTTTCAGCAGGTCTGCAACCATTTTATGAAAATAATTAACCAACGTAGGGAAAAACACCCTTACTCAAAGTGAAGGTCAATACACTCAATCAGGAAAACAAGTGTTGCAGGTTTATGGACTCGGTGGTTGAACATTAGATGGCGATTGGTCGACATTCACGTCATCTCCACTTGGGGAGGCGAGGCGCATGTGTGTGGTGGATTGCGGGTTTGATACAAAGTATGCAGGACTAGGTTTATTCTGAATGTGCACAAACCAGTGGCATATTCATGTGAGCGTCATGCACCAAAGGGCAATGCATTTGAATGTCCCTTTCCTTTGATATCAGGGTGACCGTAAGGTCATGGCAAAATTCTGCTAAATGCACTTCAAAAATCTGTCAGTTTTATCAAAAATCTGCCAAATTCCCCAGAATTACTCGAAATGCACTATAAACACTTCAAATCACATGCAGATGTTGCAGTATTGCCTTAATTAAAGTTCAGATTACATTATAAACAATCTGTAGTCACATAAAGATGTTATACAATTACGTAAATTTCAGCCAAAACGCGGTTACGACACGACCGGTTCCCAGTGAACCTCAGCACCTAGACCAGCCAACCTTTCCCATTATCCAAGGGTTTGTTTGAAAATATTGAAGCTTTTTTAAACAAGTGTACCATTTTTTTTCAAATTTGCTGTTTTTCTGTCAATAACAAATTTTGCAGCATTCTGCCAGAAATCTGCCAAAAAATCCATTCTGTCAGATTTTCTGTCAAACTCGTATTTCAACAAAAAATCTGTCAAAGTTAGTCGAAAATCAGCTACCATGATTGATATTCCCCAACTTTCTCTTTGGAAATGCTGAGGGGGGTACTTGTGCGAGGAGTCCACACAATTTTAAAAAAGTGTGTTGTTAATTTCACTTTTTTTTTAACGCCCAGCAGTTGACTCTAGGGCCCGTTGTTCAAATGTGAATCTGTTTCATTCTTAATTGCAGCAAGACATTGATTCTCCAGCATCGCCTGCCGTCGCCACCAAGAAACACAAGACGTCAGGACTAGATGAGGTGAGATTAGGTCAAACTATCAAACTATTTTTTGTGTCCAGTGTCCTCTTTGTACTTATCTGACTGACTGCCACTTGTGACTTGTGAAGTGAGCTGGGAAGTGCTATCGTATAGGAGCACCCGGTACAGCCAATGAATGGGCTAAACCTGGCCCATCGTGTAATAATAATAATCGGCATTTAAGAACTAAATCACAGCGCTTACAGTATTATTATTACCCCTGATCATTGGGCCAATTAAACATTCCAAATACCATCTCAGCTCCCTGGAGAGTATACAGCTGGATGCTGCCTGTTAGGCGCAAAGCAAGCTTATTCAATCACAATAACCATCTCTGCCCTCACAGGTACCCATTTACTCCTGGGTGGAGAGAAGCAATGAGTGACAAAGTGCCTTGCTCAAGGGCACACGCACCATGACCCCGGCTGGACTCGACCCACAACCCGCAGCTTTACCCACAGACCACGAATCCAGTGCCCTTAACCACGAGGCCACAGCACTCCACGACTAGTTGTATAGCCATTCTGACTAAATTGAATAGAATTGTTGGTGCTGTGGGCCCAGCTTTATTCGGCTTTTATTTGACTTTTTTCTTCTCTAGGACTGGGATTACCTACTGGGCTCTACGTACCACCGCCTAGCCTGTCCAACACTCCTTGAGCCACTCTGTGGAGCACAGCCCCATGCACTCTCTGCCTCGGGAGACATGAACCAGGCTAAGATTGACACCGGTGCAGCGCTGTTTACTCACATACCGGCCGTTGTCTTTGCCCTGCATCTTATTTACGAGGTATTAAAAATTAACAGAGTTTTACTAACACATTAGTCTTTCTACCACTCAAAGTTGTGCTTGTCACTTCCGATATGGCCACAAACCGCCCCAGTTCCCTATGGTTAAGCATGGAGGTAGATCTACCTCCATGGGTTAAGTTAACACATTAAGGAGTAAATACAGTGCAATGTTGTACAAGTACTAAAGCCAGGCACGCAACTTTTCCTCGGATCTGATGATTTCCTTGTTTCTTACTTCTCGTAAATGCCATTACAAATTGAAAAACACTGTACAAAGTCTTGTGTCTTTTGGAAACTCCTCATTATTTGTAAATTCCCAGTTGCATTCCTGTAAAGCGTCGTATCATTTTTTACGAATAAAATCCTTTTTAAAAATTCTTTTCATCTTCGCCGCTTTACTCCTGTTCTTCGTTTTGCTTCAGGAGCTCAAGCTGACCAGATTTCATGCAGACAGCGCCCAGGACTTGGCGACAATTCTCTACCAAGTAGCCAGGTAGGACATATCAGCATTCCTAGTTACAGATTCATCTGTGGACTCCATGCATGAACAGTAGATGACGCTGCCTTTGTGACCCTTTTCGAGAGCCCCAGTGGGAGGGACACATCATGTGCCCGTACTGGTTCACATGCATTTGACATGAAGTACGCACGACTAATTTTATCCTGAATATGCACAAACCTATAGCATCTTTGCGTGAGAGTGAACGTGAGCCTTAGGGGTTGAGCGTCGGGCATGAGCGTCAGGCGTGAGTGTCAGGCGTTGACAGCAAAGCGTTCGAGTGCCCCTCCCAGTGGTCTCCCCATACTCTCCCTTGGTAACCGTTGAGGGGGTACTTCAGTCTTTGTTTCATTTATTAGATTTGCCATTCCAAAGACCCAAGGTATCTCAGAGAAGCATTTAAAGGTAGGGTAGATCATTTGTCATTTGTGCATCTTTTTTTGTTTGAAGCAACAAAAGTGCTCAAAATCTAAAGACTTCTTGTCTGAGAGAGGTGGTCTCGCTGCCTGTATTCAAACGTCTCCTTAAGACATACTTGTTCCAAGTCCATTCGTAATCGTATTGTGTCTGTTTTTCTTTCCTGTTATTTTTTGTTGTGGATGTGTGTTAAGTGCTTTGTTCTTTGTAAAGCGCTATATAAATACTTTGTATTATTATTATTATTATTATAAGACGGGTGCTTTAACACTAACCTAATGCAGCTATGCGATGTCATATGCTGAACTGACAAATAATTGCAACCGTGACGAATGACGAATAATTGCGCGTGTGTCGTGTCAATGCTTGCGCACCCCCATTCACAGATTCACCGAATTAGAAACCAACTACAAACGGAAATGTTCAAAAATGCGTCACTTGACACATTGGAAATGGCCTTCTTGTATTGTTTTCTTCAAAATGACCAGAAAAAACAATATCACAGGGAGTTTAGTTCATTACTATAAAACAAGTAAACTTTTCAACAATAGCTTGGTTAGTTACTTTTTTGGTGTTTAATAGCAAATTGTAACAGGGAACAATATGAATTTTATTCTTGATAGTTGAAGTAAAAGAAACGTTGTACCTTTTATCCTCAGTGATTTGAAATGGACTGCGTATGTAGACTACTACTATCGAGGCCACCCAGATCTCCATCAAGTTGTGAGGCAGCAAGTCAGCCAGATGAGTCCTGGTAAGATTTGAATTGGCAATTACTTCTAGCTTTGTAAGACAAAAATATCCTGGCGGATTATGAAATTTTGGATTTTTGTCACAAATATTTAAAGCACAATTACATAATACGGGGTGAGTAAAAAAAAAAAACCGAACCCAAACCCCCAAAATTATATTTCATGTTTGAAAAAATATGTGGCACCAAAAATAATAATTTCATAAGCTACTTTTAGATGAAAAAATTACTGTAATTGCTCAATCCGTTGAAAGAATATTACCATTTAAACGCAATGACCCTAAAACCTCTTTCGTCCAAAAAAAGCAATTTATTGTGTATTCGTTCTGTTTGGAACAACAAAGAAAATGACACAGAATACTTGTTTCAACAACTGTAGTACACAATATGTTTATTAACAACCCTGGTTAGGCAAACAATCTGATTTATAAAACCCAATTTTTAAAAAAGACGGCCTTCAAAAGGACTTTGTTGAATATTTTTTACTTCTAAACTAAGATTTTATTGCTGGTGATGTTGAAGACATTGTGACGACAATTCTTGAAACCGCATTTTTGGATGAAAGAGGTTTTAGGGTCATTGTGTTTAAATGGTGATATTCTTTGAATGGATTGAGCAATTTCAGTATTTTTTTTCATCTGAAAGTAGCTTAGGAAATTGGCTTTCCAGTCATTATTATTTTTGGTGCTACATATTTTTTAATATGAAATATAATTTTTGGGGTTTGGGGTCTGCCTTTTTTTTTACTTGCCCTGTATAAATGTTTTTGCCTTTCGCCAGTGTACTGTAGCTTAATATATGCACTGTATACTAAGTGCTGTCAAGGAGCGTGCGGTTCACAAGCTTGCGTGGTTCGGATTTGAACCCATGACTCTCTGCTAGTGCAGTTGCCTTCCCACTCAACCCACTGAGCTTACTACAGTCGGCTGGCTGGTTGAATCTGATGTGAACTCTGTGAAAGAAAGCTTTGTGACCACTTTCGAGAGGGACACACTTCTAGCATATGTACTGGTTTGGGCGCGTATGATGCGAAGTACGCATGACTTATTTGATTCTGAATGTGCACAAAACCTGTAGGATCTTCGCTTTAGCATCAGGTGCCATTGGCAGTGCGTACAAATGTCCTTCCCCATCGGTCTCATTTTAGTTGATGCCAGACTTTTTGAATTTCATATTTTTGTATGACTCTTTGAACGCACCAAAAAGAAGACATTTTGAAAGTAATACAAAAGTATATCACCTTTGCCTGTTGTTAGACTTGCTCATAGACACCTTGCTAAGAGCGCCTTTGAGTTGAAATTGCAAAATCTGTCCACAAAGAGGGCGCTCTTTGGAAGGTTCTATAAAATCCACCCTCCAATCCAAAATGAAGGGGACAAATTTTTCATCATAAATTTAATGAATCCTTTTTTAAAGGCATAGGATCATTTGCTGTTCATGCACTTTTGTTCATTTTCAATAATGACACCACTCAAAACCCCCCCCCCCCCCAAAAAAAATGTTCTAAACCTATCCTGTTGAAGTTTCAGCTCGGTAAACCCATAACTTTTCGAGAAAACAGTGAAAAAGCATGCGCAATCTTTTGATTACGAAACACGATTTCGTCATTGTAAGTCTTTCTTTCAAAAAGTTGGAGATCACCTACATTTCTTGATTTATTTCTTAATGACAGCAAGCCAGACGGAATAATTTCACTTGGTGTTTCGTACCAGTACAGTCTTTAATCTAAGTAAGCTTTGTCATAATAATTTAGTAGGTTACTTTTTGGGGTAAATGCAAATGATCCTATATGACTTTAATATTGTTTCCCTTTTTTTCCCCCCCAGAGCTGTATGCCCAGATGCAGCAGCCTGCTTGCTTCACGTCCACCCCTCCCAGCATGGCCCGCTGGCTGTACGGATCCCTCAGGGGCCTACCCCAAGAACCCTACCCATGCATCGATGACATCTGCACCACCTCTTACAAGATAATGATGGTAACTTCATGCCTCTCCCTGTTAACTGTTAAGATTTGAAAGGGACCATGACATGAATTTTACGCTACAACATATTTTTGCAAATTTCCAGTCTTCTCAATGAATGAAAGCTGTGAGACGTCCCTTTTTGGTTTGAACTTCATGTGAAGTACACTTCATTTAAACATTTAAAATTGTCCATCCTTTTCCTGACAACTGAGGGCGCTATTGCTGTAAGATAATTTAAGACCATTGATCTCCATCAGTAAGACTGGATAGGACACACGCATACTTGCGCGCAGTGAAGATTCGGAAAACGCGGACACAAACAGCTGGGTTGTACAGTGCGGGTTTAACGTTTGCGACCACGCCTGCGTGACGTGCGCGTGCTGCATGGTCCGTGTGTGACGAACGCATTTCAAATTTTGAAAACCCTCACCGATGACTATGCGTGCCTGCACAAGATGGAGGGCGCTGTGTTCTGTCCAGTCTTACTAATGGAGATCAATGTTTAAGACACACACTTTCAGTTTGGGTGGGTTCTTTTTCAAATCGTGAACCCGAACATTTGCTCATTGGAAACATTTGTACATATAGTTTGCCCACTGTCATGAACAATATATCACCAAAATTAGACAAATTTACCACAGCCAAAAAAACTCCTAAAAAACAAAAAATTCTGGCAACGTTTTGTGCTGAAGCAGCTGTAACACTGAAGTTTCTGACTTCTATTACGTCACAGTTTTACTAAAAATCTAAAAGGCACCAAAACACACTTGAAAGTGGCAACACGAAGAAAAAAACCTTAAATGACACAGAAAGATGCTTTTAAAGCTTTGCATACCACAAGCCAATATTCTTTTGGCTGGAAATGGTGCCTTGTGGTTTTAATGTCCTGTGCATTGTTTTGTTTTTACCCAATAAGACAATTAAGTAGTTGGAAAATACTATTTTGAGAATTAAATTCACCTGCTATAAAACAGACTTTGTCACATTATGTAGCAACAGTGTGACTGGTATATAAACTCTTTTTAAAGCCATGAAGTCATTTTAGAAAATCAGATTAATTCATCAGTTTTTGACTGAGGATTTGTTTTTTAATGCAATTTGCAGTTTTAGTAAAAATGTTATCTCCCATTTTCAACTACCCTTTAAATATATTTAATAGATGACTGTAATCTGCCTATATTTAGTCATGACATATTAAGTCTCATGAACCTAGTTGCTTTTGTCCAGTCTTAACAAAAACAAATCAAAGTCTCTTCATCCATAGCAATTGTTTTTTCTAACTCAACTCATCTTTTTGACTGAGGATTTGTTTTTTAATGCAAGTTGCAGTTTTAGTAATATCTTTATTTCCCATTTTCAACTACCCTTTAAATATATTTAATGGTTGACTGTTATCTGTCCATTTGAATTCACGACATATTAAGTCTCATGAACCTACTTGCTTTTTGTCCAGTCTTGACCAAAATAAAAATCAAGGTCTCTACATCCATAGCAATGATTTTTTTTCGAACTCAACAATACACCCTCCAAATTCCACTGTTCAGGATTTGATTTAAATTCTGCACAGCCAATGTCAATCCAAATGCAGCTGGATGTTGATATTTCGTTGTCTTGGCGCAAAGAATGTTCAACTGGTTTACTGCATGGATTTAGCAACATTCAACAAGCTTCCTTGCAAAATGTCCATTACATTTTAGGCTAACAACTTGTAATATTAACCCTTACCCCCTTGAGTGATTTACTAGGACCCTTCCTCACTCTTGCAAAATCCAACGTGTTATGGTAAGAACGTTCAACTGATTTACTGCATGGATTTCATGGATAAAGCTTCCTTGCAACATTGGCATTGCAGTTAAGGCTAACAACTTTGAAATTTGTATAGCTATTTACCTCCTTACTTTTGTTGTAGCTTTACTCCTTGTACCTGAGTCAAGACATCTCCAAGATGTGGAATCCGAAGACAAGTTTCAGAAGACTCTCAGCTGCAGGTAGAAACCAAAAATCGCCCAAATAATTATCAAGTTAACCACAATGCAAAGTAATATGAAACGATTTTAATTTGATTTTTTACCTTGTCTTGTTAATGGGCAAGTCCAAGAATTCGCGCACGATATGTCCCAGTTGAACCCTCTACTATATTCATGTATTTCGGTGGTTTATTTTCTACTGTTGGGTATCTGCAAGGAGAATACACACAAGGTTGTTCATGTTATTAGTCTTTGCGATGATCATATAATTAAAGAAAACATGGTGTTACGTATGGGACAAAAAGGGGACCTTTTCTTGCACTTACCCTAATATTTATGTGCTTATATTTTTGTATGCTCTTTGTAACGAAGAGCAGTTATAGTGTTATAATGAGACAACCAGTCAATCAATCAGTCACTATGCAGGATTTGTTAGAAGGCCAGTTACTTGAAAGTAGCTGTGGAAACTTCAGATTTTGTTTTTGTTTCGTGGAGGGGAGGTAGTCCAGTCGATCACAAGTCCCTGCAAGTCCATCACAAGTCCTCCAGTCCCAATTCAACTCACAAGCTATTCACATGAGCTTTGATACAGGCATTCCTTTGTCATTGTTCATCCACTGTTACATGTGAGTGGACTTGTGATGGACTCGTCTGCATTCCTGTTTCGTTGGTCCACACTAATGCTGTTTCATTGATGTAACACTGTCTATTTCATATTTTGAATATAGTCACCAGTGATTAAAAAAATACAGTAGGAAATTTACAGCCTGAAATCTGAGTGCATGTGGCCAATCAAAATTGACTTCAGGTGGAAGCTGGTTTTTTGTTTGTTCGTGTCCCCCCAACAGGCCAACCTGCCAAATTGTCCGACGCTAGAGTCCAACTGGATGATTTCATCCGGTCCCACGTGGACCTCAACAGTGCCGAGCGGACCGTGCTCTTCATGACCACGATCGGCTTCACCTTGCGGGATCTGGAGGCTCTCCAACTCGGCGTGGCCCTCCCACTCTGCGAGGCAATCTACCGGTGTAGGGAGAACCCCCCAAGCAGTTGGCCCGAGGCTGCCTACGTGTTGATGAAGCGGCAGGACCTGTCGGCTCAGGCCCGGCTGCCTAGGGACAAGAAGAGAAGACACATGGTAGGCTGGAGGCAGAGTTGTAATAGAGACAATCTCAAGTCTATCACAAGTCAATCTCAAGTCAATCACAAAGTCAATGTGAAGTCAATCACAAGTCTATCTCAAGTCTATCACAAGTCAATCTCAAGTAAATCACAAAGTCAATGTGAAGTCAATCACATGTCTATCTCAAGTCTATTACAAGTATATCTCAAGTCAATCACAAAGTCAATGTGAAGTCAATCACAAGACAATAACAAGTCTATCTCAAGTCAATCACACAAAGTCAATGTGAAGTCAATCACAAGACAATCACAAGTCTATCACAAGTCTATCTCAAGTCAATCACAAAGTCAATGTGAAGTCAATCACAAGTCTATCTCAAGTCAATCGCAAGACAATCACAAGTCTATCACAAGTCTATCACAAGTCTATCACAAGTCAATCTCAAGTCAATCACAAAGTCAATGTGAAGTCAATCACATGTCCATCTCAAGTCTATTACAAGTCAATCACTAGTCAATCACAAGTCAATCACAAGTCTATCCCAAGTCAATCACAAGACAATCACAAGTCTATCTCAAGTCAATCACAAAGTCAATGTGAAGTCAATCACAAGACAATCACAAGTCTATCTCAAATCAATCACACAAAGTCAATGTGAAGTCAATCACAAGACAATCACAAGTCTATCACAAGTCTATCTCAAGTCAATCACAAAGTCAATGTGAAGTCAATCACAAGTCTATCTCAAGTCAATCGCAAGACAATCACAAGTCTATCACAAGTCTATCACAAGTCTATCACAAGTCAATCTCAAGTCAATCACAAAGTCAATGTGAAGTCAATCACATGTCCATCTCAAGTCTATTACAAGTATATCTCAAGTCAATCATAAAGTCAATGTGAAGTTAATCACAAGTCTATCTCAAGTCAATCACAAGTCAATCACTAGTCAATCACAAGTCAATCTCAAGTCCTCAGCTGGTGATTGACTTGTGGTCACTAGCGGGGACTTATGACATGGCTGATTTTATCACAACTCTAGAGAGAGAGAGAGGAACACCATAAAACCATTTACACGTGAGATAAGGTGGCATTATCACAGCACAAAGCAACCAGTGGGATTTCAGGTTCACTTAGTTTACTATTGTCAATGCAGGAATCATCAGCTGACAAGGAGTCCAAGCAGGAGGATGACGGGATGGGTCACCTGGATCAAGAGCTTCTACGTCTGCGCTTCCCCGATGACCTGAGGGTCCAGGAAGTCCGGAGGCTGCTCCAATCCTCCAAGCCAGCACGGATTGCTCTGGTCCAGAAACCTGAAGTCAGGTAAGAAATCATCTCATTAAAGGCACGTAGGAACATGTGCTATTACCCAGAAACATACCTACCTGTTTAACAAGAAAGTGCTTGCTCAAAGTGAAGAAAGGACGGATGAAATGGTATCATTCGAAGAAAACAATCGTTGGATTTGGTTTAAGAAAATAAGGCCTTCGGTAGTTTTTACATTTATAAGACCCCAACAAATTTTGCATTTGTTTTCTCTGTTTTCTCAAACTGTAAAGTATTTACTGAGCCGAAACTGTTGAGCAATTTTGTGGCTTCAAACAAAAACACGCACAAAAAGCAAATGTTCCCATGTACCGTTAAATATTTAGGATAAGTCTTACTGTTTTGTTGGTCACGGAGGGCCAGACTAGTGTCCTCTTTGGACCTATCTGACTGATTGCCCTACTGACTGACTGACTGACTCCCCGACTGTCACACGTGAATGGTTGTAGACAGGTGAACAGAGCCGGGCAGTGCTGTCATATAGGATTACTCCCAACGCCAGTGAGTAAGCTCAATCCGGCCCATTGTGTAGACCAGCTGGGTGAAAAGACTTCCAGTGAATAGCCATTCTCAATCTCGCCTTGTCTTGTTTTATCCACAGTGATCATGAGTTCATTGAAGAGCAAGAAATGAGGCTTCTGGTGGTGTCACAGAGAACCATGGCTCTGTCCATTGGAAGGTCAGTCTACGTTTTTGTACTTAATCTTCTTATTGAGATGTTTAAAAAAATCTTGGGAAATACTTTGGATGAAAGGAAGTCTTTGACTGAAGCCAAGTCTATGGTTCTGTTGTATGTGCAGATTCGTAGTTAGAATTTCACCCAGAAAGGTTATGTAATTAGACCTTAAAAAAACTAAAGAAATGTATTCTTAAAGTCAATAAGGCTCTTATTCAGGTCTGTAGAAGAATATAAAATTTATTCTTTCAATTAGAGGACAATTAACCTATCGCGGTAGAATCGCGTCAATGCAGCTTGTGAAATATTGTCCAATTACATGACGTACGAGTGGACGCTGAACGCACAAATCTGAGACAAACAAATCTTAACATACAAAATTCCATAGAGTTGTCTAAGGGGCGTGGCTAACTGGCAAACGGCGATAGGTCAATAGGGTCCACGATTGGGTGAAGGTCCACTTTTAGAGAACATGTACAAACCCAATGGGGTTTCTTCGTGAAAAAAAAGTTATAACAATAGGAGGACAATAGGAGATGGAAGGTGTTTCCACACTTATGTGAGGATATTGATTATGGTACATGGCTAAAGACATCCTGATTTCTGAACTGCGCGTATTGTTCCAAAGAGAGCGCGCCGCAGACTTGGGTTCATACATTTCGTGAAGGGGTAGTTTGGAAGAGAGAAATACATTTTCCACCAATTTTGTATTGAAATTGAAGTTTATTTCAACTGTGTTCAGATTTTAATAATTTAAAATATTAAAATCAAGCAGAATCTGTGGGTGAAGTGTTATAAAACAAATATTGAATGCTTTATCTCGTGGTAAAGTAAAACTAGCCTCCCGAGGTGATCCATGGACCATTCTATTTTCCCTCGGCTTCGCCTCGGGAAAATAGCATTTTGCGGGAGGCTAGTTTTACTACACCACTCGAAAGCATTCAATATTTGTATACTATCCAACAGGGGGATGTTTACTCTGTGCACCTCCCACCCTGTCGTCACAGAGATGTTACCCATACCGAAGCTGAACCTATCTGGTCGGGCTCCACCAAGGTAAGAGTAATCTCAAATTCCATTACAGAAAAAAAACAACGACTCGCCTCTGTTTATCTACATCACATGCATATCAATGCTCGCGCGTGCACAAAAGACTTGCTGGAAAAAGTCACCCAAACTACACCCTCTGTGCCCACTGCATTGCCCTAAAAGGTAATATACAACATTTGCAAAAATAAATAACAACCAAATTATTATGAAATACCTTACTTTACTGTAAACAAATAATAGTCTAGAGCATCCTGTGGAATCGTGGCACCTGGTGTGCTGTCATTTTCAAGAAAAGCAGAATTTTTGTATCAATTAGCCGACCATTGTTGGAAAAATATTGACTTTTTTTCAAATACTGCTCCCAATTTACCAAATTAAGTTAGTCCACATTTGGTTTACAATCGGTTACACATTCATGAACAGGTGCAAGCCAGCTAGTCTGGTTCTCTGACCTGACAATGCCCCGGCATCTATAAATTGCTCCGTTTCGTCTGAAGTAGGGTCAGGGAACCAGCATTTTCTCAATGGCTTTTCCAGCATCTATGAACACGAAATTTTATACAGGTCAGTGTAACAATATTTGCTATAAAATACTAACCCCCCAAATCCATCCATTTTTGAAAATTGCAGCGAAAGCAAATGTTGTATATTACCTTTAAAAAGTCCTAAAACACAAAGAATTGCTGTGAATTGCTGTGAATGCTAGACATTTCATGTAAACTTGAATCCTCGATCCTGATTGGTCGATCCATGGCAACAAGCTGTGCTACATATAGCCATGCAGCAAGGCCACGGTCCATACCGCATTTCGCGTATTGCACTTTTCTAAGATGCGAGCCATTCCTTACAAAACGCACGTGTAATTGGATAACGGCTGAAAAGTTTGTGTACTGCGTGTGTGTTCCATCGTTACTGCGCATCAGGTTTCATTGAAGATAAAATCGGTCTCCCACTCTCACTCATGGGATACGTAAAATGTAGTGCGTCTTTTCCCCACAAATGCGGGACACAGACGCACTACATGATTCCGTGTTCCACTTCCGCTCGTGGGATAACTAATATTGGACGTTCTCTCGTAAACGCTGCCTGTTCTAATTGGGTTAACACAATGCTCAAATTGGTCACACTAGGGGCCGAGTTTGGAAACAGTTGCCTTAAAATTTACAAAGGATAGTCAGACAGAGAGTAGAATTCCTACACCTACTAAAGAACACACTTACAGTAAAAAATACGAGAGAGCTCATCCATTGTTGTTCGTACAAGTATGATAAACAGTCGGAAAATATTGGACAGCGACCGAAATGTCACTTTTTGAATTTGGGAATTTCCTGTTCCAAGTCATGGAACTCTGCCTGTTTCTTTCCAGCGAGAATGCGGCATGTTCATTGGAACATTCCGAATGCAATGAAAAACGTGAAGTTTTGGTAACGTTCTCTTACCAGTTTAACCAGTGCAGTGCTGTAATTTCAAGCATATACCTGCCATCAAAGTGAGTTTATTAATAGGAGAATTAACTTCAGGTCTGAAAAGTAATAGAAGGCAGAGTGTTATTCATTTGCTTATGAGGGAAATATGTTAAACTTTGTTTTTGTTGTTTTTGTTTTTGTTTGGCCAAAGGAATAACACTATTTCCTTTCTTCATATCGACGTTCCTACCAACATGAGTTCCTGGCCCTCGTTTCACAACGGCGTTGCCGCAGGACTCAAAATTGCTCCCGGCTGCTCACAGGTTAGTGCAGGGATGTGTACCACTCACGCAAACCTTCGTTTTATTATAAAGTTAGGCCTATTCGAATGTGCCAACTCAAGTGGAACAAAAGTGCCATTAAAAAAATGTCAAAATGGCGGCACCTAGTGCAACATGTTTTGATGTGTGGATAGCAACTTTTCAAATCTTTAGAAAATTATTTGTAACTAGAAGTGAAGTTTCACCTGTGATATATTAAAGGTAGAATAGATCATTTGCAGCTTACCAAAAAGTAACTGACGAAATTATTGTTGAAAAGCTTACTTGGTTTAAAGATAGTAAGGCACTAAACTCACGGGGAAATTTTTCTTTCTAGCATGCTGTTGTTTTGAAGAAAACAAAACAAGAAGGCCATTTCCAAAGATGCGTCAAGTGATGCATTTTTGGAAATTAGTTAGTTGTTGGTTTGTAATTTGAGGAATCTGTGAATGGGTTTGCACAAGCGTTGACACGACGCACACACGCGCGTGGTTGCTTTTATTCGTCGGTTCAGTGCGTAGCTGCAATCGGCTAAAATGAGAGCATGTCCCGGATGCTGATTTCAGGCGCATTTCAAAACATGACTCGGCAACTTTTGAATTGAAATCAAGATCCTAGACTATTGTTTTCTCGAAATATACAGCATTCACTGAGCTAAAACTTCATCAAGTTAGTTGTTAAGCACCCGTCTTTAGATTTTGAGCACTTTTGTTGCTTCAAACGAAAAAAAAGAAAAGAAATGATTTACCCTACATTTAAAAAATAGCCTACTTTATAAATAATGGCAACTTCCAGCTCTGACAGCTCACTGTGTCTGAGTTGGCCATCTTTGGAAACCATAGTGAACGACTCGGTAAGACTGTTTGCCTTTGTTGCTAATGTTTGCTGGTTGTTCTTGGTATCAGTCAGTCCCTCTTGCCCAAAAGTTGCCAGCATTGGCAAATGATAGCATCGTTTGCATAAGTAGAACGCACTCTAGGATCCTCTTATTCTCAGCAAATGCCATTTGAAGTTTTACATCGGTGAAAAGGATAACTTGAGAGAAGTGATGTTCTATATAAAAGCAAATGGTTCTTTCAAAGAAAAGGCAGATGTGTTCATTTGATGTTTTGGTTAGTACACCCACTCCGACCGAAAAACAGAAACACCTCTCGTTGTTCTCAGCACCACTTCTCATTTTAGAGATAGGCAACTTTACAGGGTGTATCAGCAAGGTTCTCCCAACATATTTCCAGTAGTGTGGTTTGGAGTGGATTTTCATCTTTAAACTGTATTCTAACTGATTTGTCTTCCAAATACCAACCTTATGTTGCAAAAACACATCTTACATTATCAAAGAAACCTTGTAATGCATACACTTCAATTTGGTGAATATTTGCATTTTCCTGCCTTCACCATTTGTTGGCAGATTGATTCAACATGGATTGTGTACAATAGACCAGCTGGTTCTGAGCTGACCAATGAGCACGCAGGATTTCTGATGGCCCTCGGACTGAACAGACATCTGTCTAGTCTGTCCACTCTCAACGTTCATGACTATCTCTGCAAGGTAGGTAACCGAACCGAGAAGTGACCTAAGGAAGGTGACATTGCAGACTGTCTGGTATTTGTTTTTTTTTTAGAGTTGAGGTAGTCTTATTATTATTATTATTATTAGCAACCAAAGCATCTAAAATGGTTGGATTAAAAACATTTTGAAAGATATTTAAATTACATTTGAGTTTGAAATATTAAAACTTTTAAATAACAATGCACATTAAACATTAAAAGCTCCTATAAATTTTTTTTTTTTTTTTTTAAATCAATCCAAACCAACTTACTGGAAACATACTTTCACAGACCTACAACATGACTTACAGAGCCCCACCGGACATGACAAGTATTTAAATTTAAAAACAAAACAGTTCAGTTATAATACATATTCATAAATACCTCAGACAGTTTAGCTATTCCTATTGGTCGAGAGCCCGTCACGTGGCCGGTTTTAAACGGATGATAAAGACATGGCTAGCTGGTCTTAAACACTTTTCCAGTGTCACAATAAAATGTGGACTCCTAAAAATCCAGTGCCTCTTGCCGTTTTATTGGTTGAACGTTCACCGTCCTCACGTAGGCATGCGCAACACTACCAGCGAGTCAGAATTTTATAGTTCTAAATTCAAAACGCAACGCCCCAGGTGCGTTCTGCGCGACATCGCGTCCATGTCGCGCAGAACATGCTACGCGCGCGTCAATCTCCATAAAAGGGTTGTTTACATCTTACTCGCCAGCTGAACATTCCATTATTTTGCTAGAGGGATGTTTCAAAAAGCATGAAGTGAACTTGCTGAACAAAATCAGGATTTTTTGAACGAATTGTTTGATCTTTTTTTACCGAAAAGGTATTTATGAATGGGAATAAATGTGTGCTCGGTCGGTATTTATCACTCTGTTTAATACCACTTAGAGTCTGGGTGCTGATAATTACCCTCGCCTCCGGCTCGGGTAATTATCAGCACCCAGACTCTAAGTGGTATTAAACAGAGTGATAAAAACCTCCGGAGCACACATTTATTCCCTTATTTAAATCATTTAGACACACATGCATTCACAGGTAACTTCACACGATATAAAAACACACTTCAACCTAAAATAGTCATTAATATCAACATCAGCATCAACTTAACATTGCTAAAAAGTGACTGACAATTAGGACTGAAAATTATAGAGACACCAGGGAATGAAACTATTCTTTAGTCTGTTCGTTTTTAGAAAGGCAGGCTGAACTGTCTTTGGTTCCTTAATGCATACGATACAGGCTGGTGTTTTTCGAGCAAATGATTCAGCCTATGGTTAGGATTTGACATGTCAGCGAATAACTGCTCACACAGTGACTTCTGCGGGCATGTAGAGTTTGAATATCTACCTGCTCCATTGCCTTTGCATAAGACTTACCAGGGATAATAATTCTCAAAGCTCTTCGTTGAATGGATTCCAACAAATTGGACTGTTCCTTAGTTAAGCTGCTATGGTAAACCTGGCATGCATAATCAAGTATGGATCTAATACAAGCAAAATAGTATTTGCAGAGGTCCAGCTGGTTAAGACCTGCCCTACGAAGTTGCACTAACAAATACAGTCTCTGAGCAGCTTTTGTATACACAGCGTTAACATGAGTTTCCCATCGTAAATCATCACTGATGTTCAACCCTAACAGTTTCATTTGTTTCACACGATCAGTGTTATGATCATCAATGTTTATGCTGGGAATTAACGGCACATGTTTACGGAAACTGATAACCATTTCTTTAGTTTTATTTGGATTAATCCGCATGTCATTATGTGAGGACGAATCAATCACCTCCTGCACCGACTCCTGCATTTTGGATTCATCTGGCGATGTTACTATTTCATACAGTGTTGTATCATCAACAGTCTCGTTTGCTTCACACACCATCGTTGAATCATTTAGCCAACAAGTGAACAAAGGCTGCCTTCTGATCTAGCATGTGATGTAGGAGAGGTACATGACATTAATTTTGGACCGGCAGCATTGCATAAACCTCAAATGCAGTTAACAGTTCGAAATCCTTAAAAAGTATCAAATTAAACTTGTTTGATTTGACAGGGTCATGAGATGACAAGTGTGGGGCTTCTCCTTGGATTGGCAGCAGCAAAGTAAGTGTGTTAATAATTAGTCATTGTCTACAACTCCCTCCTCTCCCCCCCCCCCCCCAAAAAAAATTGTACCACAATAATAATAATAATAATAATAATAATAATAACTGGACGTAAAGAGCGCCAAATTGGCAAAGGATACAAGGTGCTTATCATTGGGCCAATGAAACATTCCAAATACCATCTTAGCTCCCTGGGGAGTATACAGCTGGATGCTGCCATTTCAGCGCAAAGCATGAATCATGGCTGTGATTGGACAGAGCGTCGGGGGGGGGGGGGGGGGGGGGCTTAATGGATTGATGTACTGTGTTTGCCAGGTCAATTATAGACTCTGTGCACAAACAGTACATTTTGTCACAAACAGGAAGTTTGGAGGGACCACTGGTATGTACCCTTGATCACTGCCTACTTCGCACCAAATGCACATGAATCTGTATGCGCAAGCATCCTGGCCATTGGAAATCTAATGAGGCCTAAAAAAAATTGTGTTATTACTGTAACCCGACCTACCTGGATTTTTTTAGACCAAATTGCCAACCTCAAACTTTTTATTGCCACATTTGGCAAACATTTAAAACAAAGTATATTTTGTAAAAAAAAAAGCTTCCCTGTGCAAGTGTTTTGTGTGTTATTAGTTAATGAAACAGTAAAACAGGTTAATTTAACAGAATACTGCAGTATACTGCAAAAGGAACCGATAAGTAAACAAAGGAAGTGTAAAGGACTGACAGACGCACATAAAAAAAGTTACAAAATAAAATTATTTTCCTACCTACAAACCTGGATAATTGAGGTTTTTACTGTTATCACACAATTATTGTTTACTCGCCCTGAGTGGTGATGTGTACCGTCAACTTTTCATGCATGGAGTCCACAGCTGAATTTGCCACGTTTGTCTACTCTCGTGATTGTAGGCGTGGCACCATGGACGTAGCCACTACTAAGATGCTGAGTATTCACATCAGCGCACTTCTGCCTCCGACATCCACCGAGCTAGACATACCCCACCTGGTACAGGTGGCTGCAGTCATGGGTATAGGGCTGGTGTATCAGGGCACGGCACACAGACACATCGCTGAGGTTCTCCTGGGAGAAATAGGTGAGATGGTCATCAGGTTTTTAGGGTTACCTAAGAAGGCCAGTTTTTTTAGCAAGGCCTTATTATGTTATTTTTCTGTGTACAGACAGTCAAACAATCTTGTTTATTGAATCGGTTTAGTAACTGTACTTTTGATCTGCATATATTTAAGATTGTAAACATGTAATTTGTGAACGATAGCAACCTGTGATTTTATGTCAATAAACTTGGATTCACATCTTGTTATACCTTGAAATAGAGTTGTTACAGCGCCCTGATTTGCTCAAAAATAAGACCTATTAGCATCTAGCAGAGTTGTCTGAATTCGTCTTGGAAAGCCTGAATACTGAGGCTGTTTTTAAACCATCCCGACTCCCAAACTCTGCAGTATGTACACAACTTGGCCTAAGGAAACTAAAGGTGGTAGGGCTCCTCAATTCTTAATAAATAAAAAAAACTACCACAAAAACCTGATGGATTTGGAATGTTTTTTATTGTAGGTCGACCCCCGGGACCAGAGCTGGAGAACTGCACAGACAGAGAATCTTACTCACTGGCTGCTGGTTTGTCACTTGGAATGGTCATGTTGGGGGTAAGGCTAAATGTGACACTCTCCACATCCCCTTAGCCCCACCCCAGCCCCCGCCCCCGCGCCTGCCCCCAACCTCCACCTTGCCCCCACTCCACCCAATTTCCCATCCCCAACTCCCCACCCCTCCACCCAATCCCCATCCCTCCACCCAATCCCCATCTCCCCAAACTCCCCACCCCTCCACCCAATCCTCACCCCTCCACCCAATCCCCATCCCTCCACCCAATCCCCACCCCCCAAACTCCCCACCCCTCCACCCAATCCCCATCCCTCCACCCAATCCCCACCCCCCAAACTCCCCACCCCTCCACCCAATCCTCACCCCTCCACCCAATCCCCATCCCTCCACCCAATCCCCACCCCCCAAACTCCCCACCCCTCCACCCAATCCCCTCCACCCAATCCCCATCCCTCCACCCAATCTCCACCCCCCCCCCCCCCGGCCCCAACTCCCCTCCCTTCCACCCAATCCCCATCCCTCCATCCAATCCCCACCCCCCCAAACTCTCCACCCAATCCCCATCCCCCAATCTCCCCTACCCTCCACCCAATCCCCATCCCCCCCCCAAAAAAAAATCCCCACCCCTCCACCCAATCCCCCCCCCCATTTCTCATGGTTGAAAGTCTGTGATCATACCAAACAAATTCACTGGTCTGCTGCTATGCATTTTTATATCTGTCTACAGCAATACATTTTCATTTCAGTTTACGATGCCACTTAGATTGTTTATTTTTTGGTTTGTACCAATTCTCAGCACGGAAGCAATGCTGTTGGCTTGTCAGATCTCAACATGGCCGACCAACTCTATCACTACATGGCGGGAGGTTATAAGAATCAGCCGGTAAGTCATTGCAAAGAATTACCCAGAATGCCAAGGGTTTGTGTTATAGCGACATGTGTTGCACATGGGCCAATTTCATGGCGCTGCTAAGCACAAAAATTTGCTTAGCACAAAAAGAGTCTGGCTTATAAAAGCAGGTTACCAGCCAAAACTCCGTGCGATGTATATTGCTCTTGATTAGTATTGAGCTGTTGTTTGCTATAGGTTGAAAATCACATGGAGTTTTGGCTGGTAAAGTGCTTTTATAAGCCAGAGTTTTTTTGTGCTAAGCAATTTTTTTTTGCTTAGCAGCGCCGTGAAATTGGGCCACTGTCACTGACCACAATGCTAACTGGACTGGCTACTACATGCTAATTGGCCAATGTGCCTTGAAGCCACTGATCCGCCATCTTGGATTCCCAAAACATCACGGCGGAACAAACATGTACATCGTTCTGCTGTTGAGGGTTATTCCTACTTGAAACAAAATTTCCCAAAAGTACTGTTTGTTCTTTTGATGTTGGCCAGTTCTAAGATGGGGATTATGTAAATATCAAAACCTGGTCAGGAAATACAATTGTTATTTTAGCTGCCTTTGTGCCTGCGTTATGGGTGACCCAGGATGGCGGAGGGCTGCTTCAGTAGGTGGGCGCCAGGCATTGTCAGCCAGTCAAGTTAGTTACAGAGGTTAGTGGCACAGGTAATCACCACATCAAGGGGTTAGTGTAGTATATCTGCTTATCTTCCCTATTCATTGGGTAAAACGGCAATGTCGTCTAAGGTAGAACCTTTACTGTCGCAGCTGTTTGAATTCCAAAAGTTTATTTGGACTTTGTATTTATTTAACACCTGAGGCCATTTCTCCCTGTTTGTGTGGTTCACTAGAAAAAAAATGTTCATTGGATATTTGAGCAAACTTTAAAGGGAATATACAACATTTGCAAACATCGAAAAATAAAACTACCTAGTTTTACAAAATACCTTACTAGGATGTTGGTAAATGCCAGCCTAAAGCATCCTATAAAATTATGGCACCTGGTGTGAAGTCATTTTCAAGAAAATGTTATTTTTGTAAAAATTTCCAACGGTGGTCGGCCGACCACCGTTGGAAAAACCTAACTATTTTTCAACTACTGCTCCAAATTAACCATTTTTCTGTCAGTCCAAATTTTGTTTGCTATTGGTTACATGTTCATGAACGGGTGCAGGCCGGCTAGACTGGTTCCATTACCTTACAAGTTTCTGGCATCTGTAAATTGATCCATTTTATATTTAGTGGAGTCAGGGAACCAGACTACTTGAACGTTTTTGTTTTTCTTGTTTTTTTCCAGCATTCAAACATGTCAGTCTTACAATATTTGATCTATTATACTAACCCCTCAAATAGTTCATTTCTGAAAATTACAGCAAAAGCCAATCATGTACATTCCCTTTAATACAAGCTACTGCATGAAATGCAGTCGAAGTTCATCACTTGTACCTGAACTTTTAGAATGCTTAAAAAGTGACAGCAATAGTGCCCTCAAATATCAGTTAGTATGGACATTTTTTATACTTTTACAAATATCACCTTAAAAAAATGAGTTTTATAGAGGTGTCCCATCTTTTTCGTTAACGTTATGAAAACTAAACAAATCTTCATGTCACCATCATTGCAATATTCTATCACGGATCTGTCGTTCCTTTGCTGACAGAGCGGTGCAAACAAAGAGAAGTTCAAATCTCCCTGCTACCAGATCAAGGAAGGCGACCAGGTCAACATTGATGTCACGTCACCGGGGGCAACGCTGGCCCTGGGGCTCATGTTCTTCCAGACTGCTAACAGGTTAGATAACATTCAGTTTTCAAATTGGTTGTGAGTTTGAGTCCCACTCGAGTAAGCTTGCGAATTTTTTTCTAACAAGCTCTCAAACAACACATCATAAAATAGTGATTGGTTGCAGTACCTACTGCTATATCAGATTTGAACCAGCCAGCCGACCCCAGCTAGCTCGGTGGTCGAGTTGTAAAATTCCCTCACTTGTAAGCAGGAGCTCATTAGTTGAGTCCCATTCGAGTAAGCTTGTTAATTTTGTTATCGCATGCCTTTGGACAACACTGAGTATACAGTATTTTTGAAATTATGTCGGTAAGTTGCAAAATTAAAGGTTGGATGTAAATATCTATGAACTCAGTTCAGGATCTGTTGATGGCATTGTGCAACCTACATGAAAGAACACTAATATGCGGGACACGCTGCGTGTGCAGAGTTGCTGCAGACACATCTGTATATTTTGGGTAGTAAGGCCGAAAATCCATGCGTCCGTTAAGCATATTGCGCACTGCGTGATGCGTAAGCCAATTCGAAAAGCAACGCGCATACGTCCATGTATTCGTATTTACCATTGTGTTATCCATTGAAATTGTATACACTTCGTGTAGCGATTGAAACGGATGACGCATACAATACGCATAAGGTTTTTGTGTGAAACTGAAAGAAATGATGTAGTGGTTGGGTAAAAAGATGAATAAAAAATGCATGGTTGGCTTTAAAACAAAGCAGTTTATATGTGAAACTGATTGAAACAAACTAGGGCCTGTCTCGATTTTAATTTTCAAATCCTCCGTTGATAAAATATTGAAAATCCATTCCCTTTGTATTTTATTGACAAGTTAAATCTTGTCAATGTTGATTTCATAAAATGTGTACTTTGACAAAGCTAATCCAAATTTGATGAAGAGTTGGTTTTACTACTCGCAAAACTTCTGCCTGCTCTCGTTTTGAGCTTTTGCGTCGGTCAAGAATGCAGAAAAACTTGTACGCATGGATTTTCAGAATACGCATCATGTATACGCAAGTTGTAAACGCAAAACGCACATCGAAAATGTACTCGTGGATTTTTGGCCTTTTAAGGCACAACCGCCTGTACCATTACCACTGACACAATCATTTTAGACCTTTACTTGTGATTCTGGTTATTAATATGTTGCTTGGCGTTTGTTGATTAGTTGTTGGTTGCTTGTTGATATTTCCGGCAGGGCTGTGGCTCAGTGGTTAACCGCTCCAGACACCCAGATACTCCTGGACTTTGTCAAACCAGACTTTCTGCTTTTAAGAGTAAGTTACAATTCTTTCCTCTCACCGTTGTGTCTTGACAGTAGAAGTGTGCGGGATCTTAAATCCAATAAGACTCCTCCCTCTTGTAAGAAGTCAGGGGTGAGACTTTTCTGGGAGGTTTTTCCCCGGATTTGTAGAATTTAAGAATGTGGCGATGAGAAGTATTTTTGTCTTTTTGGGTCAAAGGTGTATATGAAACAATTGCAATGGGTAGATCATAGGAGTGCCTTTTTAGGCAAATACATATATGTACCTTTTTTTATACAGACCCTGTGTTGCTCTGGAGTGGAAAAAACACCCATAATACAGGTCCGAAAATATTTTGTTAGCATGCAACAAAGTACGCTCTGGATGTACCCTATTACAAGTATGTCTTGTAAGAAGGTACAATTAGTAGTAAAAAAAATATGTTAATTACATGGTATTGAAAAACTTTATGCGGAAAAGGAATAATTTTTTCTTCTTTTTATTTCTTCTTTGACTTTTCAAGACGTTAAGTAAAGGCCTTGTAATGTGGAATGAGATTGAACCCAACAGTGACTGGATTCAAAACAATGTGCCTGAGGTAAGTCCTTTCATGAGAGATGGAGAATTCTTGTTGCCCTGCTCTTTTAAACTTTAAATCAAAATGTAACAAAAGTAAGTTATTTTTTTTTGTATCAATAAAACTTCATTTTCAAAACATTTAATAGACTGTTATTTTCAGAACTAAAGTTAAAAGGGTAAACACTGATTGCAAAAATAGAATTTTGTATTATTTTGGTATTACAAGTTGTAAACATAATTTGATCAACTTCTGCAAGATGTCCCTCCCGTCATTCCATAATGTAGACAATTAAAAAACAAATAACGGATGACTTATTTTATCATGATTATTCTTCAGATTGTGAAGAAATATGCCTTCAAAAGGAACATCACTGCTCAGGAAGATATGGACATTGACATCGACTTGCAGAAAATGAGGTAATATTCTTAAAGGCAGAACGCGAAATTAAAAATGTTGTAGCGTGAGGTTTACCTCAAATACCTTGGCGTTCAGCCTCGACTTACCGCTTGTCTGATTTTGCGTTATACCCTTAAAACGACGTTTGACCTAAAAGGATCCCAAAAGTTTGAGACAACTTTTTGTTGAATCCTTCTGCCCCGGCTTGTGATTAAAATTTGCATTTGGGAGCTGTAAATTTAAAAAATTGTGTTTGCCCATTTCTTTAAATAGCATAGCACACATTGTTCTATCTTTGTTGCACAAGTTTGGACAGATCTGAGTATAGACTGCTTATAAAATTACATCGGTAGGTTACTGGGCTAAAAACCCAAAATATTTACAAATCTTTCTGCGCCAATGTACAGTTGTGATCTCCAAGGTTCATTGACTCTAACTCCCTACGGTGCGTGATAAATCATTACATTTGGAGGATACGGGACTGTTTTCGGGTTCTTGGCACATCACATGCTTGCTCTATACTATAATACTAGACATTTTCACCATGGGGCCGTAATGTAGTCTGACTATCACCTGTCGTCCAACGGAACCTCCTCTCTGTCTCTGGTCCAACGTCTGGTATATCTTAGCATGCAAATTTGTGCGACACAGCCAATTGGAGTTGGCGTGACGTCATTTCATTCTGAAATCTGGACTAAGCTGTTGGTTGCTGAATTTGGATGCCATGTTTTTGTTGTACAACAACGGGCATAGAGATCTATTAAAGAGGTTGTGGAATGCTGAAAGTCGTTTTGTTTTTTATATTTTTTATTGTATAGCAGAACCATATATATCATGATGACAAACTCCCATTCTTTTGTAATGTGCGTTTATATGTTTATCAAACTGAAATTCATCGAGTAATTTGTTGGTCGGCGAGCGCATAATTAAAATCAACAGTCGTCGGGTTCTTCGTAAAATCAGAAAAATCGTGACGTAATAAACAGGACTCGTTTATACTACGCTGCATAGGGAGTCCTGTTTATTACGTCACGATTTACTATGTTTTGTTTGCTGCCCCCAACGACGACTTTTACACAAATTGCACGTTCGGGTCGAAACAGGACCTGAAAAACAGCTCTCAAAAGTACCTTTTGTATTCATTTCATGACAGAAACAATAGTCGTTTTCATTTCATCACACCTTAGGCTACATATACCCGAAAAATGACGGAAATGTCTTCGAGCATTCCACAACCTCTTTAAAACCTAGACAGGACATTGGTTCTAAAACGCTTTGCGTATAGAATACATCAACGCTCATCGAGGGCGTTCGCATTACGCGCATTATTTAAATTATGTGATGATCATTTGAAGCAACAGGATGTTTGCGCATCGCGTAACATATCGTTACAGGCCGCGTGACGCAACCTATTTTAGCTAACATAAGTCACAACATAAAAGCATAATAGATTGCGTGTCTAAGTTTTATTAGATGACAACGGGTTACCGAAGACCCGATATAGAAGCTGCCCGCTGAATGGTCAGAATCTCAAGGTCAAGACACAGTCTTGTTTTGCATAATTAATCACCAAATCTGCTCACATATCATAGACCCTTGCTGTGCAAGGGGACATTCCATAGACTAGCCGTAATGATGCATGGCTCCAAAAATCCCACACCTCTGAAATAAACTGATAAGGATGTATTGGAATTTGGCATTGTACATTTAAATAGGTAGAAAGTAGAGAAAGTATGTTCTGTATCGATGTATTTCTTTTTCATCATTTTTTTTCAGCCAAGCAGAATGCAACATCTTAGCAGGAGCCTGCATGGCTATGGGTCTACGGTTTGCTGGCTCTGCTAACAACAGTGCCTTCCAGTGTTTGGTGAGTCGCCGATGAACGGTAGATTTTCCATGTCAGAATTTACTAATTTATACTTAACTACTCACTAGCATCGACCGCTGGTACCCCCGACGCATCAGAGAAGCCATCGAGATCATCAAGCATAACACTGTTCCCCAAGACAGCGACATCTGGCGCCCCATCCTCAAGTCCAAGTCCGATGGGTCTCCTATACCCTAGGACAACTTAGGTTCAGTTCTCGCCTATGGGTCACCTATACCCTGAGCTCCTTCCCCTTTGCCCCCTCACTGTGTACTGACACGCTCCAGTGATCATCCAGTACCCTCAGTCAACTTGCATCCTTCTCAGCTTCACCGGTTTCGAGCTTCACCAGTTTGCATCCTTCTCACGCCCCACCGCACCCATCCTTATAACATCGCATCATCGTTGGAATCCCTCATTCTCCTGACGACGGGCAGAGCATACTGTTCGAAACGTTGAGGCCCTTCGGTTCTTTTCAGAACCACACATACTCACAAAAGAGATTTATTCACATGGTGCTACCGCAAACTTATCTTGTCCTAATTTATACTTGGTGGGTCATCTTTGATCTTGTCCATCCGTCAGCACCGTGTGTCGTAGCTTCTCTTACATTCAAGTTAATGAGTCAGTTGTCTGTTAAAAATGCTCAGTAAACCTTTCATTTAGAACTTTTTTTTCCCATGGACTTTGCAAGACACATGCTTGAACACTGTAGATTTCAACTTCGTAAAAATCCATTTTGTTCATAAGGTATCAAATCTCTGTGGTACTGTAAGTGTATGTTGAACATAAGTGAATGGGAATTAACTAAATGTGGGAATCATTTTTGAATTATTGTCTAAAGTTGAGGAAAGTTTTTTAAAAAAATAAAGAAATAAATCCAGATCTTTCTACTTTTTTTTCATGCTGACAATTTTATTCAAAAGCCTTAAACTCAGGCATGCAACTTTTCCTCGGATCCGCTGATTTCCTCATTTGTTTACTTCTCATGAATGCCATTACAAATTGAAAAACACTGTACAAAGTCTCGTGTGGTTTGGAATTTCCTCGTTTTTTCTAAATTCCCAGTTGCATGCCTGTAAACAGTGGACGTTAAATATTTGCTATAAGTTTACATGTTTTTTTTCCACACCATGTAGCTCCACTACGCCCAGAGGTTCTCAAGTCTCGCCTCGCAAACAATTTCCGAATTGGTAAGTAACTTAAACTTAAAAGGTGATGAGAAATTTGAAATTTGGAAATTCCATTGTTAGAAATTCTGATTTAAAACCAAATATCAGTATCAGTGGTGTTACTATAATTGGGTTAGAAGAGTCTAATCGGTAGGAAAATGAACGAATTTATCTGGTTAGGGGCGGATCTAGAAACTTTTGCAGGGGGAGGGTCAGGCCCGTCAGATTTTTTATGACTGATTGTTCCAGACAGGTGGATAAATAGGTAATTATTATTACTATGATTGTTACAATTTTGTGTGTGTGTGTGCGTTTTTATGGTGTAAATCGAGGACATACACGTGCAACATCATCGATGAATTGAGGACAGGAACCAAATCAAGGACTCCTCGGTTAGAAAACGTGTACAAAACCAATGAGAGCTGTTGCTAAAACGTTTGAGTATAAACAAAGGAAAAGGGAAGAGGAACAATACAAAATCCTTTTTTTACACAATAAACAAACGTGTATGGGCGTGTTAATCTATTCAAACCGTGGACGAAAAGAGAACAATATTGAAGAGAGAACAAAAGAGAACAATATCGTCCACGATTCCCATCATGTCCGCGATTGGGGTTTTGTACAAAACATATGGAAGTCTTCCTAAAAAGTTAGAGTACAAACAAAAGAGGGGCAATAGGACGTCCACGATCGACGGTGTGAACACATTTCTGTGTACGTGATCATCTTTTCAAACCGTGGACGAAAAATACCAGAGAACAAAAGAGAACAATATCGTCCACGATTCCCAGCATACGTCTGCGATTGGGTTCGTGTACAAAACATATGGGAGTCTTCCTAAAAAGTTAAGTACAAACAAAAGAGGAACAATAGGACGTCCACGATGGGAGTCTTCCTAAAAAGTTAAGTACAAACAAAAGAGGGGCAATAGGACGTCCACGATCGACGGTGTGAACACATTTCTGTGTACGTGATCATCTTTTCAAACCGTGGACGAAAAATACCAGAGAACAAAAGAGAACAATATCGTCCACGATTCCCAGCATACGTCCGCGATTGGGTTCGTGTACAAAACATATGGGAGTCTTCCTAAAAAGTTAAGTACAAACAAAAGAGGAACAATAGGACGTCCACGATGGGAGTCTTCCTAAAAAGTTAAGTACAAACAAAAGAGGAACAATAGGACGTCCACGATCGACTGTGAACACACGTTTGTATGTCTGTGTGTGTGTGTGTAAGTGTCGGAGGGGGGGGGGGGGGGTTTCGACTCCCCTCCCCCTCCCCTTGATCTGTGCCTGCTGGTTCTGTATCTGTGTTTCTTAAATATTTCTATTTTTTGTTTTCAGGCCGGTAAATCAACTATCGACACATGTCAGAATGCAGTACTTCTCTCAGTTGCCTTGGTAAGACTCCTTCCTTCTGTGAGGTCTCAGAGCACCAGCCTTGCGTTTGTATTTCTGTGAAATTTAGATAAAATTTGGTCCTCAAATTGCTCTTTTTGCAATGGAATGCAGGCATAATTTTTTTAAGTGACAATGGGCTTCAGTGGACTACTGTTAGGAGTGATCATATTCGGATGGAAATTTAATTTAATTTGATGTGTGTCTCAAACACCTTGGAGGGTTGTGAGTATTTGTCCTGATTTTCGGAAGTGGGGGTATTTATCACTGGGGTCTATGGCAGTTTTTTTACTGGTCTGCAACCATGTACACGTGTTTATACACACACTCTTGTTTTACTATACTCGCGAGGACAATGCTTTGTGTTTCCCTTTGTCCCTGTAATGTAACACTCTCCCATAGACTAAGCACACAAACCTACCACAGAGGACTGTTTTCAACAAAAGACCCGACTCCCGAGGACTGAAAGGATCTTTTGTCCTCCCTTTGTGTGTTGGTCCTCGGGGGTTATATAGAACACGTACACCTTAGCACGTTAATTCACTTACCATTTTTTTTCTGCTCAGCTGTCTAACAAAATGTAAATGCTCATTAAAATTTAGCAACTTCATGAAAAAGACAGTCCGGGTCGCTTAGATTATGGGTCGCTCAAACAAATTTATTATGTATTATTTATTTTAACTGCTGTTTGTACATACAGGTCATGGCAGGAACGGGCAATTTGGAGGTTTTGCGCTTCGCACGCAAGCTGCACTTCAGCCTCAGTAACGACACCAGCTACGGTAACCACATGGCGACGCACATGGCCATCGGCTTGCTGTTCCTTGGCGGAGGGCGCTATACTCTCAGCACCGCCCCTGCGTCTATCGCCGTGCTCATCTGTAGCCTGTACCCACAATTCCCTGTCAACAGCAATGACAACAGGTGTGGCATGGGTCTTTCAACTTTGATAATGCGTGACTAACGAATTACTGTGTTTCAAAATCCTTGCCCATTTGGGTATGTATGACCTGCCGGTGAAATTCGGTTTTGAAATAAAGGTTTCGTAACAAGCCAACAAAGCTTGATTATGTCAAAATTGCTGTAATGTACCGGTTTTCTGAGTTCTTTCTTCACTAAGAATGCTGTGCCTAAAGCCAGATCTTTGCCTGCATCACTGAAGTATGTAATATGAGAGCCCTCTCGTGTCCGGGAATAAACTGACTGAATAAATTTAAACTAAAGAAAGAAGACTTTTTTACAAAAATCAAGACAATTATGCACTTGCGCAAAGATCAAGGCAATTATGCACTATCAAGTAGCATAGAATTTTGCCTCAAATTATTTTCATTTCATTTCATTTTTATTGAATCAAATCATGACTTGCACCAAATACTGAATTGAACATGATTAACAGTAACTGGAAAAAAGTAATCCCCTAAAAATACAATTATTTACATTAAAATATTAAGAAGTACCAGACAAAACTGACAAAAAAAACCGAATACACGACAAAACAAAACTGCACTAGAAAACTGCCCAGAACATACAACGAATGAACTATGGCATCGACTGTCACTATAAAGCAACAAATAAAATAGATGAATTAGACTTAATTAGGAACTATTGAGTAAGCAGATCAGGTGACGCAATATTATGACATTGATATATATTTAAAAAAACTACCAGACAAAACTGACATCAAACCACCATGTGACAATAAAAAATAAATAAAAATGCAATCCGGTGAGGCAATGCTATGATATTGAGTTATAAAAAAGTACCAGCAAAACTGACATCATACCCATCATGTGACAATAAAAAATAAAGAAATTTAATATACATGAGAAGATCAGGTAAGGCAGCAGTATGATATTGAGATTTAGATGTGATATTTGTTGTAGCTTCACATGAAGCATATGCTTGTTCATTTTAATAACAACTTTTTTTCAGCAGTTGACAGACCCTGTTCACAAATTGCCTTTTTTGGGTCAAAAGTGATAGATGTTCCCTTTTTTCCCCCCTTAGGTACCACCTGCAAGCCCTGCGTCATCTCTACGTGCTTGCCGCTGAGCCGCGCTTGATCTTACCAAGAGATGTAGATATTGGGAAACCTTGCTATGCCCCGCTAGAAATTGTATATAAAGTAAGTAAACCCCGGGATTGTGGGGTATTAGGGGGGGGGGGGGGGTTAAGCTTCATTTCAAGGGTTGTGCAACATTTCTGACTTCGATGTGTTTGCCTCTTTGATTCCATGTGTGATTCAGAATAACGCGAGGTCAAAATAAGTGAATGTCAAAAGGTCAACCTATTTTCAAATAAACTACTAAGAGAGACTGGCTAGAAGCATTTATAACAATTTGTAGACTAAAAAAAGAAATGGATTGGAGTGGGATTTCAACCCGCGACCTTCGGATTGCCGTTCCGGTACTCTACCAACTGAGCTATCCAGCCCTATGTTGGTGGATCCCAATATTGTTCGAGGGCGCTCTTCGGAAACCATAGTGGCCTATTTAAATTATTTGTAATAACAAGCCACTTTGGTGATCCCCTCATTGGCTTTTCTCAGGTTTGCAGCATTGCCAATTTTGCTAGCGTCACGGCTTGGGCGTGATTCCTGGCTTTTGGCTTGTGCCCTTCAAAAAAGATGTTAACAAATTTGGAAACTGCCAACATAGGGCTAGATAGCTCAGTTGGTAGAGCACCGGTATCAAAATCTGGAGGTGGCAGGTTCAAATCCCACTAGGGTCAATTTCTTTGTTAAAGGGAATATACAGCATTTGCAAATATCAAAAAGCAAAACTACCAAATTATTATGAAATACCTTACTGGACTGTAAGTGAACCTTACAATTCGCACAAACCAGTACGCACGTAAGGTGTTTCCATCCATGAAACTGGCCACAAAGATCCATCTATTGTTCACGCACAGAGTGCATAATTAGGTCAGTTTTGTTATCAGTGGTTACTTTTCTTTTTGTTGTTTGTTTTTAGGAGACACCTTGGTATGAAGAGCACACAGTCAGGATGCTGGCACCCTGCATCATACCAGAGCTCAAACATCTCAAGCAGGTTGGACGGAGATCTTGTTTTTACTTTCTTTGTGTTTGTTTGTATCAATATTGTTTTTTAAAATAGGATCATCATTAGGATCATCATCATAACCCAATAACGCCTGTACTACAGTGTATTACATTGTATTTAATCACTGAAGAATCAAATATGACCGTAGAGTGCTCGGGCATCTTTTGCACTTCATAGAAAATCACCCTTTTCCCATGTTTTTCGCCTTCCACTTTTATAGCAGAATTCGGCGACCAGAATTAGAAGCTGTTACTACGGTGCTACCATGCTCGCGGCGTGCATGCTGCACGCATTCTTAAAGACAAGGTGCGCTGGCATTTTGGTAACCCTTTTTGGTTGAAGGAGCCCAGAGTGCATGCGCATTACCTGAGCGCGACTTTCGTGAGCCTGGTGCCAGCGCCGAAAATGGCTGTCGTCGGATTAGTTATATACAAGCACAAATCCTATGATTTTCGGTAAATCTGTATCGTTTTCAAGAGAATGTTTTGCATTTCTTTTGTCTGTTTTTAGATCAGTGTGGTTGGTCCCCGATACCTGACTGTGACCCTTGACACCGGCAAGAATCTAACCGCCATCGAAGCAATCTTCAGAGCAGACGGTACCCTGTACGTCAAGCAACGCGCTGGTCACCTGTCGTATGCAGAGGACCCAAAAGTACGTGGGATTAGGCTCTTTTTTAAAAAAAATTTGAGTGTGCTGTAAACAAGCCATGTTGGTGATACAAACAGACATGACTCTAGGGTCATTTATGTTAGTTTACTTTACTTCAAAAATGACATTAACCCTAACCCTCCAGGGTATTTTGGCTAGAAACCCTGCCAAACGCAGCAACATGCAACACTTGTCTAAGTGACAAGCCTGCCCAGTGTAGCAAGATCCATCAGGTCAAAAGTCTCGAGGCCAAACTGCCTCAGAGTCTGTGGTCACCCACTGCAGCAGGATACAACTCGGGCATTGTTCCATGGGACTAGCTCTCAGTGTCTCAGAAGTGGCCGGTTTATGCACTGGTGTTGGTAGCATTTTCCATCAAAGTGCACCAGACTTTTCCACCTGATGCACTGTGCTGCGTCTGGCAGGGTTAGGGTTAATACCATATTTTTTTTTCTTAGATTGGAGTAAAGGAACTACACTGCTTCCATTTACGTAACTTTTTCCCTATTTTGTGCCCAGAATATGGCATCATTAGGGTGCCCTTGTTTGCTCCAAAATATGGCCCATAATTACCTTAAACATCAACAAATTCCTTTGTGAAGTAAAACAAAGAAAGTGACGGGAGCGGGGTTTGAACCTGCGACTTCCGGATTGCAGTTCCAGTGCTCCACCAACTGAGCTATCCAGCCGTATAGTGGCGGTTTCCCATTTTGTCATTGTCTTTGTTCAAGGGGCGCTAGTCAGAAGCCACAAACCTTTGTATGTCATGTAGCCAGGGATCACGCCCAAAGTCACGATGCTAGCAGCATTGAGAAAATAGGGGAACTGCCAACATAGGGCTGGATAGCTCAGTTAGTAGAGCACCCGAACAGAAATCCAGTGGGCGCAGGTTCGAACCCCGCTCCAGTAAATTTCTTTGTTCAACTTTACATTTATTATGTAATGCACATAGTCCGTTGCCCTTTGTGGTTCATTTGAAAATTTGTAAATTCCTTTGTGTAAATACTCTCTCTTTTGGGAGGGTTAGATTATGTTTTTGGGGGGTGGTTGCATTAACGATTTGTATGTAGGATTATCTTTTGAGGTTATCTGATCAAAAAGTTTCACTTTATGAGCAAGTGAGCGTTGAGAAAATAAAAAAATTGTATATATATATTTTTTATAAACATAAGCATCAAAAATTCCAGTGACAACCAACAGTAATATCGAATCCTGTAAATATAAACTCTTGAAATGTGACCTACAACCAAAACAAACACAGAAAACCTGAAACCTGACACAAACTTTTGTATCTCTTAAAGGGTTACAAAAGTCTGTTGGCCCAGACCTTTACCCACGATGCATCTTACCAGCAATCCATGGACTCGGAGGTCATAAGGTCATTCACCTCTGACCTTGCTATTCTCGGGTTCTCCCGGCATTTCTGTCAGAGAGTGGATGGCGGCGATGAGGTGAGTTTCTGGCAAGGCTTCTTTTTTTTGTTTTTAGACACTTAGCAAGTATTTACCAGGGTCTGCTTAGAAGAAAATGTTGCTTAGCACATTTTGGCTCTGAGCCAAATTCAGCTGGACAATTCTACTCATAAGTGGACAAGGTGAAAAATGAAACTTTATTATATCTTCAGAACTACAAGCGCCACAACAACAAATGCGGTATCAAATTAAAGGGGACAACAGGACCTTTGAGTGGTGTGCCAGTGGGATGGAATGTAGTGATTTTTTACACCTTTTTTCAAAAATCATTCATTTTGGGAAGTCATTTTGGTATCTTGTTTTAACATAATCAACATGAGTGTTATTGTAAGTTTTTGTTTTTAAGTCAGAGAGAAAGGTTCAAATTCTATGCCAAAAGAGTTTCTTATATTTTTTACTTGTGCCAAAAACGGGCGGACAAACTGTAATGTAACTATTAAACCATAACGTAACTAACCAACATTTTTTGGCAGTGCTTTAAATTGAGGAGAGAAAATGAGAAATTTTATATGTCAAAACAAACTTAAATTTATCTTGTACAACATTTGCATCTCAGTCTCAATCTTCAGTGTTGAGGTCAGATCCTGGCCTGCACATTAAGACAGATTCCAGCCAAGTATTTCAGAAAGGAAAGAGTGCAACTCTCTACTGTTCGATCACTGATAATTTGTAAAAACTGCACCTTTTCATTTCCAAATTTTGTTGTTTGTTTTGAATGTCAGTCATCGATGGAGAGCTTGTTAGCATCGTTGCTGTATGAGTGCGTTACCAAGGAGAAACCATGGATACTGCAGTCACTCATTGAAGTGCATCAGGTATTGGTCAACTTCTAATCAAAACGAAAAAAATACGATAGCATCTTGCACCGTGGTTATCTTTTATCCTTTTTTTTTGGTTTTCCTTCTCTATTGACGTTGCAAGTCAGTAAATCATCCTTCTTGGCAATTAGATGTCAAAAATCAACCATTTACTAAGTTGTCTTCTTCTTTACATCATAAATTAATAAAAGCTCAGATAAGATGAATTCGCTTGACTTATTTTGAGCCTCAAGTGCAGGGTTTGAAACTTTTTCACTGACATAGAATGCCCTTACAGTCAGGAAAAGTCTGACGTCTGACCGTAATTATATTTGTATGAAATATTATTCGGATTTGACTTGCAAACAGCCGAGATCGCTGACTTGAAACTGGCTCTTTTCATTCCTTAATTGTCATAGGTCATCAACAGCCTGGTAGGCAGACCGGACACCCACACACTGTGGCAGATCAAACTGCTACTAGCTTACTACAACCACGCGCACCACAGGATAGAGGTCGGCGGCTGTGGGCACACCCAAGCCAAAGGGCTGCTCTTGAGTGCCGAGATGGGCGTCAAGATGAAGTGTAGAGTTGAGAACTATCTGGACGCTTGGCTTACGGGTAAGGGAAACTCTGAGGGAGATATTAGACACATGTTGACTGCTTGGAGTGGTGTGGTGTTAGTAGCCTTTGGAGGTGATCCATGGAGCGTTCTGTTTTTTCCTGGCGAAGCCGAGGGAAAATAGAACTTTCCAAGCATCATCAAGAAAGGCTAGCTTGACCACATGACATATTAAGGCAGTCAGTGTACGCTGTATAGACTCCGTGCATGAATGTAGGGGGCGCTTTGTGACCACTTGCGAAACTCCAATGCGAGGGACATAACACTGGTTCATGTTCATAGTGCAGTCATGGTGTGAAGCACGCGCAAATATGTTTCTTCTGAATGTGCGTAAACCCATAGCTTCTCGCGTCAAGCGAGTGGTGTCCCCCCCCCCCCCCCCCCCGAGTTTGCCTTTGTATTAAAGTAAAGAAGGGATGCCTGTGTATGGAATCCATAACAGAGTTGGTCGTTTTTCAGAGATATCTGATTAACCCTCCTATGCAAACATACATTCTGTGCCAAGTTGTCCTTTCAGTCAAAATCAATCAAGTGACTTTTCTCAATAGTTAAGAGCTCCCAGCCAACATAAAGCAAGATTAACTGGCTGTGACTTTTTATGTAACTTGATACAGCTATGCTTTGACTGTAGGTGATTGATAAGCCAGCTGTGTCTACCACTCGTCTGCTTTTGTCTGTTGACTGAATTTGACTAGTCACAAGTGCTTGCTTGAAATATAATCCGACTGTTGGTGCCTAGCCTGTGTAAAAGGCATGGAAGGGGGAGTGGACTGATTTTTTGACTGTCTGTGACTGGTCAGATAGCCGGAGGGTTAATGAAACCAGAATTCTAACCAAAAGAGTGTTCTATTTGAATTTGACATTTAGTCAATGAATCCATCAGTGGAATCAAGTCTTGACTATGCCCTGTAGTCTGAGCCAAGTTGTATTTCTCTCCGGCAGACAACCAAGCCCAATTGATGGCGTATCTGTCTCAAGGCACACTCCCTGAAACCAATGAGAGCTGCAGGCAGCTGGCCAAGTTCCTGGTGTATCACGACATTCCTTCTCCATTGCAGTTATCAGGGATACCACTCCAGGGTAAGTAAGCTTGAAAAACCAGGGCCCGATTCCATGGCGCTGCTAAGCGCACAATTTCCTGCTAACAGAGCCTCCGTCTATTTCATGGAGACCGTAAGCAGTAAGCACAGCAAAAGGCACGCTAAACCCCAGAGAAAAAAAGTTACCTAGAATAGGTGATGTAACAATGGAAATCTCCATTTTTTGCGCAACCATTAGCACATCAACGCCATGAAATAGAGCTTACAAGGCTAGCACGTTTTTCTGCTAACGTTAAGGCCAAAAAAAAGAATAGTTCTGCTTCCGGTTACCCGACCGACCCTATTTTTAGGCTGCGACCCTAAAAAGTTTATCGGCAATTAAAAAAAAAAAAAAAAAAAGATTGAATAAATAAAAATAAAATTTTGTTGTCTTTTCTGTCTTCACGAAATACCTCTCAACAACCCTTTTGCATAAAAAAATGCTTGTATTTATTTGTTTTCTTACTTACATTCGCTTTTTTTCAAAAGAAACCTCCGTTATTTTTACAAATTCGCTTCGCGATATAGCTACTTCGCAATGCGATGTCACGGCGACTATAATCACGTGGCGACGACTGGTTCCCGCCGCGCCGCGCAGGGGCCAATTTCGAAGACATGATGAAAATGCGGTATCAGTCCATAGCTATGCGACCGATAGCACGCTAGCAGTGCAGGCCACTGTCAACTGGTCGGATTCGACATCGTAAAAATGCCAAGAAAACACCGATGGAGAAAGAACATTTTTGCAAGTTAATTTACAGAATTGATCTAGTTTGTCTGTGTATGTATTTTCTGTGTTCAAGAGTTCATTTTGAGATCGCACTACTCGTATTTGGAGTGATACACGCCCCGTGTTTCCCAAAATTGTTGACCTTAAAAACAGGTCTGTCGGCCCATGGTGGGCCGCTCGCCACACATGCATGCATCACACACCTCGGAGTTTTGGCCAGCTCCCCGCGTCTTGACTAGCGTTGTGCATATGGTGCGAACGACCTGAATTTTCCATTATTTTCCGAAATTATCGAACGTAAATATATTTACAATAATTAAAGGTAGTTTTTATTCACTCTTTGTTGCCATTTCGTGTATAGCTTTCGTAGTGCAATGGAAATAGTTCAGGCTAAAAACTTCGCATATAATTGAATACCCCATTAAATCTGCATTAAAAAAAATGGCCAAAAAAAAAAAAATTTCGACCGACCGACCCTATTTTTGAAAGGCATGTAATCGGAAGCAGAACTATATTTTTTTTTTTGGCCTAAGTTAGTACAAAATTCTCTGCTGTTAAGCAGCAGCCGTGAAATTGGCCCCAGCTGATGAGAACCAGTCACAGGTTATACGTGTATGAAGTGTGTGAAATTTACGGCTGGTAACCTGTTTTTGCTTAGGCAGATGTTTTCTGTGTTTGACAGCTCCATAAAACCACAAGTCCATCACAAGTCCATCACAAGTCCCTCACAAGTCCATCACAAGTCCATCACAAGTCCATCACAAGTCCCTCACAAGTCCCTCACAAGTCCCTCACAAGTTCATCACAAGTCCCTCACAAGTTCATCACAAGTCCATCACAAGTCCATCACAAGTCCATCACAAGTCCATCACAAGTCCATCACAAGTCCATCACAAGTCCATCACAAGTCCATCACAAGTCCATCACAAGTCCATCACAAGTCCATCACAAGTCCATCACAAGTCCATCACAAGTCCATCACAAGTCCCTCATAAGTCCTTCAGTCCCAAGTCAAGTCACAATCTATTCAAATGAACTGTGACAAAGGCATTCCTTTGTCATTGTTCATCATGTTACTTGTGACTGGACTTACGAAAGGACTTGTGATGGACTCGACTACAACACTGATTCAATGCTTTCCAAATTTGCAAAGCATTTTATGTACATACACAAGCTTGAATATTTTTTCTTGAATGCTCCATGGAAGAATTTTTTGTTTTTAACATTTTTTTAAAGGTGACATTGAGTGTGTTTCCAGTTTTAGGTATTGTTGCCCAGTGATGAACGAAAGGGTTAGGCTGGGCTGGAAGGGGGAGGGGGAGAGAGGAGGCTTATTTAGTCCCCCCCCCCCAAAAAAAACCCTAGGCAAGCATTGATGGTCAACTTTTCCATTTTTTTCTTCAAAATTTGCTTTGCATTGCATTAACCCTGCCAGACGCAACAAGGTGCAACAGGGGAAAAAGTCTGTGGGACCTTGTTGCATTGGCCAGTCAAGAGCAGAAGCATAAACTTCCGATTCTGAGACAATGGGAGCTAGTCCAATTTGACAGTGCCACTGTTGGATTCTCTGGTAGCCGGCAACCTTAGGCCGTGTCCGAAACAGGCTTCCAGAGCTACAGCTACGTCGATTGTCAGCGCGTCCCCACGTATTTTCAATGGGCGCAGACCTAGACCTAGCTCTAGACAGTTGATTCGGATGCAGCCTTATACTCTGAGGCTGTTTGGCCCCGGGACAGTTGACCTGTTGGATCACGCTACACAGAGCAGGCATCTAACTTCAACCTGTGTTGCAAGTTGGTTGTGTTGAACAGCATTTCCAGACAAAATTGCTATGAGAGTTAGGGTTAATTTCAACAAAAACTGCCTTGGTGCTCCCTTTTGTGAAAATGTTTCAAAAAAAGAAAATACCAAGTTCCTACATACCAAAGTTCCTACATTGGCTTAGCCTTGGCTCCAATGCAAATTTTCACTTTCATTTTTTGCTCTGCTAACAGTGTGCGACTCCCTCCCGCGTCTACATGCTGCCCTCAAGGATTTCAACCTCCCCGTGTCGGCGTTGATGAAGCTCGTTACGATCCTCCAGACAGCCAGGTGACACACACACTGACCCATAGCAGCTAGTCACTGTCTATTCTCACTCACTGCCATTGATGTCTGTGTACATTGAACACATGAAAATGGTGCCAGAAATAGAAAAACCAGGAGCTGATTTCACGAAAAAGATGGTACATTGTAGCTTCCGCCATATGAAACACTTGCGCAACAAATTTGTTGCGCAACTGGGCAACAATCTGAAGATCTATTTCACAGAACTTGGTGTAGCTGCGCAACATTTTAAATAATCTAAACGTCTTGGACGAGGATAATAACAGCATTTACAACAGCTGTTTGTGCATGAATTTGTTTGTTCACGAAACAGTCTTTGAATCACCTCAGCCCGACATTTTGAAAACAATTTTTGTCCAACTCTCTTCGGAATCGTGCGGCAACTCTAAAGATTCTGTCACTAGTAAAATAAAAATTCAATTACTTCAAATTAGAAGCTGTTGTGCAATAACAGGCTCTTCTAAGATCATGATTTGCTGGTAAAATAGGTCATTTTCAGTCGCTATGCCACAATTTATGCCATCTAATATGATTGCACAAGTTACGCCATAATTTATTGCGCAAGTTACGGACTTACGTGAAAGGTTGTGCAGCTTATGCAATAAATGGTGGCGCAACTGCAAGCGGAGTTTTGTGAAATTGGCTGGAGGAGTTCACATCTGATCACAGCTGATGCACTTTCAGTGCTTTAAGAGACAAGTTTTTTAAGGCATATAGGATCATTTGCATTTATCCCAAAAGCAACCTGCCATATTTTTATCAGAAAGCTTGTTTGGTTTTCTTGAAGAAATCAAGAAATGTAGGTGATTTCCCAATTGGCTGAAAAAACTCAACACCATTTGGTTGACTTATTAAAATCCAAAATGAAATGTTGGTGTGCATTTTCTCCAGTGTTTTGCACACAAAAAAGAGGACAATTTGCTACTAGTTCGTTTGGATCAACAAGGGTTAGGGAAACATGTGTGCAGCTTCACATTTTGTCGTTGTGTTACAAATCCTAGAACTATGCAACTATTGTGACTTAGAAATATACTAAAGTTGGGTTCAAAGTGGTCACCACTCCATTTAGAAGTTAAGACTGTGAACATCTAAATGTCTGAACAAGTAGAATAACCTAGCTTCCACATCATAAAATTTAACCTTCAAATAAATTTTGCGGCCAATTAAATATAGATGTGTGTACTTGTTTTCCCAAAACAACCCAGACATCCCTACGATATATATGATGGTCATGTGATTTGGAGAACAAATGACAAATACTTAGGTGGTACTTGTTTGCGACTCTACAGAGGTATATTTTTTATGGAAAGTGTAAAAAATCAAGCCTATCAGACCTTCATATTTTGTTTTGATGTATTAAACCGATATGCCTCCTCAGTTGAAAAGGAGTATGTCCGAAAACTCTGTGAATTAAAAAAAATTAAAAAGAATGGAAAATAGAAACCATGTTTTCTTTTAGCAGCAATGAAATAAAAACATTGAACACACGTTAGTGTGCTGTTCATTGTACTGGTAAACAGTTTTATGTTGTGTAGTATTGTGCTAAGGTTCCATTTGTACATTTAAAAAACTGAGTGGAGTAATAACACATCATCAAACAGCAAGTACAGATGGAAAGAGTTTTATTGTGTCGCCTAAAAGCATTTTGGGGGACACTTACCAGTCCCAAATTCTTTATGCCGGCATCTCCGAAGTCCGTATGTTTGTTTAACTTTTTCATATTACTCTCATTTCCCAATGATTTGCCTGAATTCCTTAAAACTTTGACACAATTAAGGGTCATTGAGTGGAAAAGGTATTGGGGAAGTATTTCAGGTCCGAGGTCACAGGTCAACCGAGGTCAATAATGATGTTTTTCACAGAAGTCTAGGTTAAGTTTTTGGGGAAGTGTTTTAACTGTCCACATGCATTGATGGATTTTGATGTAACTTACATTCATTGACTCTTGGCTGGGACGACACAATTCTTCCTCAGAATGTCGAGATCAAAGGTCATGTAGGGGTCATTACAGATCCTTGTTCAAATATGCTTCAAATCTTTCTTTGTCCACATAATTTGATGGATTTTGATGTAACTCGGATAAATTGATCCTTGGGTCCTTTATATGCCTCTTCCGAAAATGGAGGTTACAGATAAACGCACACTCCATACAGCCTGAAACACACACTTTGCATGGTGAAACTTTGCATGGTGGTAGTGTATACTAGTCAGGTTTGTGCTATCACCATATGGAATAATCTCTTTTGAGAAGAAGTGTGGTTCTGAAAAGAACCGATTTGTTGTGAAACTCAAAGTTCCGATCAGTATGCTCCGACCGTCTTCAGGAACGTCGAGTTTCACAACCAACTGGTTCTTTTCAGAACCACACTTCTGCTCAAAAGAGATTATTCCACATGGTGTTACCGCAAACCTCACTAGTACCAAGGGCGGATCCAGAACACAATTGGGGAGGGGGGGGGGAACAAAATTTTGGTCCCCCAAAAAGTGGGTCCCAAAAATTACGGCGAGGGGTTCGGAGTCTGCTTAAGGGCCCCGAACAATTTTTGGATTCTAGATGCTCTGTGGTGCAATCTGAGGCAATTTCTGACCACTTCAACCAAATTGTGTTGAGGAAAAGATGGTGTATGCAGTGCCTGCCTTTTTTGCGACGTCACTAAAAAAAGGAGGAAAAATTGGTTCTTTTTTTTGGGGGGGGGGGGGCATGGCTCCCGTTGGCCGCCCCCCCCCCCCCCCATACGCCCTTGACTAGTACACACAACTTGTTCCGTAGTTGTGAAGATCACACACCTTATAAGCGATAGCCAAAATGGGGAACCAAAGACGCTTTGGGGAAAGGACAAGAGAAAGTCCCCACTACTCCTTCCTCAGTTTCTTAACAATTAAAATAACTTTGGCGGTCACCGGTAAGGCATGCGCACACACCTAGTTTGTATTTACAGTAGGCCCGACCACTGAGGACCCTTACTCTTCCCTTTTTTTGTTCCTGTGGTTGGAGTTAAACTCTTTCTTATATGTCCCATAGGGTTTGTAGATGATGACCTTCCGAGGACGTGACTCAGGTCCTCAGTTTTATTGATATCGGAGGTAACCCATTGTCCCATGTCTTCAGATGTAAAAGGATAACTAGGTACGGAAAAGCTGCTTTACAGTAAGGCCAAAAAAAAAATCTTCGGTTTCTGGTATGAAGTTTACCCCAAAGTGGTGCGACGACGCAGCTGGGGTTTTTTTTTTTTCTTCTTCAAATGTCGACTGATGACTGCAAATGGTGCCCGGCTAAATTTAGTGCAAAATATATGGGAGCCCAGAGAGGCCACATAAAGCTTATACTCTATCGTAACCCCATCTAAAAACACTTAAAATTGTGAGTCAAACCTGTGAGTTTGGCGGTTTTGAGACATCATCTTGCGTTGAAAAAATAACTTTTTAACTTTGCCGAAGCGCATAGCTACGGCGACGCGCGCGCATTCCAGAAACCAGAGCCTTTTTTGGGGGGCAGTGATATTTCTAAATTGTTATATTCAGTCTTGTTCAATTGAAGCATGGATGAACACTCGTAGAAAAACCAGGTGTACTATATTTTAATGTACATAAAGCACGGTGAAAGTTTAATACATTTTCTGAAAAAATATACCAATTAAAAAATAATTTAGTAGTTTCTCTAAGTACACACATGTTATATAAATATCCCACAATGTCCCATTAAATTAATACAACACTTTCTGTTACGCGGAAAATATTCCCCATGGAAATAGAATTAGTAGAACTATGTATAATTTTGAATTAGAATAAAATTAATATCTATGGTTTGATTTAATAGAAAGGTAAACATCTGAATCCCACACAAAGTTACTGGCTGTCGGTGCTTGTGTTTCCAGGGGATGTAACAGTCAAAGAAAACCTGTGGGCTTAGAAACCACCACCCCCACCCCTAATCCCCAAGTAAATCAAGAAATGTACTTCTCAAATTCCTCCAAATAATTCAGAGTGAAATCGTGATTTTCTAGGTTAGATCTAAGCCTTTACTTTCCACTTTCTTGTTTAGTATTATTGTACATTGTTGTGGCGCCAGTGCTCTGTAAGTGGGCGCAGACATCCGGGAAATTTTTCACGGGCTTATCTAGCTCCCAGACCTATGTTCTTGAAACTCAATGGTTCTTGAGTCCGGAGTGCTGAATGGCAACACATAGCAACCGAGGAACACTGATGAATAGATTTGGGTGACATCAGCCCGTCCCAGTGTGACTGTATGGAAATGGCACAATTCTGCTAGTATGCATTTCAAAAATCTGCTCGGTTTAGCAAAATCACCCAGAATTACACGAAACACATTATTAACACACGCTTTTGTTTTGCTGTACTCCCGACAATGCCTTGTGTTTCCTTTGTCCCTGTAATATAACACTCTACCATAGACTAAGCACACAAATTTACTACAGAGGACCGTTTCCAACAAAAGACCCAACTCCCGAGGACTGAAAGGATCTGTTGTTCTCCCTTTGTGTGCTGGTCCTCGAGGGTTATGTAGAACACGTAAACTTATACTCACATGGAGATGTTATAAAATGTCCTTTAAACATAAACAAATCATGAAATAAATTAAAAATTATAAAGAAACTTGGTGCGTGTCTAGCCTGGCAATGTCTATACTTTTCTGTGTAGTCGTACAAGTCAGGGAACCTCACTGCTTAGACTGGCCTATCTATTCTCGCTGTTCAAGGGTTTGTTTTAAGTGAATGAAGCTTGTTCAAAACAAATCTGCTATAGTTTTCTGCTAGGATCACCAATTTTACAGAAATCTGCTAGAAATCTGCTAAAATTTCTATTCTACCAGAAATTCTGCTAGATTGCCCAAAAAAATCTGTCATATCTAGTCAAAAATCAGCTGAAACGGTCACCATGGCCCGTCCCCGCCAATTTTCTCTTATTGTGTTACCATGGATCTTGCTGGCTGACGGTTTTGGTTGTAAGAGTAAATTCTGGCAGTTTGAGGCTGAATTTCCCTGATTTTGTTGCTTTGGGTGAATCAAGAAGTGACTGTGTCTGCAGCATTTCCTCTGGGTCTGGTTCCCTGCCTTCCCCAGTGTGTGATTTAACAGGTTCGTCGGGTTTCCATGGCAAGGGTGGCACCTGTGAAAACTGGGGGGCAAAAAAACAACTTAAAATTTCTCTTGTTCGTTTGCAAAAACATGGCTAGTTTGCTTGCGAATAGTCTGAACATTTCATTCAAAGGTATTGGGAGGCTTATAGGATCACATTTCCAAACGAAAATCAGTTATTTTAATTGCATGCCTTGCCGGCTTCGAACAACAACAACAACAACACAACACACCCACAGTTTACACACACAAGAGCCCCGCCAGCCAGATATGTGCATGAGCAACTCACGGGTTATGTAGGCCCCCTATACAATATAAACTGTACATTGTTGTCTGGTTTTTCTTTCAATTCGGCAGTTTGCTGCGAGTCGTGTTTTTTTTTTCAATAAACCGATTTGAATTGAATTGAATTGCTACTTTAGAATACTCTATTGATAATGTGAAGTCATGGTTTCATGCGATAACCCATGTACCTTCAACTTCCCAGAACTCGTCCCATAAAAGTTTTGGATTGTTATAATATTCATCTCACCATTCCAAATGTTGTCTCATAATATGGCCTTTTCTTTGACTTTGTCGGCAATATTTTTCTCATGTAAGTGTTAGTGGGAGGCAGTGTATAATCTTGGCCACAACAAGGATATTCAATCATTGTGGATGAAAAGTTGAAAACGATATCGCCACGAATTTTTGAGGGGTTTGGCCATGGTGGCATAGAAATATTAACTTGAAACAAGTAACTTTGTCTTTTCTGTCTTGGTCACATCAAACTCCAGTTGATTCTTAAAGATAAGATGACCTTTGGATGGGCAAAAAGTCCTAAGATAAAAAACATCAAGCCATCTCAAGACTGTGTATGCTAAGCAGGTTACAGCAACGTTTTATATCTCCTACAACATTTGATGGTTTTTTTATTGTCATGTTGATATTTCTTCGTAGAACAGTTACATGCCAGTAAGGGTTCATATTTTATACAGCGTTCGTGTGGGACTTGTGGGATTTTCAATCAATTCACACAAACAAATTATTTGGCTTTGTCTCTTTAATGAGACATAAATTATGAGACGTCACGTTTAATTCATTCAACATGACTTAGTCTGAACATTCTCATCAAGGACATGTGATGGCCCAGCAAACACTGCCTATTAGAAGTGGGCTATTAACATGCTAATAGGTTCATGAACGCACAGACGGACACACGAACAGCAGCTCACTTTTTGTGGAAACTATTCGCCTGTTAAATATTCAAAGCGCTTTTTAGCAATACTGTAAAAAGTAGTAACTGTTAATCTTCGGCAAGGATGGATTGTGGTTTATTCATAGTTAAACCATTGCATCAACAGAAGTATTGGAAAGAATGTTGCAACCTGACGCCACGTTTTTCTTCATATATCATCTCAATGAAGGTCATTCGTTGCAAAAATGATGATAAGTCATGAATCTGGGACTGAGAAATGTTTCCAATTTTGTTAGGAAATACTTGAAATGACTCTCCATAGACTTTGTACACAAGCGCGGAAGTGGCGTCAGGTTGCAACATTTTTCGCCACACCCGTACAACCAAGTCATTTTGTGTGTACAGGCTCCTTACGTCAAAATGGATAGTTCAGACGACGATTTCTTTCTGACTAAAAGTAGTTTTTGCAGTGACGGCGGAGAATCTGACAGTGAAGATGCATTGGTAATATTCGGAAAGCAACTTTCACGCAGACGGTCCTATTCATGCTCATTATGGAGACAATTGTCCGACGTTCAAAGTGTGGATTCGTAATTCCGAATACACACTTTACTAAAGATTCGTCGTTCCTAATCCACACTTTGTGACCAGTGTAAGAGATTCGTAGATCCGAATCCACACTTTTAACAATAGTGTGACGTCATAGCAATGGTTTAAGTCGCAGAATACACTCGCAAGTGTGGATTCTTAATTAACGAATTCACGAGGCGCGAACGAATCCACACTTTCTCGTGTATTCTCCTTAACTGAAAACTGTGGTTTAATCAAGACTAGTGTAAAAACGAATTGAATACACACAGCAGAATCGTGCATGTACGAGCTTACCCACTGGACGGATAGGAATATGAAGAGAACCACGGTGCATGATACTGCATAAATAATGAACGTCCACGGAGCCCCGAATCGGGTAATCAGCAGCCCCGTTAGGAAGTATCCCAGCCCGTTTCCGAGGCCATGGTGCGCGGAGATGAGGATTCCTTGCATTGTGCCGGTGTTCTCCGGCGGAATCGCCTCGGTCATGTAGGATACGCTGGTCGTCCACGTCATGATGAAGCACATTCCTATGAAATCAAAGATAACTTATAACTTTTTAATTTGTTTTATTATAGAAGGTTTTGAGAACACTTAAGCCTATTGTTTTACTTTTTTTGCTTACTGGCACAGGTACCCCATTAAAACTGTATGGAAAATCATGTGAACAATTATAACATTTGTGATATTTAGCTCAGAAAGCAAAAACGGGGGAAGAAACGAGGTGTCCGTAAATTGGGCTAAAAGGTAGGTGAAGGGTTGCCTAACGTGGTACAAGTTCAAAGAAATTCCAAAATTATTGGTAAGAAAACGTTTTGACGTAGACATAATTATTGTAAACATTAATAATCTCTTATTTTGTGTGATTTCCTTGAATTTATTCAGGCCCCCTACGTTAGGCAACCCTCATTAATCCCGTTTTTTGTTTTTGCTAAATATCAAGATGTTATCGTTTTCCACATGATTTCCCATTTATTTTGTAAGGTTAACTGTGCCAGTTAGTAACTTTGTGAATTTGAAGCTCATCTATACTGAGGTTTGCAAAGACTATCTGAGGAAAAGGTAAACGCACTCAACTTTAGAGTATGACGGTAACCATTTGGATCTTTTATTATGTCCTGGTAATCATCTAATCTCTTATATGCTTTAGAAAACGTTACTTAAGTAAGGATACGTAAGTAGAATTTCCAAAACTTACTTTTTTAGAAAATTTAAAAATATATACATGTATATATACCCAAGTATATTATATGGCAGGTGTTAACGATTTATGCAGATAAGCCACCCTTCCCAAAAGAATTTGAGGTGTCACCCCTTCTTAAAATGTTCTTTAGGGCTATCTGCCAATTTTGGTGCTTTGGACCAGTCGGTCACGATTCCGGCCATAATTATGCCAACTGGCTATTACGACAGGCATTACCTTGAAGCGGCTCGACGAAGAATGTTACCCAGGGCACTCTGATCAGGTAGTAGGAACAAAACCGGACTATGTAGAGAAACAATCCTAGACTCAACAGTGGCATGTGGCCAACTTTGGGGATGGCCCAACCACTCAGCAATCCAGAGCTGAACTCAGAGACGCATTCCACAGCAGTCAGAACCCCCAACAGACCTTGCGTGGCACCTGCGGACAACAGACGAATCATTCGATTCAATTCAATCCAGATTTATTTCTATAATGCCTCAACTTTCATAGGGTGCATTTGCCTACCTATGTTCCCCAAAACTTATGTTCCCCAAAACCTATGTTCCCCAACCTAACCCTAACCCTATGTATTTTCATAAATTGCTTCCAAAAAATTTAAGTTGTGACGATTTTTCCCTTCAACCAAGATGTTCACTCATATGCTACTCATCAAGGCAATGTCAGCCATTTGCAAACCACCTGTAGGCTAGACATTGCTTGTGCTAATTATAGGCATGTTTTGCCTACCATTGTTAAGTCTTTCCTACCCTTTTTAAGAAACGATTTAGTAAACTTGTCAAAAAAGGTGTTTATGAAGCACTTGAAAGAATTTTATTAGACAAGTGCATGGATTTTCTCTGTGCCAATCTTAACTGCTTTTCCTGTTCACAATGAGCAAGGCAGTATTTGCTAATGGTTACTTTGTATTTATTAAACCCGGAAATGAACATCATCTCAATTTAAGTTATGCAACCGAAATAGATTGTATAATTACATAGTAATTCGACAGCAGTCTAGGGTGCTCCTCTACAGAAGGCTTTGTCCTCTCAGATGTCACCCCCATTCATATAATAATTTTGCTCCAGATATAATTAATTTTGTTATTGTATCATTTTGTGTATTGTTTCTTTATTTTATATGATTGGAAATTTAAACAAACAAACAAACAAACACCCCAACAAACAAACAAACAAACAAATGTATCTAACCCTAACCCAAACCCTAACCCCAAGGATTTTGGGGAACATAGGTATCGGGAACATCGGGTAGACCCCCTTTTATAAAACAATGCATATAACAAAGTGAAGTGATAAATGTAACCTGCTCCCCCCCAAAAGTTGACAAATTAATTTTTTTAGGTTTAGGCATTTTCAAATTCCTGAGGTTTTTAGCTTCAAAATGATAATGATTTTCTTATAAAGATACCGTGACCCTTTCAACCCTGTGAGAAGGATTAAGTGATAAAAGCCAGACAATTAATTATTATGGATTCTGGGGAGTTTCGCAAAATAAACGCATTTTGGACAACCACAGTTCAATGCGGCTGATCACCAGGCTTTATATACATATATGATTTCCATATTACAATGTGGAAATAGCGCAAGAACCTATACATGTATACTTAATCCCTCCCCCACAAAAAAAAATGGTTCTGTGCAAATTTCAACGTAAATAAACTCATACAACGTTATAGCATCTCAGCTACTGAAACTCCACCACTGTGTATCGCATTTCACTTATGGCGTCAAGGCTCTAGCATTGGTTTCATACAGCGTGGCCTACTTGCCAATCAATATCAGCCTTGAATGCACCTATTCATCCATACACCTATTATTATTTTTTTTAATGAAAATTCAGTGACAACCACGTGCAGAAACTGGGATGCATCTTGGTCACCAGGTGTCAATAACTAATCATGTCATGGCCATATCGCAATAGGTGCACCTGGAATTCCTTGTATTATTTATTGGTCGCTCTGTACGTACGCAAAGCAAGTAGCCAAGCGTGTCATCGTACCAGGTCATATCAGTCCTGCGTTAGCTTCACTGGCAGCAAGATACGCCTACACCATGATCATATACTTCGCGATTCCAGTCTTCTTATTTTCGTGAACCAGGTTTGGCAGTATACAATACAGGTGAGCTACGGTGACGTTGCATTAATTACCACTTTTATATTTTGTCGATAACCCAGGTGGTTCCTTTTCTTTATTCTTTGTTCCTTGCAAATAAATACAATCCTTATTTATATTTCACTGGCAAAAATACTGCCCAAGTTATCTTATTATTTTCTAGACAAAAGCCTGTCAATTTGTATTTCCATTTTGGCAAAGTTAGTCACAGAAACCTTTTCTATTAGGCAAAGTTAGCCACAGAAACTATTATTTTGTTACTGTATAGGCAACCTGCCAATGGGTTTTATTAGAGCAGCTCAATACATTCACACAAAAAGAGTATCCCGATTTTGCTTTACTAGACACCCGTCGGCCGAGATGTGGAAGATCATGTTGGTGTCTAAACGGTTCATCTTTGGCTTGATAAGCCTTCATCTGATGATGGGTTGCACTGGTGGTAACGAGATGTGTAAGGCCTCCATTGGGCATGGATGGGCGTGTCCTCCGACTTGGTACCAGTGGGGACGCAAATGCTACAAAGCCATCACTGAGCGCCTAACATGGTCTGAGGCAAAACAGGAGTGCATCAAGATGGGAAGTGTCTTGGTCGTGCCACAGTCCCAGGAGGAAACTGAGTTCCTCCTGCAACTAGTGCCGTCAGAGCCAAGTGGCTTTTGGATCAACTGCAATGATCTTGAGGAAGAAGGTTGGTTGAAATTTGAAGTTCGTAACTTTTGTTGGTTGGGTTGGAATGCTTTGATGTTACGATCGAGTTTGGTAAGGTACAGTTGGGTTGAGGAGATAGAAAGACAGGGTGAGTAATGAAAAACCAAACCCAAATGTCCGGACCATTGTTTTACTTAAGTTCTGCATGTAGCACTTTCAAAATCTAGGATATGAAAGCCCAATTTATACGCTTTCTTTTAGTACACAAATCACTCAGACATGTGCTTTTCAAGTTACGGAGTTTTAAACACTTCCACCGTTTTAAAGTTCTGTCCACGGATCACCAAAAAAAGTGTGCGTTCTTTCAGCAAAACGAAAACAATTCACACACATCCTTGTGATTTGTACAGGGCGACTAAAAAAAACACGAAACCCAAATGTCGGGACCATTGTTTTAGTTAAGTTCTGCATGTAGCACTTTCAAAATCTGGGATATCAAAGCCCAATTCATACGCTTTCTTTTAGTACACAAATCATTCAAATCACTCATGTGCTTTTCAAGTTAAAAAGTTTTAAACACAACCACCGTTTTAAAGTTCTGTCCACGGATCACAAAAAAAGGTGTGCGTTCTTTCAGCAAAACGAAAACAATTCACACACATCCTTGTGATTTGTTTTTGTTTTGCTGAAAGAACACTGAAATCCGTAACTTGAAAAGTACATAAGTAATTTGAATGATTCTTGTACTAAAAGAAAGCTTATGAATTGGGCTTTCATATATTAGATTTTGAAAGTGCTACATGTAGAACTTCACTAAAACAATGGTCCCGACATTTGGGTTGGTTTTTTTTTAGTCACCCTGTACAAGAACATTATGAGTTTGTTTTGATGAAGAATAATTGTTTATGACAAATCTACTTCTTTTCCTTGTATCGTTTTTGACAGGTGCTTGGAAGTGTCAAGATGGTACTGATGAGGTGGAGTACAGGAATTGGTTTCCGGGGCAACCCGATAACCGAGGTGAAGAAGACTGCGCTCTGGTAATTATGCCTGCTGCGATATGGAATGATGCGTCGTGTGATCTCCTACGGCGCTCCGTGATATGCATCCGACCTGCACCACAGCTGTGAACCCGCAGATCAGTGATTGTCACTATATATGGTGCAAAAATGCCTGACATTTTTCTCAATGTCTCAATCCCATCACAGAACCAATAACAGTGATAGGACGTTTACAAGGCGAGTAAAAAAACGAAACCCAAATGGCAGAACAAATTTTTGAATGAAGTTTTGCCTGTAGCACTTTCAAAATCTAGGATATGAAAGCCCAATCAGTGAGCTTTCTTTAATCACTCATGTACTTTTCAAGTTCAGGAATTTTGAACACAAAGTTCTGTCCACTGATCACAAAAATGGTAAGTGTTCCTTCAGCAAAACGAATACAATTCACATGCATCCCTGTGAGAATTGTTTTGGTTTTGCTGCAAGAACTCTTATTTTTTTGTGATCCGCGGACAAAATTTTAAAACGGTGGTTGTGTTCAATATTCCGTACCTTGAAAAATAGTGATTTGAGTGATTCCTGTTTCACAAAAAGCTAATGACTGGGCTTTCATATCCTATATTTTGAAAGTGCTACAGGCAAAACTTCATTCAAAAATTGGTCCTGATGCCAATTGTGTTTCGTGTTTTTTATACTCACCCTGTATATCTTGCGAGTACCCATAACGGGATACGAACCCGCTGTCACAAGAACTTAGAATTTATTCAGACTCTGTCCTGCCCTGTTCACAGGACTGTAAAATAAAATGAACAGATGTCGAGCGCAAACTTGCTACTTGCGCAACTTTGAAGTTTGCGCGCGCAAGCTTCAAACTTGCGCAAGTAGCAAGTTTGCGCTCGACAGTACTAGTAGTAACGATTGCACGAGGAACAGCGTGCGCGCGAAGGTTTATTAGTCAGACCCTATTTATATCTAACAGTACGTCTAGATTCCAGACTAGCTGCTACAACTCCCCAGTTCATTAGGAATTTTACTGAAAGGTATGCGACAAGGTATGCAATAAAATTCACGACATTGCAAACAAATTCGCATACGTGTGCGCACATATTCACGAATTGTTTCACGACATCGCATACGTGTGCGCACATATTCGCGATTAATTTCACGACATCGCATACGTGTGCGCATATATTCGCGATAAATTTCGCGACATCGCATACGTGTGCGCACATATTCGCGATAAATTTCGCGACATCGCATACGTGTGCGCACACATTCGCGATAAATTTCGCGACATCGCATACGTATGCGCACACGTTTGCGATATGTGATGTCCCTTCAGGGCCACCATAATTTTGCATTATTTTTGGGAAAAACTTCAAAGCAATGCGAAGGATATCTCTTAAAATGTCTGCCGATTTATGATTTTTTTTTCTTTGTTTTTTACTACAGTGGATGTCTTTGCCTATATTCATTTGAAAGTTTTCCCTTTCACCTTATGCAGGTTTTGTTATTTCCTCATCTGAATCTAGTATTTGATTCTGGGGAGTTACGCAAAATAAAAGCATTTTGAGAAACCCCCTGATGACGTACTGGTGTTGTCTGCCGAGTATATGATGCCAAAGCCGCCATTGACCGCGCTTGCTCTGCCGTATAAGAATAATCCTTTTAATTGTTCGGACCCCTGTCATCTTCCTAAGATGACAAGATCTTAGAATACGTAACTCGGTTCCTAAGAGGTCTTTGACAAACGGTGATACAAAGAGATGTTAATAAGTTGTCCGTACCGCGAGTTACCGAAATATAATACCTCCAGAGGCCAAAGGGGCATAGCACTTTTTCTGCTTTGCCCGTCCATGCGTGTGTGTGGTTTCATAGTGATAACTCTTGGACTTGATGTATGTTATGAACTTTGATAGGTAGCCTGCTAGTGGAACCATATTAAAGAAGCTTGAAAAGTTTGGACCCCATAAGACAAAGGACAGGATCATTATAGCGTTACAACAATAGAAATAGTTTTCCCACAATAACACAATAAAGACTTGTCATATCAATTTAAAACTTTGTCTTTTTGTTAGTCTGGGGATCTTCCAAAAACCTGTCACTTGTTCGCCCCATAGGCCAAAGGTCAAGGTAATTCAAATCAAATCACATTTATTTCCTCTTTATGACAAAAATGAAAATGTAATATAATTACTTAAACATATAAAGGCCACTAGAGGTGGCAAAACCTTAAAAGCATAGCTTGTATCAGGCATGCCATTACACAAAACAGACGGATAATAACAGGAAAAAAAACAATTAAAAACAAAGACCAATTACACACATGTATAAGTCTAAGCAGTTAGCAAAGTTGTGAAAAAGTTATAAAAATAATATTAATAATTAATAATGGGCTACGAGTAGGATCGTCGTGGATACAGAGTCCAATTATGGCAGAGGCATATAACATATAAAATATATTACATTACATAAAGTACAATTTAAGTTTGCGTTTGAAAATATTATAAGACCTTAAACATCTGAGAGACAATGGTAAATTGTTCCATATTTTAGGTCCGGTGTATTTAATGTTATATTGAAAGGCAGATGTTCTATGTTGCGGTATGTGGAAATGTAAGTTAGTAGACACACGAGTATTATAGTTATGCAAATTGCAGTTTAGTACAAACATGTTTGAATAATTAATAATAAGACAAAAGAAATTGCATCATTAAGATAACTCAAGTTACTTAAAGATGTAGTTTCTTTTCCATGGATATGGTGCCCTTCAACCATAAAACGAGCATGCACTCTCAAAACACCGTATTTAAAATATTGACTGGTTTTCCTAGTTATTGAAAATTGACTGGGAATCTAGTTAAACATGCAAAGTTTTATACTATGACTAGAAAAAGTTGTTGAGTTCGACTCAAATTTCACTTATTTGCAAAACTATTTTCCCAAATTCAATAATACTGACTGGAAAAATCTAGTCAGATTGACAGATTTTCAGTTGCACCCAGCTGACCTTGAATGACTATAGTCAAATTTAATTGGTTTCTAGTCAAATCTAATCAATGTTTTTTGTGCTGAGTACAAAACTTGAACAGTTTATATTTATGTATGCAATACGTATGTACATATATTCATAAATACATGTAGTAATTTGTACATTGATTTTTGTTTATACAAAATGAAATCGAATAGTGCTACCCAGGCAGCTGTCTTTACACGTTTTGCATAAAATCATATTTGACTTGTCGCATTTACTCATTGAGTTTACCATAATGTTCTTTCCAGGTTTTGATTATTCAAAAATTACCATGTTTGTGTAATATTTGTGATTATTATTGTGCCTCGCATTTAGCACTATGTAGGCCTATACTCTGTCTTTGTCTCTTTTTTATACTCATTATTCATTTTACGGGAACAGCAAAAAGAACTAAATCATTTCTTTAATTCAGGGGCCACAGGTTAGATCATTATTACCTAAAATAAACAATGGTGATATTAATGAATGTTTAATTTGGCTCAGGTAGCTCCAAGGAAACTTTTTTTATAAGGATGGTGTCATGTCTTCGGAACAGTCACGGTTGCGAGGCATTTGTTTTATTTAACCCAACTTTTCTTGTATTTTTTTGATAATCATTGCGATATACAAGCTGTATCCACACACAACAAAGTAACCAAGATGTAAATGTCAATTATAAAACAGATGTAATAAACATTTTCAAATGAGTTAAAGATCAAGTGAATCGCCAATGTGTCCTCTTTCCAGTGATACCTTGATTGTGTGTCTGTGGCCACGGATGACTGAGCATTCGTTGTTATTCTGTCAAGGGTCAAAACCTGCACTGAGCCAAGTTTGTGCAAAAGGGTAACTGGTATTCTGGGCATGTGGAACGGCTAAATTTAAAGAAAGAAGACATCCTTTTCTTTAATGCAATTTATTCAATTTTGGCACAGTGATTTAGCAACTCTCATTGTTGAAGTTAACCCCTCATGGCCCAATGCCTTCAACGTGGCCACCACCTCTTTCCACACAAAGCTCTGCACGAAGTCTAGTCCATCTCAACCTTTGCATAGCAAACCATGCATCCAGCAATCTTAGCCATGGTAAAACTTGGCCCAATACAGGTTTTGACCCATGACAGAATAACAACGAATGTTGGTCATCCGTGGCCACAGACACACAATCAAGGTATCATTGGAAAGAGGACACATTGGTGTTTTACGTGATCTTTAACTTATTTGAAAATATTTATTAGATTTTTTATAATTTACATTTACAACTGGGTTTCCTTTTTGATACACCTTGTGTAGCATATGACGTAGTCCCTATAGCGATTTAACGGCAGAAAACTTGATTGCAATACACGTCATAAATTTTGACCATGTTAATGATAAGATCAACTTTACGGTAACACCAAGTGACAAATCTCTGTTGTGAGGAGGTTCTGAAAAGAACCGGGGGAAGCTCTACGTTTCGAACAGTGTACTCGGCCCGTCTTCAGGAGAATTCAGGAGAGCGTCACAAACTCACAAAACACATTTGTCATGGTGCTAACTTAATTATCTTATTTTGATCTTCAACAATGCAAACGTTCAAATTAATCTTACTATGCCATGTCTTTGTTTTTTTGTAAGGCGGGTATAACCAACAAGAATATTATTTCGTCGACCGCTTTTATTTCTAGATTATTCACTTTTCCTTCAACAGATCTGCTTTGAGGAAACGTCCATCCTAAATGTAATGAAGCATAACAGCGCATAGTATACACGACCCTACATGACTTATCGGCCCTCGGCGGCTCTCAAACGGCAAACCCTCGTGGATTTTTCATTTTCCTCAATTCCACCCTTGGTTGAAGCAACGCTACTGGCCTCCAAAACCCACTACCCAAAGTCAGACTTACCTAGATTCTCCAAATGCCAAAAGAGAAAACCCCAGACGGCGCCATTACAGATCCCAAGGAATATCAGCATGATCAAGACGGAGCCGTAATGCCAGCTGAACAGCACCGCCTTGACCGCTCCCCATGATGAGCCCGCCCCGTCTGTCTTAATACCCTCGTACTGTCGAGAAAAAAATGGTGGATAGTTAAATACACGGTCACGGTGGTGATCGCCTGTGTGGCACCGTCAACACAACCACCACAGTGATGACGTCACATGATGCTTAGAGTTTAAATCAAGCCATATATCAGTCGATCATAAGTCAATATCAACAAGGGCCGATTCAAGGGGCAGAGGGGCAGGCTGGGTGGCTAATATCTCCCTCCCTCCGACTGGACAGTGTGAGTTATTTAAAAAACAAAATGTTTAAAAAATCCTAAGTATTACCCCTAACAGAACTCAACCCATCAAACCCCAACGGCATGTTTTGTTGGAATCTGTCAGGATGGGTACAGTCTAGTGTTGTGGCGCTCTTATGTAATACCAGACGTGGCGCCCTTATGTAATACCAGACGTGGCGCTCTTATAATACAAATTCTTCTAATACCCTCCTAATCTTGTGTGGTTATATAAGCACGCCCGTATTCATTGTTCGTGGCAGTTGGCTTCAGGGCGTTGGCTCCATCATGACTTTCTGTACCATTTTCTGTAGTCATATTAAATTATTTGGAAGCAGAGTTTAAGTTTCCTGTGTTTGGATTTGAGTTGTCCAATGTCTAATTTTAAGCCTCTATAAATTCCTAATTCGCTACATCATAAGCATCATAAGACTAGTACCCCTCAGTCTTTTACATTGGGCTGGCACACCAATAAATTCAGTTTTTGTGTGCGCAGTTTCTCATATGGTGTTTTCTCATATGGCGGGTATGGTTCCTAGTAAATCATGCTAGGGAGTTGGTGTAGGCCTATGCGTGCTCTCTTAACTGGAGCGCGCCATTTTAAAACCACTTTTTAAAACTGTACAAAGGCCTGCAAAAACAAACAAGCAAAATTATTTGTTACAGAACATTATATTCCATTACATTTCGTTCGGAAAAGAAAATCGCTTTTGCTTCAAGGCTTAAAGGGAATGTACATCATCGGTTTCTTTTTGGTTGTAATTTTCAAAAAGGAACTATTTGAGGGGTTAGTATAATAGATCAAATATTGTTACACTGACATTTTTGAAGTTTTGTGTTCGAAAAGGTTGGAAAAACCAAGAAAACCTGACTCCACAAAAGATAAAATGGATCAATTTATAGATGATGGAAAATTGTAAGGCAATGGAACCAGTCTAGCTGGCCTGCACCCGTTCATGAACATGTAACCAATAGCAAACAAAATTTGGACTGAAAAAAAATGGTCAATTTGGAGCAGTAGTTGAAAAATAGTTAGGTTTTTCCAACGCTGGTCGGCCGACCACCGTTGGAAATGTATACAAAAATACTATTTTCTTGAAAATGACTTCACACCAGGTGCCATAATTTTACAAGATGCTTGAGACTGTCATTAACCAACATCCTAGTAAGGTATTTCGTAAAAACTTGGTAGTTTTATTTTTCGATGTTTGCAAATGTTGTATATTCCCTTTAAGTCTTTTTATGCTGACTGTATACCAGGGTGACCGCCCACGCATTCAGACACGCATCCTTCACACAAGGATAAACGACCGTTCTGAGCTCTAGTACAAAATGCACTGAGCGGACGTGCCTTCATTGGTTAGAAACGTGATAACGTGCATTAACACCCGTTGGCTTGTAATCGCGAATTTTCAGGTGTGCCATTGTGTCGGGTTTTTTTTACATGACATCTGAAACGGAAATATTCATAAAACTGTAAGCAAAACTACAACGTATGTAAGACATAGTTGTTCAAAAAATTGTTTGAAAATAAATACTTCAGGATATAACAGATGGTATTGTGCAGTTTTTGTCGTCATAGATGAAGTGTTTACCCAGGAAATAACGTCAAATATCGAGGAAAACACCGTTGTCTCAAATTTTCTTTTTAAATAGGCATTCATTAAAAAGATTTTGAGAGATGTGGTTCCGAACCGATGAAACAAAAGCGAAATTTCATAGTTAATTTTTGAAGCTAAATATATTGTGCTCGGCGTTAACATGGTTATGTAGTTATCACTTATCAGAATTCAATAATAAAGACCAAAAACGTAGACTCGTGAATATTCAAAAATACAATTAGCTGGCTTGATAGACTTCGACACCAGGTCGGGAGCAGAGCCCTGCAAATCTGAAAGCCGCCGCGCGCAGGGGTCTTTCTTGACAAGTGTTCGTAGTATTTCCACTTGTAAGGGCCGTTATCACGCGTCAAACCAGGAGTTTGTCCGAGTCGTTCATCCTTGTGTGTAGGATCCGTGATTCAAATCCACCTCTTGACAAAACCTATAGACTTCAGCACCCCCCTTATAAAATCTTGGATCCGCCTATGCTCGAGTCACATGATCGCCAAGTCCAGTCTCAAGTCAAGGGATATTTCTGAATGAACTGCGACATTGGTATTCAAAACACTGAAGTTATTTTACAGTCCCTGTGCTATTTTTCAATTCCACCCCGAAAAAAAGATACATGATAGTTTTTAAATTGCTAATTTTTGAATGAGACATCGAACATACATACTGAAATGTGTATCCTTGTGGAGTCATTTCTTTGTTCTCGTGTACTAAAGTTTTCGAGTTTGAAAGTGCACTTTCAAAATGCTCATATATTTCAACCAGAATTAATGTCCTGGGCTGAAATTCGGACTTAATATCCCTTATATATAAAATACTTCAATTTGCGACTAATCAACACCCCTTGGAAATTCCTAGTTTTTGAGTAAAATCAATATATATCTATTTCGTGATGACCTTGTGGAAACGTATATTCATCTATAGAAATTGCCCTGTGGGGACGTATTCAGTCTTTTGTTCCCTCTTATACCCATGTCTCCACAGGGTACCGTGTAACAGATCGAAAACTTGTACGTTTATAGTTATGGAATGTTAATGTAGACTTTACAAATTTCGCGTTATTTGCGGCCGGACAATAATTCAGGAGACTGTGTGAGATGATGGGTTCAAATATAACCCGCAATAAAAACATATTTTCACTTCAGACATTGGGTCGTATGTATAAAAACTAGCATTTGCTTTTACTACCTATTTTTAAGCATTTACTTGCATTTGAATGAATACAATTGAAGCAAATTCTTTTATCGGAAAGCATTTGCTAAAAGCTAAAAGTATTTTTACTTTTTAGCTTTTCCTGGAATAAAAAGGAGTTAATGCTTCAGATTTCGAGTATTTACTGGTCAGTTTTTCAAGGCTGGGATGGAGCTACATGTACCTTGAAAATATAAAGCAAATACAAAAAAAATGGCTGCATTTATTGCCCCCAAATTAACACGAACTACATATAATACTACACTTCATTTTGAATAACATTTATGCGAAATTTGAATATTTTGTTATTATTTATTCCATTACAGAACTAGGAAAAAAATAATTTCGCATTTTGTTCACGATATGCGAAATGTTAGCGTCAAATTCAGTGCGGCATAGAATGATTAAGCAATTTTATGCAACGGCACCCTGGGGAATGAACAAAATAAAATCATTAATAATAGTTTGTGAGGTCGCAAAATCTTTGCAAACTATTCTTTTTGTATGATTTCAATAAACCTTTGTGTATGGAATTAAACCTACGTGTAAACCATGCGTGTGTGTGGCAGTTCGTACACACAATAGATACTCTAGTATTGTAAACAACCATATTCGTCCATGAAAACAATCAAACAGGAAGAAGCATTTCCTTACTGTTGCCTAGTAAATGCTGTACAGTAAAAGAAAACTATATAAACGGAAGCAAGTTGCTTTGCCTAAACTTCCTAGCATTTGCTAGATTTTATACATACAACCCATTTTAAGTATATCCAAAAGAGAAAAAGGTATGGTATGAAGCCCGGGAAGGGACAGGGTGGAATGTTTTTTTTGGAGTTTGCTAATTCGTTCGCACGAATTCCTAATTCGTTCGCACGAATTCCTATTTCGTTCGCACGAATTACTATTTCGTTCGCACGAATTAGGAATTCGTGCGAACGAATTAGCAAATGCCAAAACAAAAATTTCCACCCTGTCCCTTCCCGGGCTTCATAGTATGGCTCTACCGTTTAAAAAAAACATACAAACTGAAAATTCGTCAGGAGAAAAATAATGAAATACATTGAAGAGCAAGGGTAGAGTAAACTTAATAAAAACAAATCTTACCGAAAACTTCATGTAGGCGACACAGACCAACGCACACACGCTTAAGCCAACAGCCGATACGAAAGAAGCCCAGTAGGAGGTGATTGTGTGTTCAATGCCGCAACTGACCTCTACCGTTCGGGTTGAGTTGAGTAGGAATCCAGTAGCGAGGGAACTGAATTTAAAATCACGAGATTTGTACAAGAAAAATCTGTCCTCAAAAGTCAAACTTAGCAGGGAAAGTATTGAAGTATTTACTGGAAAAAAAAACACTTAGAAATTTTCCGACCAGTCTTATACGGTTTGTGCACTGGGTGACAAGTGATGGCCAGATATGGGAATCTGTCCCCGGAAACAACAAGTCCAACAACTGGTCTCTATTTCTACACAGTTCTCCATAGTCAGCCACCAGACTAATCATGGAGGTAGAAGAGGTTACCCTGTCCCAGTCTATTGAAGAACAGTCTGCTTTAAAAATTGAATCGAGACTTCAGTCTTGGCTGGTGAAATACTGAGGACCTTGTCTTTGCCTCATGAACATTGTCATATTTTGGAGAATTGTGTCAGCCAAAGAGTGCGTCAAGTTGGCCTGATTTCGTTTTGAATGTTTTTCGGCACGGAGGTCCAGGTCTGGCTCTGACACAGACTGGGCTCTGGTGCTCTGAAACGTGCACAACTAAATCAGGCCAACTTTACTCACAGTTTTGCCAGCAAATTTCTACAAAAATTCAACTGGGAAAAGAAAAGGTCCTCAGTATTTGCAAGTTTTGCAGACTCAATTCAATTTATAAAGCAGACTTTTCTTCAATATTTTGCACATGAGAGGGAAGTCAAGTGATTTCAAAATGAGGCTAAGACTAGACTGGTACATGTTCAACCCATGGTCCAACTATTTGAAAAGACTGACCTCTTCATGCAGTGTCATTAGTCTGGTGGCTGACTATGGAGAAATGTGTAGTAAGTTGAGACTAGTTCCCAGTTCATGCCACACGTTTTTAAAATTATTTTGGCATGGCTGATTGATGCAGTACTGAAGTGGTGTTGGACTGGTTGTTTTAGGTGCCCGTCTATTTTCTTGTATTGCATGTTTTCAATACTTGAGTTTTGGGACTCTTATACACAGTATTGAGAGTCCCAAATTTCGGACTAGCTCTGACCGTCATCGGGGAATGAATAAGGGCTTAATATTTGGTTCTTACCAAGCTCCCCAACCCAGAGTTCCAAATCCCCGGTTAAATCCGTACTGATCCACGTTCCCGTGTTCCCGTCGTAGGGCGTCTAGCGTGGCGTTATCCAACTGGCAAGCGGAACTAAATACCACCACCTCGATGAAGCTGGAGACGATCAGAATCACCACGAATAACACTCGGAGTTCTGCCTGGTCATACAGCCAGCCTTGGTTGGCCAGCAGAATCTCTTGGGTTGCCCGGGGAAACTGGCTGGACTCGACCGTGCTGTCGTTTCTCGATGTCTGCTGGGCTTTGGACGAGAACGAAGAAGCCAAATGGCGGGGAATACCTTCACCACCGATGTTCCGTTTCAAAACCGAAGGTGTCGGCGATAGGACAGTGTCCGCGTCTGCCGGGAAGTAGTAAGATGATTGGCCCTCTTGGTAAGGGAGGCTGATATTGAGGTGAAGAATTTCGCGTATCTGGTCCTCCATCACATCACAGGGGACCTGAGATGCGCGCGGGAACACTATAAATGACGCCAATATCCCTGTAGTCAGTATGACGCTGGCAACCAGCACTGCCTTACGGCGTCGGAACCGGTCCGCTGCCGCGGCGATAAACGGCAGGAAAAGGAACCCGAAGAAAGGTCGGACAGAACTGACCAGACCGATTTCGCTAGCAGAGAAACCGATCTGCTTGAAGTAGAGCGGGATATACAACAGAAAGCACCCTAGTGAACCCCAAAAGGTAAAGTTAAACACTTTGTACACGAGTAATGGCAAGCTGACGTGACATAATCTCGACATGGTGGTTGTATATTGCGTTCATCAGCACACGTATGGTTTAACGGAGCTGTTTCTTCCTGTTGACGATCCGTTTTTCCACAACACTAACCTGCAAAACGATCCAAGGCAACAGGTCGCACTCCATGTGTGTAAATTATAGGGCATATACTTTAATTAACGCTCAAGAGTTATAGTTGACCATATGCCGCCAGCATAATTTCACAGTATTCAACAGCTGCATGCGGTGTCGGTGTGGTGCATACTTCTACAAGCCACGACTGCAACCGAATTCAATTACATCGCAGTCACGCTTGGCGGCACCCTAACAGATACTTTGTTATCAGTGAAAAACCAACGAACAGTGCTCCACGGCAGGATTATGCAATTATCAATGACGACTGTACCATAAACCATGGAGGAAGGAATAATAAAACCATAGAAGTAGCCATACTGCTGCAGTGGCGTAGCCATGAGGGGCGTGGGGGGCGACAGTCCCCCCCCCCATGAAACCTTGTCGCCCCCAAGTCGCCCCCCCCCCCCCGCTGAGATTTTGAGTTTCTAAAAAAATTATTATTGATCTACATGACGCCCCCCATGAAATGTTCCAGCCCCTCCCCCAGCGCCCCCCCCCCCCCTGAAAAATTCCTGGCTACGCCACTGTACTGCTGGGATTGTCATCAAGGCTGTCTAGAAATCACGTTATATATTATATGTATAACGTTGTTATTCATTAAAGGGAATATACAACATTTGCAAACATCGAAAAATAAAACTACCAAGTTTTTGCGAAATACCTTAATAGGATGTTGATAAATGACAGTCTAAAGCATCCTGTAAAATTATGGCACCTGGTATTCTGTCATTTTCAAGAAAAGTGGTATTTTTGTATCAATTTCCAACGCTGATCGGCCGATCAGCGTTGGAAACAACTGGCTTTTTTTCAAATACTGGCCCCAATTGACCATTGCACTTGTTTGCAATCGATTACAAACCTTTGAACGGGTACGAGCCAGCTAGACTGGTTCCCTGACCTTACAATTCCCCAATGTATGTAAACTGCTCTGTTTCTTCTTATATGGAGTCAGGGAACCAGACTACAGGAAAATGATCGTTTTTCTTGGTTTTTATAGCATTTTCGAACCCAAAACCTCCAAAAAGTCAGTGTAACTATATTTGCTTTATATTTCCAACCCCCCAATTCCATCCATTTCTGAAAATTAGAGCAAAAGCAAATGATGTATATTCCCTTTAAGCTCGTATATATACATAATACACAAAATGATTATGTAGGGCCGACTTTTTTCGTAGGGCCGACTTTGTCGGATGAAGGACCAAATGGAATAAAGTAAGATATCGAACGGCCAAATAGTGCAGTGGTTGCATCGTCCACTAATCCGTTTTGCAGGGGCCGAGGAGGGATGGATTCATGAGGCCAAAAAACAAAATATTGGGTCTCTGGTCAGACCAAAGTTCCGGAATTGACGCGGCCACGCGGCTTTTTTGTGGTTTTTTTTGCTTTTTTTTTTCTTCTTCAAGCTTGGATTGTACAGACAAGGTGGGTGTTATTTTGCTTTTTTGGTGTCCTCATGTACATTGGTGTCCTCCATAATTTGCCTTGGTGCTTTCGATCATTTGCCTTGGTGCAATTTCCCATTCCTTGGTGCTCTGTGGTAAAACAAATTGAGGAGGTGCGGAAATAGAGGGCGCTGTTGGGGCTAACGCGGAACATTTTGGAAAAAAAAGATCGACGCGCATGATTAAAATCGACGCGCGCGCTGACCAGAGACCGACTTATTTTTTTTTTTTTGGCCTAAGCATTGTAGTGTGTTCCTATCCAGTCAGTGAGAGGGACTACCCGAATGTATTATGTCGTCACCGACAGCACGAAGTAACACCCATCTACATACCAGTAAAAACTAGCAATCGGAGAAAACGGCAACTAAAGTTGAACGCCTTCTAAAACAACACTTTGCGTCAAAACGACAGAGTATTTTCAGTTGGGTTTCTCGTTGTGGACACTTGATGAATTGAATTTATTAAATCTGCTGTTTTTCACTCGTTTGTGTATTAAATAAACAAGAAATAAGAGAAAAAAGATGAGTGTTAGTTCGTGAAACCGAAAAAGCTGCGAAACTGTAAATTTTCGTTTTCACGAAGTAACACTCTTCAATGTATTTAACACGAGGAAAGTGCAACTTCAGGTCAGCGCGCGCGCGCTCATACTACTTGTTACAAGAAGAGTGTTACTTCGTGAAAACGTTTTTTGCTCACTTATGAGCAGAGTGCGCGCCATGCATTGCAATAGTCGGGGGTCTTAGGGATATTTTGGTTCACATTCTTCCAAAAGCACCAAATTTGGCACAGATGTAGTCCATACCATACTATTTCGATTTTTGACGGGCGCCAAGACGGGCGCCCCGCGGGGCCGCCATTTTGGCAAAATCCAATATGGCCGCCAATCGGGTCAGAGGTCAATTGAACTAAATGAGCTAGAATCATAAATAATACCACTTTTCAGGTATTTTCGGGGTCGAGCAATCTGAATCTGATGTTATTTTAACGATTTGAGGCAAAACAGATGCCCCAAGGGACCGCAATATTGGCAAAATCCAAAATGGCCGCCACATATATCACAGTTAAGAAAATAACGAGCTAAAATCTTAAATAATACCGCCTTTTATGGGTTTTCGGGGTCACAGAATCTAAATATGATGTCATTTTAATGATTCGAGGCAAGGCAGATGCTCTAGGAGCCGCCATTTTTGAAAAAAAATGGCCGCCACCCAGGTTGGAGGTACTCGCAGTTAAAACAATACAACGTGTTTTTTTTTGGGGGGGGGTCCAAATGTCTGATTCTGATGTTATTTTAATTATTTGATGTCAAGTTTACCACTCGAGATCATTCCGGTCAAACCTGGTGTTTCTGGTGCGTCATTCCATAAAAAAACCTTTTCCCATTAGCTGCACATGTCGGACAGTTTGAAATTTCTACGCATACCACAGAAACAATCTTAGTTTGGAGCGAGAAAATTGTCCTAAGTTATTGTAAGGATGTATAGGCGCGTGTGGTGTGTGCCCGCCATGCTGAGGGTGGGTGGAGCTATCAACCAACGGTCGTTTCATTGTCTTCACCACCCAAGATGTTGATCACAGATAACCAAGGGCAACCTCTCACTTGGTGAGTTCCAGTGATATGCCCAAACCGTAAATATCCATTTCTCGTACCCTGCAGTGAGGCAGGCTCATCAAGCTTGACTTCTTCGACACATCATAACAAGTTTGCAGATGGTGACATCCTCACCTGGTGGGGATACAATTAACTCAGTGCTAGCATGCTAGCAAACGAGTCGGCAAAGCCGCATGCCAAAATCGGGATCTACGCCCTATACCTAGACAAGGCTGCATCCACATCTTATGGGTGCACCGGAGTAACTTGATATGCGACCCACTGAGCCAGTGAAGGATTTAGAGTCGAGTCACTGCGATCACTTTCGAGATAATTTCAAGCTTGTTTTGGAGATCCTTGGCCTATTGGAGATCTGGGTGGGCTTCAGAAGTGGTGAAAAGTACAGTAACATACTAGTCCAAAGCATCTATTCCGATCTCGGTCTGACAAAGTCCTTGGCACCACCCTTCTTCCAAAGCCTAACATGGTGCGACACAACTTGCTTCGCCATTTCATGCAGAGCACAAGGGGTTTGGTGCAACTGTAGGTATCAAAGGGGCCAGACATCGCTTCTTCACCACTGTAAGCAGCTTGTTGGAAGCATCCCAGCTACCTGCCGTGCTGTTTGAACATGTAAAGCAACCGCTACTACAGGCCACCTCGGTCCAGCAGGAAATTCCTGACTTCATCGTGTGGGGCTGGCACAAAGATGGTACCAGTACATGGCAATCACTATGGACCAACTCTCAATGATGCTTCAGTGACATGTGCCATTCCCTTGCGCTGCGGCTGCCTCATGCAAAGGAAGGTTGAAATGCAATCACACTAGGTTTCTATATGCAAGGTCCTCTACAAATGAACAGCTCCATTTAAACGCACACAGCGGCATATAGCATTTTGTCACTGCAGACATCATCTCTAAATATTTAAATGAAAATAGTTCAAACAATAATCTTTATTGATAAGTCCAATCCTTAATGACCTTTAGGGCAAAATGTGACATACAATCTCTAATAAAACAATAGATTCAGATTCTCCGACCCTGAAAATCCATGTAAAATGGTATTATTAATAATTCTAGCTCGTTTAGTTTTTAACTGTGACTGACCTCTAACTTGGCTGGCGGCCATTTTGGATTTTTCTAATATGGCCCCTGGGGCATCCGTCTGGCATCAAATCATTAAAATAACCTCATATTCAGATTCGTTGACACCGAAAACCCCTCCAAAGTTGTATTACTTATGATTCTAGCTAGTTAAGTTTTTTAACTGCGGTATGTGGCGGCCATTTTGGATTTTGCCAATATGGCGGTCCCTTTGGGCATCTGTCTTGCCTCAAATCGTTAAAATAACATCAGATTCAGATTGCTCGACCCCGAAAATACCTGAAAAGTGGTATTATTTATGATTCTAGCTCGTTTAGTTCCATTGACCTCTGACCCGGTTGGCGGCCATATTGGATTTTGCCAATATGGCGGACCCGTGGGGCGCCCGTCTTGGCGCCCGTCAAAAATCGAAATAGTATGGTATGACTGACATCTGTGCCAAATTTGGTGCTTTTGGAAGAAACTGAACCAAACGGCCCCTATAACGCCTTAACATCCCTGACTACAATGGAAAATGGAACTTGAGTGTTACTTCGTGAAAACGAAAATTGTCACTTTTGCGCAAAAGTTGCCATGGATACTTAGCGTAATTATTAAAGTAAAGCTCTTGAAGCTTTGAAACTTCGTGCAATGGTAGGCCTTGATGAATAATGTTTAAAAATCCAAAAAACTGAAAATCGAAAAAAATATGCTTTAACACGGTAGAGTGTTACTTCGTGGTGTCGGTGACGATGTGCGCACAGAGTCTCTTTTCGGGGGGGGGGGGTCGGACGCACGGCACGGTCTCATTTCGGGGGCGTCGGACGATGTTCTCTCTTTGCATCTGACTGAAGGGCCTATTGCATTTCGATACAACAATATGTATAGCCATTTGCACCCCTTGCAGTTGCACGATGCGCCCTAACTGTGGGCAGTTTATTTTTCTTTAAAATCATTGGCAATGAGCCGATTCTCAGCAACAAAGACGGGGTCAGCAGTGTTGTAGTACTCGTATGGTACTCGTACTCGAGTACTACTCGAGTGCTTTTTTTTTTTTTTTTTTTTTTAGAGTACTCGTTCTCGTACTCGAAATGACGGTACTCGTAGTCAGCCAGCAAAGCACTCGTACTCAGCCAGCAAAGCACTCGTACTCGACATGTCAAAATTGTACTCGATTATCAAAAACCTCGTACTCGAAAAGCTGTACTCGAAAAACAAAATGGTATAGCTTGACTTACCGTACCATCGCCCCATAAATTTGGCTGTAATACTGGACTACCTCCGTATTAACAGCCACAAACTGCCCATATGCCCTGTGCATGGAGGGTGGGGGGGAAGCAATTTAAGATCGAAATTATTTTGTCACTTGAAAATCACCCCAGCTAAAGTATGAGTGATAAATAGCAAAAAAACGTTGAATTCCGTATACCTTCAGAGGTCTATTAATCCAGTAATCATGGTAATTCGGCGACGAATTCCGACGGTTTTCAAAAAGCATGGCGTCTCTGATATTTACCAGACTGTTTCCCGGCCCCCCTAAAATAGTCACAAGGCCAATGAGGTCAGGGAACCAGACTAGAGCTTTAAAGGAAACATGCAGTCCAAAATTTTCATAACGTATTTTATTTTATATATACCTTCATTTATGTGTATTAAATGTGAATTAAAAGCAGAACTGGTTCTGGTGTACGTTTAGTGTGGTAATTTGCCGTCCAAAATTGAACCCCCCCTTTTTGATTTTCGCGGCAACTCCAAATGAGGGCGCTGTTCATGACGTAAAAAAAGGCAGAGAAATCCAGGGCCCGTAAATGACGTCTGGGTACGAGACGGATTAGCGAAGCTACTGTGCTGTGTGTATGTGCAGCCGCCGCGTACCCGTACGTGGCATTATATGCACACGTACGAATGTGTCTACATGTACAGTACACGTGGACGTGCCACGGTGCCACCGTTGTCGAATGAACACAACGACGACCGTCATGACCGTGAAAGTTCCGAAGACCGTCCTCTTCTTGCCTTAGCGAATCCGATGAAAATGGTACAGATTCGTCCGATTCGAATAAGAGTTCTAATGATTCAGACACTGACTCGATGTTTTTTAGGGGCATGCCCTTGTTGCTGTACAGACCAGCATCAAAACACGACGGCTCAAAGTGCAGCGCAGAGGGCCGCGAACTCACTGGGCCCGGACCACTTTCATGACTTTGCTCTGGTATTTACCTTCACTTTGGCTCTCCAAATGCTCCGATATTTCGGATTTACTGGAAACAAATGAAGGCTTACTCCATCCTTGGTAGTTTTGCTACACCCAGCAGCCACACACCTTGTCGGCATGGCCGAAAATCGGGTGTTATTTCTCCTTGATTCCGAACGAAACACCAGAAAAACTTTCAGTGCCGCAATGTTTATGTACATGTATTATGATGCACGCCGCAATGCCGGTGCCGCGCCCCCGCAGCGCGGCAAGTCGCTGCCTTAACTTGCGTCATACCCCTCGCGAAGTTTTATGTTAATGAAGCTTCCCTTTGTGGGGCGGAGTAGTTTGACCAAACATGTTCACAAATTATTTTCCCCTATTTATCCCAGAAAATAAACACCGCCATACACAAAATATTGTTGAGAACATCATCCTTTATTGATTTAAGCAAAAAAAATGCAATCAAAATTTTATTTCATGTTCCCTTTATTAATCATCCACTGAGCCGTGCGTCAACTTTGGCAAAGTGCACCACAGCTGTTGCCTGTCATTCAAAAATGGAGCTCTCTGCAGTGAGGCGGCCGCGTAGTGCATCCGTGTAACTGCAGAGCGGCCCATAATTTCTTCCAAATTGAAGTTTACCGACACTGTTTCTGTTTTTTAGTATAATGTGAAGCCAAAAAAATTTACGTCTTCAATATTAGGCAGCTTTTTCTGCTTCTCATACTTTGACTGAATGGCTGGCTTTTGAAAAAAATAAATAATAAAGTAAACATGCATGTCTAAATTAATTATAAAAGTACTTCTTTTTTTTCCAGTCAACTTTCTGCATGCACCCTAAACTAATCTCTCCTTCAACAGCAGTGGCCAACATATTTTTTTGTTCAGGACAATGGACATAGAAAAACAAATTCACCAAGCACCTGTTCGCTGTCATATGGATTATGTGTGCTGGGCCTAACAGTCAAAGGCAATGATAGGGTTGTTGGATAAAATGAGTTATATCAAGGAGCAAGACTGACTTTTTGGACATACATGTACAACGCCAGTTCTGTTTCTGTAACTCCCCTGGTTAGGGTCTGCACAATTTTTGACATCTGAACCTACGATTCTGATTAGCAAATGCACTGTTTTACCCATAAACTTGTTATTAAATGTCTTAATGTAGCACCAATAAATGTAGCTTAACCCTTGCAGATTACCAGATTTGTGCCAATTGCAAATTGATCAGGGTGGCAATGGTTAAATTATTTTAAGTGTATTGTATTGTTTAAGATGCAAAAGTTAGGATTTGAAAAAAAATCTTTAAAAGGCTTTAAAAATACATTATACCCAAAATTCTCTTATACTCTATAGGCTTTAGTATAGTCCTACGAACTAAAAAGAAATCATAACAGAAAAGAGGAAAAGTTGGGGTAGACAATCACAAAACCTCAATGAATCGGTGTCGTAGAATAGTAAACTCCACCGTATAAGAAGGTTCTTTGAGAACTCGCGGACACCATGAAACCATCCAGCGCTGCATGCACTGCGTCCCGATGCTGCTGGATGGAGCACCGCTACGGCCGGCGCTATCAGGTCGACGCTCGCTCGTACTTATCGAGCTATTTCAGCGAATTGATCCCCACTATGAACCAATCTCCGAACACAGTGTCTAACTCGTTCCAAGATACTTCTAATAAGGACTCAGCTTGCTAGTAGCTGACTTAACAACATAAATTATCCATCGAAACCTCTCTCGTGTCTGTCATCATGGACGTCACCATTTTGGATTTTGATTAAACGTGAAAGCCCCGCTATTTCTTTGTACTATAGTTGACCAAAAGGGGACCAGACTACTGCTTTCCCAGACATGTTCGAAAATTTGGATGAAGTTTTTCGATATAATTTCTTGTTCCTGTGCTAGAAAAACTAAGTCAATTCTTCATGAACGTCATTTAATTATTATTATTATTTTTTTATTTTTTTAATGACTTTAAAGTGACTTTCAGTTAACAATATGAGGTGAGTCTGATTTTTCAAAAAAAATGGAAGGATTATCCAGTTGGCCCACGGCCTAACAGTGCAAGTTCATATAATCTTCTGGAACCCTTATCAGCAGAGAATCCTGGAGTCATCCCGTTCATTGAGATTATTTTGGATCTGCAGCGCTTATTTCCCTTCACCGGAGCACTGTTGCTTGACCACTTTGGTTGGTAACTTAAGAAGCGGGAGTTGGATGCTGAGTTTTGCCTTCTCCTCGACGGGTGTCGAGGGCTCGCTCAGGAGCGACTCCGTCTCCTGCGTTTCTTGCTCGTCTGGTTCCCCGTCTTCCTCTGGCCTAGATTTCACAGACTCATCATTCTTCCGTATCCGTGGAGAGGGTGGAACCTTTGCAATCTGTTGAACGAAACCCCAAAATATTTTGTTACATTAATTTTGTCTGCTTGTTTGTTGGGTTGTTCGGGTGTTTGTTTGTTTATTTTGGTAAATACAAACTGAGACTATTAACGAGCCTCTGAGTATTTTTTTGCTGGTCTCGGTCTCGGGATCAAGACCACCACTATGCAGCATATAAAATCACTGATACTAGAAAAAGGCAACACGAAAGACCAGCAGGGAGTATTTCAACCTCCTTCGTCTAAAATGTGAAACCAACACAAAAATCTCATGAACATTAGTAAACAACCTGAACTCGGCAATAACACGTTGCTTGTCTTTATAACTCACACAAAGTCATTTACGATTCCTTAAGTTAAGTGGGCTCTTCTAATTAAACATTGGCTTGTAACAACTAGCAAGCCACATGAAATGCACTTGTCAAGACTCAACTAAAATTGGCATATAAATGGAAAATAAAATATGATTCGGGATGGGATTCAAACCTATCCACACACTGGCCTGGAAAAAAAATTATATGAGAATTTATAAGGCCAAAAAGGGCTTCGGTTTCTTGTATCGAGCTTGCCCCAAAAGTGGTGCCGCGACGCGGCTTTCTTTTTTTCTTTTTTTCTTTTTCTTTTTTACTTTGCTTTCCTTCAAATGTCGGCTGATGATTGCAAATGGTGCCGATTAAATTTAGTGCAAAATATGTGAGTTTGGCGGTTTTGTGACATCATCTTACATTGAAAAAAAATCTTTTACATTTTGCCGACGTGCATGGCTATAGCGACGCGCGCGCATACCAGAAACCGGAGAACCCTTTTTGCCTAATCACGGGAAACCTTTCAGAACAGGCATGGCATCAAAGGATTGTTAAATGTATGTTTTATTAAAGACTTCATAGCTGAATCACTCATGGTTCCTTAAAAATATCTCCACGGTATCGGATTACATATTTGACAGAGTGCATGTACTTGAAGTACACTCTTCCTTTACCAAAACACAGCCCGGATGTAAGGAACTTATGGTCTTGTATAATTACATACAAGAGTTTAAAGCGAACACTAAACACAGCCGAAAAGAATAACTTAACACGCATTAACTAGTGTTGTAGCTTAGACCTGCAAGTCCGAGACCGAGACCCATTGGAGACCATAGAGAAAGGCCGAGACCAAGATCGAGACCTGGAGGTCCGAGACCGAGACCTCACATGTAAAATTACATGAAAGTAAAACATGCATATTGACACGTCAAATCAATGCCCGTCTTCGGGGACCGAAATCATGAAGTTGGTCTCAACTTTCCAAATTTAAATCAAGTGGGCCTACCATACCGTTATTACAGAACTATACAACTAATATAAGCGACAGTGGTGTGACTTATATAGCAAAGGATTCGGACTCATGCTCTTTGATCATTCAATACCAATGTGAATAGGAAAGGTGAAGGCAGCGTACCGTGCACCCCACCTATCTCAACCATCACTGCCTGCCCTCATCCCTGCCCCTTCTCATCCCTGCCTCCCCCGCATCCTTGCCCCTTATTGTTGCCCTAGGAGTGCAGACCATGAAAACAGGTCCCCGAATCGCCTAGGCCAACCGTTTCACCACAACATGTAATACATTGTCAAGTCATCTCTTTAAAACACGAAAAGATTTTTGTGACACATGCGCTTGAAGTTTTGTATCTACGTGTATTTAAGGGATCGTTAAACATGTTTTTTTTTCTGGAAAAGTTTTGGTGAAATTTGACACAAAAGTCACCTTTTTTTCAGTGGAGTGGTGCGATCATTTTTCAAAATATCGATTGGCTTCAGGACTACTATTGGGGTGGTCAATGTTTAAGGAAAACCACCCAAATGTCATTAGTCAATCATGGTTTTAATTTTGATGTAGGTCTTGAATACCCCGGAGACGTGACGATTTTCCCATTTTTAATTTCTGTTTTTCTGTAACGAGAGCATTTATAATTGATGTCTTAATGTCATTTCTTTTCACTGGTCCGCACCCCTTGGTTACTCACCCACTGGATAAGCACGAACACAATGAGAAACAGCCCACACGATACGGCGTACAGGGCAAACGTCCCCGGCGCCCCGTATCTGTTGATGAGCAGCCCTGTTGAGAAGATCCCCAGCCCCACTCCCAGGCCGTGGTGCGTGGCGATCAACAGACCTTGCATCGTGGTCCCGCATTGTGGAGGCACGGACTTGCTGAAGTATGAAACAGCCGTGGTCCACGTCAGGATGAAACACATGCCTGTTTAGAGAGGACAGTGATCAATACAATTGGCTACGTATTTCCCGAAGCAGTTGTAGGACATCAGCCTGGGGGTTTGGTCGGCATCAAATCAGGATAATAATGCCCATTGTGATTTTTGGCAATGGGTATGCACCCTGCAGTTGGGAAATGTGTGATATCATTTCAGCGTTGGCAGCTTTTTTTTGGTGCTATCACTTTTTTTTAAAAGAGGTTGTGGAAAGCTCGAAGACATTTCCGTCATTTTTCGGGTATATGTAGTCTAAGGTGTGATGAAATAAAAACGACTATTGTTTCTGTCATGAAATAAATACAAAAGGTACAAATTGCACGTTCGGGTCAAACAGCTCTCAAAAGTACCTTTTGTATTCATTTCATGACAGAAACAATAGTCGTTTTTATTTCATCACACCTAAGGCTACATATACCCGAAAAAAGATGGAAATGTCTTCGAGCATTCCACAACCTCTTTAAATGGTGGCTAAACATGTTTGTTACCACATATAATTAATCCGGTAGCAAGCATATTGGCGGCCATTTTGAAAAAATAAATAAGGTGATACCACAAAAAAAATGCCACCGCTCACACTGCAAAGCTATGATCACACATTTTCCAACTCTAGATGTGCATACCTTGATCATTTTGATACCAGTGCCCCAATTTTGGACCGAAGCTGACAGCCTGTTGGGACTGTCCGGACTGTCCAAACTAAAGTTGAGATTGCCCAAACTAAGAAGTTAGGAACGTCTCATTTTTTTGTTTGTTGAGTAGAAAGACCGACACTTCCCATACAGGTACATTGCAACCTCTTGGACCCCAAAATCAGTGTGAAGTCTAAAGGTAAAGTAATAAGCCTCTGTACTAATGACGTCACACTTTGTTTACGTGTGTGCTTTGCTATGGTGCTTAGTGGACCGTGGGCCGGAGTGCACATGTAAACAAGGTGTGACATCATTAGTACAGAGGCTTATTAATTATTAAGTTCATTAAGACTTTCAAGCCCAACTTTTTTGAGTTATTACATTGACTGAAAAGCAGTACATCTCAAACGAAGACCCAGCACGAAACGGGCGTTTTGTTAGTGGCTACGGCCGCGGCTACGGACATCACGTGGGGATCATACTGGACCGCGGTTGAGCTTTCAATTAGCCCGGCTGTCGTGGCTAACCCGTCTGCCTTTACCCGAGTGGATCCGAGTGAGCTACTCGAACGCGCCCATTGAGAGTTCCTTAAATATGATGATGCACTTTGGCAGATCGCGATAGCTCTCAGTGCGAGTCACAAACAACCTTTTACACTTAATTTTAAAGACTTTTTGGTCAAATATCTTTTGGTAAATTTTCGGGGACAGACAGACAGACCAACCGACCACCAAGTGTCATGTAGAAGCTCCTGTAAAAACTATACTTTATTTACCGTGGAGAATCTCCGTGAAGAAGAAATGCCACGGCACTGTGAGCAGCCGGAAGGCAGTAAACCGGAGTATGTAAAAGAACAGCCCGAGACTCAGCACGGGAATGTGGCCGCATTTACCGATGAACCAGCCGCTGAGTGACCCACACAGGAACTCCACAGCGGCATGAAGGACAATGAGGAGGCCCAGAAGACTCTGAGTGGCTCCTGAACAAAACAGAGACATTAAAATTCTTCGAAAACAATTGAGGATAAACGGGGACAGTGTTTTGAGGAGAATGAAATGTGTTAACTCAGTAGCATTTCCGTTTCTCCAGACTGAACCATTTCCTTTTTAATAACATTTCATAATCGCAACCGAGGTGCTGGCCAGTCTGTATAAGTTAAAGTCCAGGATTTCTTTTATTTTGGTGGGGGGGGGGGGGGGGGGGCTGAGGTTACGGAGCATTAAGTAAACACCCTTGAAACAATAAACTTCGATTTGGAATAATGTATGACGGTTTTTCAAAATCCACGTGACAACGGGGTTGGTTATCCACCTTGTCTTGCCTCTACTAACCGGTTTTCCCTTCCATTAATACCGTTCTAGGACATGTTTCTATAGCATCAAATCTTTAACGGATCCGGGAGGGGGCTTGCAACGGGGGCCATGTCCCCCCCCCCCCCCCCCCCCCCAAAAAAAAAATAATCGGAGTGAACATTTTCCTTTTTGTCTGAAATTTTCAGGAAATGAATTAATAAGTTGCGCATCTCACTCGCAAGTCATCAGCCACAAATACCTTTTTAGTTCCAATACTACAATGTGGAAATGGTGAGAAAAATTACCCCCCCCCCCCGAAAATGTGGTTCTGGATCTGCCCTCGCATCTAATTTATCTCCTTTCATTTAAAACACTCACCCAAATTTTCCAAGTGCCAATACAGGAATCCCCAGATGGCGCCATTGCATATGCCCAGAAAGATGAGCAGAACTATTACCGAGCCGTAGTGCCAGCTGAGAACTACCGGCAACACGTGACTCAATAGGTCCTGATTTCCGGCATCATTTGGACTCTCCGCATACTACAGAGTACACGTATGAAAATGGGAGAAATATGGGAAGATTTAGGTGGTGATCGTGGTAAAGTCGATGACCAAATTCGTGCACAATGCGATGATTTTAATGGGGGTAATATTTTAATTTTTGTGGTTCTTTTGAGACATGCTGACAATGATCAAAATTGCAGCGTCACATGAGAAATGTTCTCCTACAGATCAGCAGTTAACCATAAAACGCACGTGCAAAACACACGCGTAGAGTAATTTAAGTCTTATACAGCACATGCACATGATCAGGTTGGTTTAGCGGTACTTTCCTTGCTATGCCACTTGGGTGACCCGGGCTTGAATCCCGCTTGGGCCATTGTTGTTGGTGTACTCTACGTAGGGCGGCCCCAAGCGGCGTAGCCAGGGTTCTCATCAATTTTTTCCGCCCTTTTCCATCTATTCTGATAATACAAAACAAGGCAGGCCCAACACCCTCGCTTTGGTTACGTTGATTTGAATGGGAAAAAACATTCACTGGTGTGTTCATACATCTGCAGCTGGTCTACACACTGAGCCTGACATAGCCCATTCATTCGCGTTACATAATTGACCCTATACGATTGCATTGCCCGGCTCAAGCCCAAGTCGATAGTCAGTTTGTGACTCACTCAGTTACAGAGCAACCTCGTCACAAGTACTTACTTTATTTCCAACCTCGTTTCCAATAGTAAGCCCTAGATAGGATCTTTCTTCCTGTATCCTGATTCGATACCGTAATTGCCTCGTAATGGATTTATATCGTGTATACGTTGTGTTGCATTATTGGCGGGATAAGATTGTAAGATTTTAACTTGGAAAACAATCGTGGTGTCGTAACTCACGCGGCGCGACGAACTGATTCTGTTTTTACCCCAGAAACCGCATACAAAAACAAACGCGAATTCAACAAAATGACTCATTTGCATACTGCTAAAAAATTTTGCACATGCAAATGATCAAATGGACCCAAGACCTGATGATGTAATGGCTTTGATTACATTATGCCCTTTCCCATGGAAGCGAAGTCAGGACGCCTGACGAAGTAAGAACAGTCTACCACATAGGAAAGTGCACATGCAAACAAAGCGTGACGTCATTAGGTCTCAGGCCTATACCAGGGTGAGAGGGCTGGTAGTGGTGGGCGCGTACTGCTCGACAACCTGGGGACGAGATTGGTTATTAGTGAGATGTAGGAGCAAAGAGGACACTAGGCTGGCCCTGGGCGACCAGCACAAATTAAAAAAACACAAAGAAGACATCCAGCACTAACCGTAAACGTGAGGTGCAAGGCACAGAGGAGCGCAAGGAGATAGAAGCCGATGCCTGGAAGGAAAGACACACGGTAATCGGAGATGGTGTGCTCAATGCCGCAGCTGACCACAGTGGTGCGGGACAGGCTGAGAAATACTCCAGAAGCCATCGAGCTTGATATCGGTCGCAAAGAAGGGAAAATAACACAACACAATTATGAAACAAGTAAAATATATATATCTGCTTGTCTGCTTACGTTGAAATGACAAGCATTTATAAATGATTTTTTGTTATAATACGCATAATGCTTCAGCATATTTGTTTAATATAATGGCACCAACGTCGGTCAGCCTAGGCGACTTACTCCCATTGTCGTTTTCAATGCGACAATCGAGCTACATTTTGAAAATTATATTAGTGAATAAACTGTCATAATTCAAGTCGTCATTATCCCAGTCGGCCATTTACATTTAACACCTAAAACTATAAGGTATTGAAAACATGCAACCTCAGAAAATAGACTGGCGCACGAAAGAAAAAAAACCAGTCCAACGCCCGTTTAGTACAGCATCGCTCAACAGTGTCAAAAGAAATATCTGGTACCGGTCTCTATTTCTACACATCTCTCCATAGTCTGCAATCACACTACTGAAGAGGTCAGTCTTTTAAAACAGTTTGAGATGAACCAGTCTAGCCTTAGGCTTCAATTTGGAATCACTTGGCTTCACTGTCAGGTGCAAATGTTGAATCACAACAGTCTCCTTTAAAAATGTCATTGAGACTTGGCCGGTGAATTGCTGAGGACCTTGTCTTTGCCTGATGAAAATTTTCGAGATTTTTGTTTGCTGAACAGTGAGTAAAGTTGGCCTGATTTTTTTTTTTTGCATTTGGTTTATAAATCATATTGTTGATACAGAAGTGTTTTATGGTTGGTAAACCATCAATTAGTTTCGAATACACATCTATTGTTTACATAATAATTGAGCTAAACCATGGTAAAAACAAGCTTAAAATTGGCTAAATAAATATTTGACAAACGGCGCCCCATACAAGGTTCAAGCCGATAACCGTAAACTCGCTCATCTGCGCATATTGGTTCTTCTCTTGGGCTTTTTTATGAGTGGGGACACAGAGTAGATATTTTTTGTGCATCTTTTCTACATTCAACTAACAAAACACCTCCGATATGGCTGCTGTGTGAAAGGTTCTTTCATTAGGATTATTCTCAACAATTCTCTCACCAAAGTCCCCATCCCAAGCAGCCAAAACCTCTCTGCCATCCGTACTGGTCAACGTTTCCCTCCTGACGGCGCAGCTCGTCGAGCACGGCCACGTTTCCTTGGCACGCCGCGCTGAAACGGATCACATCCTGAAAACTGCACACCAGGAAGACAACAACGAAGAGTACACTCAATCTCCCTTGCTCGTACAGCCAGCTTTGGTTAGCGATTAGCATCATGTGAATTTCCTCGGGCAAAAGTTTGGAGTTGGGGAGGCTTATATTTAGATTGAGAAATTCCCGTATTTGTTTCTCCATTATGTCACAACTGGGAACTTCAGGTGGGCGGTGTAACATCACCAGGATTACGAGTACCACTGCACTGCCAAATACGCTAGCAATAAGGACGAGCTTGCGGCAGCGGAATCGGTCGGAAGCTATGGCGATGAACGGAATGGCGACAAACCCAAAGAATGGCCTGAGAGAGTTCATGAGGCCAATATCGGCGGGAGAGAATCCTAGTTGCTTATAATACAGAGAGATGTAAGACAGATAAAAGCCAACTGATCCCCAAAATGTCAAGAGGAACAGCTTACACACAAGCAACGGTAGATTCACTCGGAATCGTCCCTGTTTGGCTGGGAGTGACAACGCTGAACTTTCCGACATGTTTCAATCTAGCTGGGTGATTGCAACGAAACTGTCAGCGTTTCAGAAGTAGTGTATCTTCTCGGAAGTTTGAGCAACCAGCGTTCTCGTCAGCTTAGCAGAAAAGCTCGGCACTTCTTGTTCCAGTATGATTCTCGGTAAGATCTTTAAAAAGTATACATAATGGCGCACCACCCGAGCACTCAAACATAACATCAAAATGATCGGGTCAACTACGTCTGCACGTCTGTATCACACGCTACGGTAGAATAAACCCGCACAATTTTAACAAATAATGGCACTGGCTGGCTGACAGCAGCTATACAGACTGGTTGACAGCAGCTATACAGATAATTCATGCAAGGCACAACACACACACACTACATTAACTCGCCGGCTAGCCTTGAAACTATACGAACATTTCTTTTGGCATAAATTCCCCCGTTAAGTAAAGTTTGGAATTATAATAGGGTAGAGACTCGCATTGTATATTTGTTGCTTTGAAGCTAATTGAATCGTCCTGAATTAGGTATTCAGCTGGGGGGGGGGTCGAACACAGTCGAAGAATAATCATCTATCCAAAAGTTTAAAAATAACCCATATTGTTTACCCTCGCTCTTCTGCTGGTTTGGTTTTTTAAGCTTGATCAGCAAAAAGAAAATGATGACCGGCGGAGGCGACCTGCAACCTAATTTCTCAGTAATGAGTCAAACAAAATAAAATAACTGAAAAATAAAATCAAAAAGGGACGGAGACTGAGTCTCTCCTCCATTTTCTACAGAATTCCAATTATATTGCATGTAAGTACTTTACATAATTGGGGATATATTTTGGCCAATTCCCTTGTCAAGGTGCCGACGCCAGAACTGCTTCCAGTGACCAAACTCTTCTGTTGTAGAAGTTGACGAAAGTTGCCATCGATGACCAGCATGTCCTGAGTTTATAAGCCTTTTCGGAGTTCCAACTGCGCATTCGCAACCTGTGACAACGCGCATTATTTGTCTCAAATGGCCTTTGACAACATGGCGCCACTGACTTTACAAAAAGGCTGTTTGTGCATTGTGGGTACTGTCAAAGGGCATTTGAGACAAACAATGTGCGTTGTCACTGGTTACGAATGCGCGCAGTTGGAACTCCGAAAAGGCTTACTATACCCCTTTTCTTGAAGCTGTTGAGGTAGATGCACCCCTGTTTGGGTTGGCCTTGAAACATACAGTATCAACACCAGCTTTTAAAGATAATAAATACATTTGCAAGCATAAAAACCCCAAAATAACCAAATTAATATGAAATACCTTACTTGACCGTATTGTGAATGGCAGTCTCAAGCATCCTGTAAAATCATGTCGCCTGGTATGCTGTCATTTTCAAGAATATTTGTATTACTTTCCAACGATGGTTGGCAACCACCGTTGGAAAAAAACTGACTTTTTTCAAATACTGCCCCCAATTTACCAAATCTAGTTAGTCCACACTAGCCTTGCTTGCAATCAGTTACACAATTGTTTAATGGGTGCAAGCTAGCTACAGTCTGGTTCCCTGACCTGACAATTCCCCGACGTCTGTAATTGCTCCATTTCGCCCGAAGTAGGGTCAGGGAACCAGACTACACGAACAGCATTTTTTTCCTTCGTTTTTTTCCCCAGCATCTATGAACACAAAACTTTAAACAGATCAGTGTAATAATATTTGCTATAAAATACTAACCCCCAAATCCATCCATTTCTGAAAAATACAGAAAAAGGAAATGTTGTATAGTATCTTCAAGGGCATCTTTCACCATCTGGATACTTTGGATGACACCTCCGGATGGTAAGGTTTCGAGTATGAAAGCAGGAGCCGAGTCATTCTAGAGTTACCATTGTATAAGAGAAATCCTGTTAAGGTATATTCCTACAAAGTGCGTGGTGGACGGAGATTTGTGTTTGCTGGAAACTAGCAACTTCGAGTAGAAGGGTTTATTAACTGACACATGTTTATATTGATAATTGCCAATGTAGGAGAGTACCGTAGATTTCAAAATCTTCCGGGGGCATGGCTCCGGATACCCCCCCCCCCCCCCCCAGCACGCCTTTTCTCTGGGCCCCTCCATACATATCTACCCTCACACGTTTCCTGAACAAAACATACACATTGAAAATTTGTTAAGAGACAAAACTCCATTTTTTACAAAAAAAAAGCATGGGGTATGCATCTTTTACCCGTTCATAACCCTGCGAAATATCCAAGAGGGTCTACGAGCGATAGATTGTCCGCTTTGACTTTCATCGCGCCTTGCATGTGTTCTGCCGTCAGCATCACGAGACCTTGAGTGAAGTAATCACCGTAGAGTTGTCCATCTGCAGCCGAACACGCAAATTGTGTGGGTAGGGGTTACGGTTAGGATTAGGAATAGGAATATGTGCAGTCGGAACATGGAGGGGTAACTCTGCAAATGGCGTGCATGAGTCTGAGAAGTGGAATTTCTTTTCGTTTTTTGTACGATATGCTAATTGGCTCGTTGCAGCGCTTACGTCAGGTTATGCAATCAAGAATGTTCACCTAATCTCCTTTATATAGAGCTGATTTGGTTCTAAGCATTCATTCTCGGCAAGGGCGGATCCAGGGGGGGGGGGCCAAAGGGGGCCATGCCCCCCCCCCCCAAAAAAAGATGAAACCAATTTTTTTTTATGCGACATCGCAATAAAGGCAGGCAATGAGTACACCACCATCTTTTCCTCAAAAAAACATTGGTTAAAGTGGTCAGAAATTGCCTCAGATCGCACCACAGGGCATCTAGAATCCAAAAAAAATTCGGGGCCCTCAAGCGGGCCCCGAACCCCACGCCGTAATATTTTTGACCCACTTTTTGGGGGAACCAAAATTTTTTTGGGCCCCCCCCCCAAAAAAAATTGTGTTCTGGATCCGCCCTTGATTTCTCGGTCAAGCGACACACCCTGCTTCACCAGACTTGCCCACCCTTCCCAACCCATTTAAATAAACTCAATTAATAATGGAAATCGGTTCAGGGGGAGTGCACCTCCGCCGAGGGTCCGGGTTGCACCCACGTTTCCCCCACAGGTTTTTTTTCGTGGTCACCGAGCCAGCAGGCCAAAACCTGTTACGCCGACACTCGGCATCGAACCGATAACACTCCTCAATCAAAAATATTTCTATCAACAAATAAATAACTCATTCGGCTATTTGTTGCCAAAAAATTGCCGATTTGCGGCTTTTTGCACAATTTGTCGCTTTAAATCCAGGCACTGAAGAAATGTTTCTCTTTGAAATTGTTAACGTTCCATTTTTGCAGGAACATATGTTTATATAAACAGACGAATTTGTTCGTCATTGTTACCCGTACTGTTGGGTGGTCTTTTTCACTTTTCCTCTACAGAAATATGGAACAACTATACATCTACCCTCCGCGACTCATCCCTCCGTGAACTGGCAAACAGCACACTGCCGTCTCTCTTGATGTCAGCAAAGGCCGAATCCACCACGACCAAGTACAAGGCTTCATGGACAAGTGGGAGACCTGGGCTTCATCAAAACCAGAGATTACCAAGTTCCCGGTCAACCCATTCCAATTTGCACTCTACATATCGCATCTGTCATCCACCGGATCCAAGTCCACCGCCGAACTCGCTGCAGCAGCAGTCAAATGGGTGCACAGTTTGGCTGGTCTACCCTATCACCAACAGACAACAGCATTGTCAAGATGGCACTGCAAGGCTTCAAAAGGCAGAACTCTTCACCGACCATCCGGAAAGACCCAATCACACCGGACATTCTGACAAAGCTGCATATCAACCACGGTCACTCCTCGGCAACACTGGCAGATCTGCGCATCCTGTTTGTTTGTTTCATTTCTTACGCCGGATTCCTTCGCTTCGATGACATAAGAAACATTAGCAGAAATGACTGTACAATATCTTCAGACCGTCTTACCATACACCTTTGCAAATCCAAGTCTGACCAATTTAGGCAAGGGACAGATGTCGTGATCGCTAGAACTTTCAAACCGACTTGCCCAGTGCTCGTGGCCGAACGGTATTTTTCGGCTCTAGGCGATCCCAACAACTCAACCTTACCGGTGCTTCGCAGATTTGTTGCCACCAAGAAAGGCCTCACATCGTCCACCAAACCACTCAGCTATACACGCACACGCGAGATAGTACTGGACGCTCTACGAACCATCGTCCCCGATGTTGCCACTTACGGTCTTCACAGCTTGAGATCAGGCGGGGCATCTGCTGCCTTCAACGCAAACGTTCCTCCATTCCTGATATCCAAACAGGGCAGGTGGAAAACGGAGAGCGCCAGCAACGTATATTTTCAGTTAGACAAGTCGTCTAATTTGCTTGCTACTAGGAACCTTGTCATTTAAGACACAAGCCTCTTTTCCGGCTTAAAACCGATTTGCGGTTGGAAACATTTTCAAGTCTTACTTTTAAGTATTAAAAAGACTGATTGAATACTGTGTAATAGAAAATTGAATTAAATTAAATTAAATTAAACATTTAATTTAGTCTTGCAAGTAAAAAAAAAAAAATGATGCACGGAGAAAATAATCCGATGCACAAGAATAACTTGTTACTTTGATTCGTTAAATAGAATGCTTTTTCCCGAAGATTTCGTGAAACCGTTGAAATGCTATTACGCATAATTTAAATAACGAATTACGATATTGAAGAATATTAAACATTGTTCAGAAGATTTTGTAGAAGAAATGTTTAAAACGATACCGTGAATAATGTTATTAATGGAATTATAATATAGAAGAATATTAAACAGCAGGGTTCGCTCACGACCGATCCCAATGTTCACCAAAGCAAACCTAAAATTGTTGTCATTTTCCTTTTGTCCAATGAATCGTCGCAGTTCACATGAGGTAAAAAAATAGAAAAGAAATGTACTTTCTGACGGAAGATTGGAGGAAGAAAATGTAAGTTCAAACAGAAGCGGAGGAACTACCTGGTGAGAGTTAAAATCGGCACTGTAAATCAGGTTTGTCCGAAACAAAGAGGTTTGGCAACACTACTCGAGGAAAGTTGGGTAAGCTTCGAAGTGCGCCACGTTAGGGAACACGACCACAGGTACGTGCACACTAACACGGAAAAAACGTATAACGTGAGACCTTACTTTTCTCATTGAAACGGATATTTATACATCGCACTTTCCGTGGCATCCTTTACCATTTTTAAGTGAAGACAATTTTACAATTACTCGGCAAAACTTAAAAATTATCCCCTAAATTGTCGCCTGTTTTGAATTTGTGACCCAATACTTTCGTACTACACGACACGGAAAAACAAAAAAATGCATCAAATACATGGGCGTCGCCAGGATTTTTTCTAGAAGGGGGCAAATTTTTTTTTGGCCAAAAAATGCTTCAAAAAATTCTCGATTTATCAGTTTTAGAGGGGGCAGGGACATTTTGCCCCCCCCCCGAACTCATTAAATTTTTTTTTTTTTTTTTTTTTTTGCTTTTCCGGGGGGGGGGGGGGGCAAGTGCCCCCCTTGCCCCCCCCCCCCCCCCCCCTCGCGACGCCCATGATCAAATACTCTCCTTTTTTGCGCTAAGGTTTGTAAAAGTGACTTTGATTGCCTTAAATTCCTACGGAGCTTTTAAAGGGACATAGAGGGGAAAAAAAATTTGAAAACGTCTTCGTTCGAACGAAAAAAATCTTCGTTCGAACTAAAAAAAATCTGCGTTCGAACTAAAAAAATCTGCGTTCGAACGAACAAAATCTTCGTTTGAACAAACAAAACTTTTCGTTGTTTTCCCGAAAGATGTTTTGAACAATTAAGTATATCTACTAATGGCTTAAGCCGTGTTTGTTTGGGCTTTCTTTATGCATGAGCCTTACAGACTCGCAAATAAAGAAAAGCGGTTTTATAAACATGAAATTAAATCATTGGTTTTCGGTGACTTTTTGTGAGTTTGTAATTGGTATTTATTTTAAAGCCTAAAGCTTTTGCAAATTGACATTGCTGTTTACTTTTAAGTACTCGTGGTTTGGCTAAAGGTTTTAACACTTGTGTAATAACAGGACCCTTTCAGGACCCTACTTTGCAGGAAAGGCCAGAAATATTGTGGTGCCAAATCACTATCGAACTAAACATGGGAGAGAAAAGCACCTGTTCATCATCGGGATTCCAAACCAAGACCAGTTTCATAATTGAGGTATAATTTGCAGGGGGCACTTGGGGGCACTTTTTCGTTCGAACGCAGATTTGTTTCGTTCGAACGCAGATTTTTTTCGTTCGAACGCAGATTTTTTTTCGTTCGAACGAAGATTTTTTTTCGTTCGAACGCAGATTTTTTTCGTTCGAACGCAGATTTTTTTTCGTTCGAACGCAGATTTTTTTCGTTCGAACGCAGATTTTTTTCGTTCGAACGCAGATTTTTTTCGTTCGAACGCAGATTTTTTTCTTTCTAACGAAGATGTTTTCAATTTTTTTTCCCCTCTATTCCCTTTAAAAGCTCCGTAAATTCCTGTCCACGAGGAAAGAAAAATTTCAATCAAAGTACTTCGAGCGTGATATGTTGACTGATACTTCAGTGGGTCAAACTGCGACTGCAGGCATCCATGTTTGCTGATCATATTTGGAGTGCGCATGCGCGCAAACTAACGGCTATACATGAGTAACACCGGGAATCCCCGGCATTCGCAATACATGTATTGATGTAATGTATCTTCCGCAATCGAATTCCGCATTTGAAGTACACAGAATAATGCCGCAATACCTCCACCAAAGAGGCTATGTTTTCATCTGATTTGGTAAGTCATTGGTTAGTTGGTTGGTTGGTTTGTCCATGGAAGTAGGAATACCGGCAAGATTACTATGCGAAGTTCACTAATTTTCCTCTGTATTGACTAACATTAGTAACAAGCCCCCGTCCAGATAGCAATTTCATGTCATCAAAGTCTACTTGATTAGTGAGAAAATACAAGCATTTTCTTAGAAAACACTTAGAATTTTTCAGTCCAATCTCATAGGGTTTGTACACAGGGTGTTGAGTGAACTTCGTATATGGAAATCTTTCCGGAATACCTCCATGGTTTGTCTGTTAACAAGATAACTCAAAAAATTATGGCCGGATTTGAATGAAATTTTTTTAGGGGTGGTCCTAGCCCGACTGCGTCTGGCCGTACAGTACTATCGCAAGCTCTGTAGTACGGCCAGACGCTCAATGCTTCCCCACAGACTGAATTTTTTTTCCCGCTGATGTAGCAATTTTGCTACAGATTTTGATCGAGATTATCTTTTCATCCAGGACAAAAATTTCCAAAGTTAAGGTTCTTAGTCGTAGAGCAATACCTTTTCGGAAAAAACGTTCTTTGGTCTCAATATTTTCATCCATCTGGCCAAAAGACGACTTTCAGTCATCATCTTCCACAAATATCATCCCGAAAATGCTCCCCCATGCGATACTCCTACTCACGAGTCCTAGCCGCCCTAGCCCCGGCATAGTCCGAGTAACTTGGACCCAACTTATCGCCTTTTTACCATTCGGACATGGTCTGGCGACTTTGTCCAAATGTTAAAAAAGGCGATAAGTTGGGTCCAAGTTACTGGATTACCTCCGTAAATTAAAGACCACACTTGGAACATGTACAAAAGCATGTAGAACTTTGTCAAATTTTGATTTTCACATTTTATTATTTAGGCTTAGTTAAGTAGTACTACTAGTATGGAAAGATTTCCATGTACGAAGTTCACTCAACACCCTGTGTACAAACCCTATGAGATTGGACTGAAAAATTTTAAGTGTTTTCTAAGAAAATGTTTGTATTTTCTCACTGCTCAAATTGACTTTGATGACATGAAATTGCTATCTGGGGGATTGTTAGTCAATACAGAGGAAAATTAGTGAACTTCACATATGGTAATCTTGCCAAGTAGTATTTTTGCTTTATCCTCGAGTCATCATAATCGGCGCAGGTAACATTTGCAACGCGTGCGCGTTGTCCAACGCAAATTGAATGTGAGTGCGTCGAAATAGATCCTCGTCGTTTTGGGTGGACTGACGATATAACTTTAGCATACTCACCCTCTTTATACTTATAGGCTAATCAGAAAGTGCTGCCTTTTTCGGATGTCTGTTTTTCGTGAAATTTCCAGATTTATTTGCACACATTTGCGTATCAAAATTTCAACATGAAATGTCACGGCTCATTTACTTGTGATTGTGCATTTTGGTTTTGAGCTTTCATAACGCACCTGTATCCTCGATCCTCCTGTTTCGGCGCAGATAAGGCTTTGCAACCAAGTAGCTTAAAAATAGCAAAGCAACCACTATTTTCCTCAACAAAACTTATATTGTTGGCTTACGCTCATCCACCATACCGATTAACAAAGCGAAATCCCTTTATTTGTGGCAGCAAGCGGGGAATTCCAAAGCGTGCATTTTTTTGGCGTTGTAGAACAGAATCCTGTCTAATTCGGCGCAGGGGACGCTTGTAACTCAATAAACATTTTGTTTTAATACCTTTGACTTGTTGGCTTTAGGAAAATATATTTCCTGAGCTTTTCAAACATATTTTCTTTCTTTTCTCTTTCTTTTTTCAATGCCAATGCACTTTTTGTAATTTCAAGATTATTTTCAATATCCTATTTTGGAGATTTATACAATATTTACATAGGCCTATTTACATAAATTAGATTTTATACATATTTACCTTTTAAATGTAGATCCCAATGATATTGTTATTCTGATCATCCCAATCAACAGAGACAGTTTTTAAGATGTCGGATTTTAAAACTTATGACCCAAAAAATTCCAAAATAATATAAGAAATGTGTCTTTTTAGTTGCACCATAAGTTTTACACCCTTGTAGAAACTGCAGATTCTTAACTATAATACTAACGATATTGGGAGGCCAAGAAAGGTCACCTTTCGGTCATATTTTTGACTTCTGCAGGCCCGGAAGCATCTGCCTGCATTTGTACTTGTAGTCAGGTGGCTTAGATCTAATTTTCGTCAAGATCGTGACCGACTGGTCCAAAGCACCAAACTTGGCAGATAGATTCTTATAGACCTAGAGAAGGTATTTAGAAGGGGTGACACCCGAAATTCTTTTGGGAAGGGTGCCTAATTTGCATAAATCGTTAATCCCTGCCGTGCAATATATTTATTCCCATATTTGGGTATATATATATATTTTTTTTGAAAAGTGTATTTTGGGGATCCTACTTACATATCTTTACGTAAATAACATTTTCCAAAGCATATAAGTGACTGAATAATTAAGAGGACATAGTAACGATCCAAAATGGCTACTATTATGCCCTAAATTCCGCGCATTTACCTTGTCCCAAGATATCATCAATTAGTCTTGTCAAACATCAGCATTGATGAACTTCAAATTCACCACGTA